CTTACATACTGTTCGAAACGTTCAGAAGATGGTTCCTCATCTCTAAGACTATTAGGATTATTTGGCTCCTCTAGATTTCCAAGAGGTATTGCATGAATTGGAAGTTGATTTTCTCCCGTCGACTCGGTTCCTTCAAATGTCATTTCGTAACCTAAAGAATAGGTGATGATTTTCGAAATCCAATCAAACACTACAGAAACCAATACAGAAAGACCCTTGGAAACTGCATTGGAAACTGCAGAAGCCAACAAGGGAAGTAAATCCAAAGAGAAAATCAACAAGTCCAATAAAACTATTCATTATTAATTAGCACAACTTTCAACAAGTATTATCCGTCTACTGACATACCTGAAACCAAGTTTAGAGAGAACCAAAAGGCCAAGACGATAAGAATAGCTGCCACACTATACTGAACCTTTATGGAAGTATCTTTCAGCATATTATTCTTTAGAAAAGGAAAGAGAACGTAATATGAAAATGAAAAATCAAGTATCAGTGAGAATAAATAACACCAAAAAACTCGAAGTCTCTCATTTGTCGTTCTTTTCGCAGCAGGTGGAATTCTCGCAAATGCCGCTGGACTAGAAATATACAAGAATTCGCTCTTAACACTACCAAAAAACGCACCATAGTAGTCTGAACATTTTGCAGCAGAAGCGTCGTTTGACAATTCGTCGCTCTTGTTTTCAGGAACGAGATTTGGATGTAAACATAAGCAACCTTTTTCCAAATTATCCAGATGTGAATAAGGGAGCTCGCTGTACTGCGGTAAATAAGTGTCAGAACTCGCAGAAGAAACTCGACAGGAAGATTCGGCTGCTTTGGCAAGTCCTAGCAGCTTTTCTTTTTCTTTTTCGTTCATTGTTTATCGTTTAAATATGAAGAATCAAACAAACCATCAATTGCCATTTACAAGATTCAGAAGCGAGCTGCGAAAACTATCGAAATTTGATAGTAAAAGAGCAAGGAGCGCACAAAAGTTTAAAGTAAAAGCAACTTAATTTAAGTCCGCTACAAAATCAAATAAAACATTTCATTACAGCTCTGAGAGACGAAAAATACAATGGCAATGGCAAAGGCAAGAGTTTTGTTGAGGTGAAGTTATCATCAAACCAAATAAGCTTTCTTTTGGTGCCTTTCGCTATTTCGTTTACTACTTATTCCTAGGTATCGGTATACATATGTTACTTCAACATTTGAGTAGCACGTTACTCAAAATGCATTCTAGGAAAACATATCTTCCAAACAACCAGTGGTGAACTACATTCGATAAACAAAATAAAAAATAAAAATACATCATCTTTTCAAGTTTCAGAGTCTACGGCCATACCTAGGTGAAAACACCAGTTCCCGTCCGATCACTGCAGTTAAGTGAAAACGTCTGAAGGTCTCGTTCATACTATGGTTGGAGACAACATGGGAATCCGGGGTGCTGTAGGCTTAGGCTTCTCTTTTTGTTTTACCTCTAGAAGAAATCAGATTAATCTTTTTATTCTCCTGTGGATGGTCTTCTACTTTAGTTTCAGGTTTGTTTATTTGATGTGAAAACAAACATACATCCTGAACAGGTGTAAATTGAGGTAGAGTTTTGGTCCTTTTCGACAAGCAAACACATGCATTCAGAAGCATTCCAAACAGCATTCTTTCTAAACTCCCGAGCTTCGCTTCTTATGAAGGAATGCTAAACAGGATCTCAATTCTCAACCTTCTCCTGCAAGGCTATTGCTACTTTCAGAGACTTTGTTTATTGCTTACGTTTCCTAAAAGAAAGAATGGGTCCCGCTTGATAGGAAAGAATCTCGTACTTGATTACGTGCATTGAGTCGAAGTTTCACTTTTACCCTTTAACTGTTTCTTTGCTTTTTTTCCTTTCTTTTTTCCAAAACAACCTATCGTCAGCTTCTGATGATGCAACCGAAACAAAGGTAAACAAAGTAGAAATGAATGAGTTGAAAAAGAAAACAAACTGAAAAAAAAAAGGTTTCCTGAATAAATGAATTATGCTACATGTAACTACACGTATCTTGAATCATAATAGTCATGATTCACTTCACCCGGCATCACATTCGTTCCATTCCCTTAACAAACCTACTAACTAACCCACCGTTCCTATCTCTATCCTACCTACCCGATCATGGTTCTATGAGCCTATGTGGGGGCACTGATATTCAGTTTTCTTTCTTTCGTATACTATCGATTTGAATTTTACTTATATTTGTTTTTTGTTTAAATCTTTTTGGTTATTTTTACTTAGTTCGCGTCGTCTTCTCAGCCTTCCTTATGAATTGCTTTCCTTCCTTCCCATAAAATCCATAAAACATGATTGGCTGACATAACAACAAGATCCGCTTGTTGTTCCAATAAAATGCCATAAAAAGCTTGCAAGTACCTTATTGAGTGTTACGTAAGTCTCTTATTCGTTCTTCTCTTATCGGTAACCCATTCGTTCTACTACTTACCCTTCGTGATATGTTTATATACTCATAAACATTATATGCGGGCCAACCAACCTCTATATACGTATATCTATATAGAGATGTATAATACGTATATATAGTACAGGGTATGATGTGAACCGCTTCCTACATTTTACCCTCCCCCATCATTTTTCAGCTTTTTGAAAAGTTAGGTAAAAGAGACTCTGAAAGAGTATACTATAAATGCTCTAATTGTGACTCTCTTTTTCTTTTAGTTTTGTAATCCAACGCATTTTCTATTCTTGCTGTTGTTTATTCTTTCGATTCTGTACGAAACACTATTGGTTTTCCGTATAGGTATCTAACACCAACCCACCCATCTCATCTCGTACTTTTTAGAAAAGAAACTTAAAAACAAATCCAAAATGCCTTTGTCTACCAGCAACTTGCGTTGCCTTTCCAAATTGTTTGTTTCCCTTCAAACTGGCCAGCCCGCTGGTTTTACTCTCGCGAAACCCGCAGCTCATTTGGTCTGGAGACGCTTTGCCAGTACACAGATAAAAACACCTCCTTTCCCCGAATCCATCAGCGAAGGAACTCTTGCTCAATGGTTAAAGCAACCTGGCGAATATGTTAATAAGGATGAAGAGCTTGCAAGTGTCGAGACTGACAAAATCGATTCTCCTGTTACTGCTCCCCAATCCGGTGTCTTAAAAGAACACCTTGTCTCTGAGGGTGATACCATCACCATCGATCAAAATATCGCTGTCCTCGACGATAGCGCTGAACCCCCCAAAGGTGGTGGTGCTGCTGCTCCTCCCAAACCTGATAAAGGTGGTGCTTCTGAAAAGACTGGTGCTTCTGAACTCGGAAATAGTGTGGAATCTGCTTCCTCTCCTACAAAGGCCGCTCCTGATGCCAAGGAACCCGAACCCAAACCCAAACAACCTGCTCCTCAACGTGAAGCCCCTCCCAAGCCTGTCTCGAAGCCATCTCCCCCTAAGCCTGAATTCTCAGCTAGCACTGCCACCTTTTCCAGAAATGAAGAACAAGTAAAAATGAACCGCATGCGTCTTCGTATCGCCGAACGTCTCAAGGAATCTCAAACCCGTGCTGCTTCTCTTACTACGTTCAATGAATGCGACATGTCTGCTGTTATAAACTTCCGTAAGAATCACAAAGATGAAGTCTTAAAGTCTACTGGTGTCAAACTCGGTTTTATGAGCTTTTTCTCCAAGGCCTGCACTCAAGCTATGAAACAAGTCCCTGCTATCAATGGCTCCATTCAAGGTCCCGGTAACGGTGACACCCTCGTTTACCGTGACTTCTGTGATCTCAGTGTTGCCGTTGCTACTCCTAAGGGTTTGGTTACTCCCGTAGTCCGTAACGCCGAAAGTATGTCTCTTCTTGCTCTCGAAAGTGCCATTGCCAATCTTGGTGCTAAGGCTCGTGATGGTAAATTGGCTATTGAGGACATGGCTAGCGGTACCTTTACTATCTCTAATGGTGGTGTCTTTGGTTCCCTTTATGGTACTCCTATCATCAACCTCCCTCAAACTGCTGTTTTGGGTTTGCATGCAATTAAAGAACGTCCCGTTGTTGTTAATGGTCAAGTGGTCCCTCGCCCCATGATGTACTTGGCATTGACTTATGATCATCGTATGGTTGATGGTCGTGAAGCTGTTACCTTCCTCCGTTTGGTTAAGGAATACATTGAAGATCCTACCAAAATGCTTTTAGTGTAATGAATTTCATTAATTTTCTGTATGAAATGAATGTTTTTTTTATAGAAACAGTTTAAGGATTTCTCATTTTCCAGGTTAGTCCAAATTGATTCTATTTACAATGTCACTGTTATTGTCAGTATCAGTAGCCGATTGAATAATTAAATATTTACTTACAGAATATTAGATTCACGATGGTCCTTTACCTCGTCTCCGTGTCCTGAAACAATTTTTAAAACCATTTCCTAAAACAGGTAAATTAGTCTTCACAGTTGTACATTGCTCATCTTGCATACGTTAAGTTCCGGATGCCCTAGGATATCAACATGCTCAGCTGAACGAGGTCCTCCTCGTAGGTCAAATGCCGCAGGATCATGACGAAGCTCGTAATTGACGACGCTTATATTTGCAGGATTAAATCTTTCTGTACGCCAAGCTTTATTACAAACAAAACCAAGAGCCATCAATGGTAAAGTTCCATCACCGTCATCCATAACAATTCCCTATAATCTGTTAGTGGGTGTATAGAAAAATATCTCTACATACACTTTCAATTTTGGTACCATCATTTACAGAGGAGTCTATCACTGGATGTCCCTCGTCGTTTTGGGAATAAAAGTATCCACGCTCAGTTGGTTTTCCTACCCCGTGAAAACAAAAAATTTTCATATCTGGAGCATATGGAAGACTTGTCTGTAATCATTTAGTAAATAATCAGGCTTCCTTTAGCCATACCTCAAGTGGATTAATCCATTTGGCTGGAATTTTGTTATTGCGTTCCACTTCCTCTTTAGTCCAAGCTAGACCATGTGAATAATTTGTTCTAAGCATATTTCTAAAGTCTTCACTTGTAACATTGTTTAAGAACTGGAATGCTTGTTCCGAATCAAATCGTGAATGAGGATCGGCAGCATCTTTTCTGTAATGTATCATAACACCGTTAGATAAATCTTCGGAATCATCCTCGTCGGCAGCCTTTGAAAGTTAATAACCAAGTAATAATTATTGGATATACCCAGCTTGTATTCCCCCAAATGATATTCCCGCCTTTCGGAAGCATTGAACTGACGCCGCCCATGGTTCGAACCATCATAGCTCTCTGTATAGAGTTAAATATAGCTTTCATAAAATCTCCTTTACCTCAGATCTAGAAAAAAACTTCTCTAAACTATACAGGTGGATTAGTGACACATGCAAAACTTTGTTAATCCCTACCCATATACGGAAAATTGGTTTAATTGCGCTGCAAAGTTAGTTTTGTTTCTCAAATTCTAGTCTAAAATACCAGTATCTTTCATTTCACCAGATAGAAGGGCTGCTAATGTTTTGGGAGCGCCGATTAAAGAACCAGAAATCTAGTGAAGTTAGCAAATCCAAAACTCGTAATTAATCGCATACGTTAATAAAAGTTTCAATATGATCATTCACCCAGCTAGGTCCTCCATTTCCAAATCCCTCAGCTTCTACCCATTTAAAGAAATAATATGTGACTTGGGATCCCATGGAATGAGAAATAAGTACAACTTTCCTGCCGTGTACCAATTTACTATATTCTATAAATAACTACATTGGTTAGTAATAGGATATATCATTCCTTTTACCTTAAGCTTGCTGAAATAGCGGTCTCTTTCCTCCAAATTTGAGTATGATAGCCGCCAATCGTAAGAAGCACTTAGCATATTGTTTGGTTCATATCCAATTGCTGCGAGATTTTCAATGATCTGAGGAATTAGTAAACACGATTACAAACTCATATTCTTACTTTGCTCCATATCCAGTAACCGGTAATGAAAAAGTCGGCTAAATAAGTTTAGCAGGAAGCATCAAAATGTCGTACCTGCTTCAAATCCCTGAAAAATTAATAAATTTGAACATGAATAACTACCATACCTGTGCGGCTCGAAGCTTGATGCCAGGAGGATCTAATCCAGTTTTAGGATCTAACATCAAATGTTCCTGACAAGAAGTTAAAATTGAAATATACCATGAGTCATACCAGCCAACATTGTTTATCAAGGAGCATGGCTTTTAGCATGGACCAACTTCCCTACTCATGTTAATAAAATCTTCAACCTGATATTGCTAGAATTCTATAACGTGAATTACTTACCCAAAGTCTCTTCCTGAAATAAGAAATTCTTAAAAAATTAGAATCTTTATGTCCAGAAATACTCTCCCTTACGAGCAATTGTTGAATGACCAACTTTCCAAGCCCGAGCTAATAACACCAGGAGTCTAAAATTGGTTACTAAGGAACACTTTATGTCCAATTTACCATAATGACAGGATAATGGTAAGAATAACCTTCAGCATGCATATCCAGTCCTACTTGAGCTTCGTTGTTTACTTGCGCCCGACTTCCTGAATCCATTACTACCGTATCGTCAAACATATGAGACGAAAGAAATCCTTTAATATCTTCGAATATGTCTGATGATCCCAGCTTAGTACCTAAAGCTTCCAAGGCAGTTGGATCAAAAATGCCATTGTCGTTACCAACAGCAAAGAACAAGGCACCGCAGATACCTATAATCGCACCTAGAAGAAAAGTCACACGTCTTCCAAATTTTGGTCTCCGAAAGAATCCTGTTCTCTTTTCCACTGCTTCATTATTAGTCGCTTCCGACTCAGTAACCATTGGGGGCTCAGTTTCTTCAGAAGGTATTACGGATTTCTTGACTTTTTTTTTCATATTGTCTCTTTTAAGCCGTTTAACGACTGCCATTTTGAAGGTTATGAAGAAATTGGTTCACAATTCCTCCAGTAACTGACGCTTCAACAATTTAGTTTTCGCTCTTGAAAGGCGACATATTCGTTTGTTTCCTTTCGTTGTAGTACGTTAATAAACACACATTGATTGTTAGTTGTTGTATCACGATTTACTTTGCATTAGCTCAATTTTATTTTGTTGCTTTATTTCAACGTTTTTTACACTTAGTGAATTATTTTCGTATGTTAAGACCTTTAGTGGGTTACTTCCAATAAAGTCGAGAGATCGAATCTTTATAATATTACTATACATAAGTCATTAATGACCAAATTATCTGCTTTTATCCATATTAAACTCAAGTCCGAAAACCATCATCTAACTGCTTTTGCACTTCATCTGACTTGTGCGGTAATAAAGAAAGTGCGTAAGCAACATGATTCCATTGCCGTTGGCTCTTGCAACGAGGTAAACGTGCAGCCAGACGCTCTGTTAATTGTTTCGTATAACGCTCTTTTTCAATAAAGGACATCAAGAATCTGACGATGTGTTTAAATTTCGTATCTTCCTCGTCTTGATCTTCAGAACTTTTAGATAAAACACTGAAAATGTCAATGAAATTATTATACACAGAGTTATCTTTAGCTGAAAAGTCAGTAAAGAACATCCTAGCTAAATCAGCAATTCGAGCATCTTCGTCCTCTAGTGACCGTGCCATGATACCCAGTTGCCCTTTAACTTTAATTTGGCCAGCCAAAATAAGGAATGCAAGAGTCATGAAGCAAGTTTTTTTCACTGATGGATCTGGATCCAACAGTCTTCGGTATAGAAACTCGGAAATTTCATCAATAAAATGGTTAAAGCAAACTGTCAAATCCGCCAAGGCAATGACAAGGTTGTTTCTAATTAATGGATTCTCGCATTTTTCCAATATTGTTATAAGCAATGGCAAATTCTCCATACAAAAGTTATTTGATAAGCACATAAACTTCGCTAATGTCAACGAAGAGGCGACCAACAAACTATCATTATGAGATCCCGTATGATGTGAACAAACTTCTACTACCAAAGGAGCAAAACGAGACAATAATGAATTTTCTCCATATAACAATTCTCTTTCACGAATGAATGTCATAGCTTCGGCAAAATCATCTTCACTTGTACCAGTAATTAAATCAAACTCGGATTCGTTAGCACTTTTATCATTGGATTCAGTGGGATTTTTCTCGGCATCTGCTTTTCTTCTTTTGAACTCAGCTTCGCAGTACTCAATGTAAACAAGTTGTTTAATAGCAACATGCCCAACAACAAATATAAGATGAGCAAACTGTGTAGAAGCATTTTTCTCCTGTTCTGGTATATTGACGTCTTCGTCCATGGCATCCTCGTTATTGTGCTCAGCTGCTTTCGTTCCATCAAATAAATTTTTGGTTAGTAAAATAATCACGTTTGTACAAAGTTCATCAGGGTGTTTCGAAATTGCATAAATGGCGTCGACAACCTGCTCTTGAAGCCCAAACCATTCATCAGATGTCGAAGGTCTCAACAGGAGCATGCAAAGTTTCTGACAGACAACATGGGAATTCGGGAATGTAATAGCTGAAGAAGTGGAAGAAGTTTTTGCTAATCTTTTAATGGTTATACAACTGTATCGAGCAAGGACTAAATCGTCCAAGCCAGGAACACCAAGCCCAATTTGAACCAAGTAGTCCAAACCTTGAATAATAATCTCGTTATTGCCGAGTGCAAGCATACTCAAAACAATTATCGCACCACGACGTTGCGTCCTTGAAATATCCTTCTTTACATAACTATAAACTTGCCATAGTTTAGTAACAACCAGCGGTGGGAAATAGTCTTGCTTCATTAAGATGGAAAGCATTTGTTCAAGTGACGTTAATTCAGCAAGACTGGAATCGTAAGTCAGAGCTATCAAATTCCTGGCCATATAGTTGGCACGATCATTCGCATCGCTGCCAGGAGGGGGTTGGAAAAATAATGTTTTATAACAGCTTAAAACATGATTTTGTATACTATTACCTTCATCAGAAGTCCCTTTCACCCATATCAAGTGAATCATACGTTTAATATATTTTTTCGCAAAAGATAGATAGAAGGAACTGCAACAAACAAAAAAATCCATAGCTTCAATAACCTCGCTCTTATTTTTCGCCGATAAAAGTTGACTGATTATTTTTGCGCCTTCTTCCAAGGTATCTATAAACTTCAGTGCTTCAACATAAAAGCGTTTGGTTAAGTTTATTTTGACGATATCTTCGGCAGGAACAGAATCAGCATAAGCATTCAATGAATCTTTTTCTTGACTGCTTTCTAAATCCATAGATACATTATCCTCTTCATCACGTATCATAGTAGCATCTTCGAGTAAATTTTCATCAACACTACTTTCATAATCAGTGCTTGTGACGATGCGTTTCGGTTGTAATGAACGCAACTGCTCTTCAACAAAATTGAGACCCTCTTCCCATACACTTCTTGTAAGTAAACCATTATGCATTACAGAAAATGGATGAGTGGTTAATAGCTTTGAGAAGAGTCGAATTGCGTTTCTTCGGACATGGCTGGAACGATCCTGCATACAACGAATAGTAAGTTCAGCAATTGCTTGTCGCTTTTGAGGATACTTGATAGGTAACTCGAAAATACGAACAAATACTTGAAGGATTTTTGTACGACAATATGGACTGATGTCCAATAATCTGTCCTCCAAAACTTCGAGGATACTTTGGACGTTCGATGAAATTGACTCAGTATTATCTTCTTCTGAATCATCCTGGATGAGGTCGAGAATAACGTTCCCGATCACTTCAACAATGGCGCATCTAAGCGTGTAGGATTCAGAATCTAATAACTTTGACAACAAAGTTAATTGCTTAAAACATAAATTCGGCAATAAAGAAGAGAGATGGATTAGAAAGAGAGATACTTGCTTAGGTCCTTTTACGTCGTTTTCACTAAATTCCAAAGAACAAAGGGTATGAAGAATACCTTCAGCCAAAGGAGAAAATTCGTATCTTGCTGTAGTAAGATGGACTAAATCTGCTAAATATTCAGCTAAATGCTCAAAATATTGAAGACTTTGTATAATCCTGGTTTCGGCAGCAGCAGTTTGGTGGTGATACTTCACGGCAAGACTTATAAGGTCAAAAATTCGCACTCTTAAAGCGCTGTTTTTGATATTAATATCGCTTTCCATCAAAGTATAGACTGGCTTTAGAAAGAGAGAAAGAAACATATCCCTCTCAGAAGACGTTGTCCACACTCGAGATAGCTTTTTGTGGAAAAGATTACTGACAGAGTCAAGGAAAGCATTCACATGAGCCAATCCATTCCAAGTAGAGTTCTGTTGTTGTGATATATTTTTCTTTTTATCCCTAGAGCTGCTAGAGGAAGCTTGTATGATACTGAGTTGATTACTCTCTGAAAGGGATTTGATAGTAAGCTGAAAAGCTATTCCCATAGATTCCAAGTTTGTTTGTGGAACAAAATAATCTGTAGCATTTGCAACGATCATGTCTTCAAGCACGGCTGTTTCAGAACCGATAATACTCGTCAATAAATCATAGATTTTATTCTTCGTAGATGAAGATAAGTCGCAGAAATGCCTATGACTTGATTAGTAATGCGAAAAACATCTCCGTAAGTAGACAATGTTTTTCATTGTCTTTACCACAATAAATCTACATACAGACAAATCGCAAACAATTTTTCAATGCAGTCATCGTCGAAACTAGAGCTAGTCCCTAATAGAAGTGTATCAATAACATCTAAATAAAAAACATTGTCAGTACCAAATACCACTAAGCATGATGCATTCTCTTACGATTGACAGCGTTAGACAACCCAGCATTTTGACAGTCTGTATATATAGAATTCAGCACAGAGTTTCCTTCATCGTGAATATACTTTTTTAGCCTAGAAAGGAGGTCCAAAGACATCGAAACTTCCAATAAAGTTAATTCTCTAGGTTTTGTTTACGAATCCATGTTGGTAGCTGCTTTTGAGCAATATTACTTTAGAATCACTACATGATTATATTTTCCAATAACATAATAGTGCATTTATTGATCCCCACATGCTGAGAACGACGGCAATTCAGTTTCAATTTGCGTGGGGGTCAATTCACTACCTTTAGTTTATTGCTTGGACTATTTACTAAAGAGGTACAAGGAGGTGGCTTAACAAACAAAAAACATAAACGTATATATACAGTTCTTACCATGCAATTTAGATTCAAATTAATTTTCCATGTAGATGTGCGTCTATTAATGTTGCAGAAAATTCCTTCCTACTTCTTCTGCTACTATGTACCTAAAAGTTTAGAAATTCCTTTCTTTGTTTCCTGCTCTTCTCTGGTTCCTAGACTTTATCCATGAAATACATATATTTTTTAGTTTCTAGAAATTAGAATGTACCAAAACCACATCTATTTTCATTTTATAAATGGAAATGTTTTGAGAAGCAGAGTAACAATGCTACCTTTCGAAAAATTCCTCGTGTCTTGGCTTTTAATAAACACAAACCTTTAGTAGTGCCCACCGTACGCGTTTTTCTTTGTTTTCCTTGCATGGATCTTTAATACGATCGTCATTTTGATTTTAAGTGGGGCCCTTCTAATAAAAGCAGATTTGAATTAGGATACGGATGCTATAGTGCTTAGTACGTTCTTTTTATGTGTAAAACCGAGATTCTATCTTTTCAGTAACTTCTTTGGGAAGCAAATTCAATATTCGTGTGGCAATGTCCAGTCTCATAGCGAAACAATCTGCAAACCTGGATACTTCAAAACAAGTAGCCGACGAAATAGATGAATGCGAGGCTACAGATATAGACGAAGAAGGAAAATCAGATAATAAAGAGGACAAGGAATGTATGCATAATGTTCCAGAACAGGATCGTGAAGAAATGGAGGAAATCATCAGTACTTTTGATGGACTAGAAAACCAATATAATCTCGTTGAAAAGATCGGGGAGGGTAAGTTTTATTACTCTTTTTAGAATACTTTCAGGAAGAAAATCGATGCTAACAAGAAATGTAGGAACGTTTTCGAGCGTATATAAAGCTGAAGATTTAAAGTATTATGACTATATTAATGATTGGGACATTGACTCTAAAGCTCGGACTAAACAACCGGAGTCAGAAACTTCAAATGATCGAACAGAGATAGGTACTATGAAGCGAGAGGCCAAGTACGTTGCTATAAAAAAGATATACGCTACTAGCAGTCCCATGCGTATTCTAAATGAACTGGAAATCCTCTATCTTCTGCGAGGAATGGATACAATTGCACCTTTAATTACTGCATTAAGAAACGAAGACCAAGTTTTGCTTGTACTTCCATATTATCAGCACACTGATTTTCGACAATTCTATAGCACTTTTTCATATAAGGATATCAGCGTATACTTTCGTTGCTTGTTTGAAGCTTTGGCCGCCTGTGAATCGTTGCAAATTATGCACCGCGATATAAAACCTAGTAATTTTCTTTTTAATGTAGAACGAAAACATGGCGTTTTAGTTGATTTCGGGTTGGCTGAACGCTGTAGCCGCCCTCTTCCTAACTCCTGTCCCTGTGCATCGCGTGACAGTGCAGAAGTAGCTCGTGAATCTTATAAAGACTATGAACCAGCCTTGGGGTATGTAAAAAATGATACTAGACCTAGCAAACGAGCAAATCGAGCTGGAACTCGAGGATTCCGAGCACCAGAGGTTTTGTTGAAATGTCCGGCTCAGAATACAATAATTGATGTTTGGTCGGCTGGTGTTATATTACTATCTTTCCTTACAAAACGATTTCCAATGTTTAACTCTAAAGACGACGTTGATGCCCTTATGGAAATAGCGTGTATCTTTGGGAAAAACGAAATGCGACAGGTTGCAGCACTGCATGGTAAGCTTTCTACTTTAATTTATAATACGGACACTTTACTAACTGATTATTTTCTTGTTTTAGGCTGCACATTTGAAACCAACGTTAATACTCTAACGGAGAAAAGAGTTAATTTTCGTAAACTAATATTATGGGCTAGCTGTGGATCGGCAAGCATTTATAAAGAAAAATTAATGCATAAACCTAGTTTTGAAGAAAGCTTGTGTCTAGATTTTCTCGAACGCTGCCTAGAGTTGGATTGTAATAAACGCATTACGGCATGTGAGGCAATGGCCCATGACTTTATGTATTTGGATGACCCAACACACCAATTCAGCTTTCAGCGCGAGACTTCGTTTGAGAAGCCAGAAACTGATTCACCTATGGAAAATGACTCGACTGAAATGACTCAACACTTTTCTCGAATTCTAAAAGATGAAGAAAATGAGCCAAGTACACAGGATATGTCTGTCTTAAAAAGGAAGCGTCCCAGTGTTGACAACACATGACTGCCTATAGTTCATATCTAATAACCTCCTTATATTATGTCTATTTATGTTTTACTGTATTTCTTTTTTCTATTTATAGTTTCAAAATAATAAAGTTACTCATAGGATACTCGAATGGAAAAAAAGCTTTAGGTGTCCTTCCTACAAGACTTAATCGATTTTACAGTTGAAACAAGCACACTTTTGGGAAACCTAAGCCATTTTCATCATGAATTAAAACCAAACAACATTTATTAAATCTTTTTAAGCAACGAGTTCAACAACACCACCAGCTTGCTTGATCTTCTCCTCGGCTCTGCGGGAGACGTAGCGAGCTTGAACGATGACAGGACTCTCAGGAAGACGACCCTTACCCAAAACCTTGGCATAACCAGATTGGAGGACATTAATCACAGGGGCAACTTCAGCGTTCTTACCCAAGTACTTTTCACGGGTCTCGTTAGGGACCAAAGTCCAGAGACGGTCCAAGTTGACAGTAGGGCGCCACAAGGGGTTCTTAAGGAGGTGATAATGGCGCATACCGACCTTACCAAAGTAACCAGGGTGGTACTTGTCCAAGTGAGTACGGAGATGGTGTTGACCACCAGCAAGACCACGACCACCAGGGTGCTTCCTGTGCTTGCCGATACGACCGTGACCGGCGGAAACGTGACCACGAAGCTTACGATTCTTATAAGCGTGAGTAGGCATTCTTTTTGTCGCCTGTTAGGTGGTGGGCTGGGGAGGTGTGAAAATTCGTTTTGGTGTTTAGAGATACTAGAAAAAGCAGTCACAATGTTTACAAAATACAGGTATCATCGTAAACGAAATAAAATGATATTACAGAAAAACAGGAATTGTTGGCTTTTGAAATTTAAAAAAGGATGAAATTCATTAATTTGAACATTCATTTTTCTAGCATCATGTAAATAAAGTATCAATTAAAACGAGTTCCTTTTCAAAAAGCAACGTGAAATAGGATAGTAGATTTTTCCACCATTAAAGGTACAACCATTGAAATTGCGAGGGATGTATCTAGTTTTGATATGGTAGGTATTCAGGAATTGTATCTACCATTGCCATCGTTTCAGCTTCTGTGTATTTCTTGGTGTCATTGGCAAAAGAGTAGCAATCAGGCTTATTATCATAACATACTTCAACATTAGAAGTTATGCCTTGAACATTCTCGAAAATCCAAGGGTTTACACAAATTTGCTTCATATTATTGTAATAGAATGATAAACTAGTACCGCAACTTTTGCAGAATGTTCGTTTGGCTATGTCAGAAGATGCATAATGGGTCACCTTTTCCTTAGGTTCAAGGTCAACATGTTTAGCTTCAAAGGCCATAAAAGGTCCCGTACACCATTTGCGACAGCTTTCGCAATGACAAGTGCTGAGTTCGGGCTTCTCTACTTGTGCAGAAACCTGAACAGCTTTGCAAAGACAAGAACCATGGTACTCTGGCATTTTAAGTAATTGCTTATTTATTAGAGACAAGCCAAAACAGTATAAGCTTTGGGATCCTTTCTTATAATATAAGCGTTAGCTTCTTGACTTGTACGTAATCTGTTAGGAATTCTAAATTACATACCTATAACATTGTTTTGCCACGTAACCGAAAAGTAACGGAAACAAACTTGAATAAACAAGTTCAACAAGTCCAGTGCTATGGTTTATGAACATTGAGCGTCACTTTGGTTTCAATGAATTTGCCTTGCATTTTATGATCTAGTAGCGCTTTGAACCTTTAATAAAAAATGGATAGATGTAAATCATTTCCAGTACATTCATTCCAACTTGGTAAGGTTTTATGCAAAGTAATAGCTTTTATGCTTTCGGCAATTTGGGTTGAATGGACGCTCGCAATTTGGACAATTGCTGGTTTGCTGATATTGATCCCTTGTCAGGTTATGTTTACATGCTCCACAGAGAACAGGGAACAGATTTGGTGTTTCTTTCCATGGCTCAAAACGATGTGACTCCAGGATGTTATGACAAGTAAAACAGGCGTAAAACCTTTTGCATGCAAAGCACCGCAATGCTACAATATCCAATTCGCTATGGTAATGCTGACAACGGGACCAGTCATCTACCAGCAAACCGTATATAGTAGATGGTATACTCATCCTTGGTTGTATCGAAAATCTAGTAATGCCAGTATAGAAATTGAATATTAACGAAAATCCGAGAAAACTATTTGACGGAAGTGATGAAATAGAAAAAGAAAATAGTAATATGATCAATACACGAGAAAACAAAGGAACGTAGAATATGGGTACTTGAGAATCCGTAGAAATTGGTCTTTGAAAGTGCCTGGAAGCGACAGTGAATCAGCAAAGGAATAAGAATGACTCTGCCGCTTGAAATAGATAAAGTTCAGGATCCGTTTTTCTTGGAGAAATGCTGTAAATTACACTTCTTGCACTTCATTGAAAAGAAACAGGTTGCGTTCGCTCATTCAAACAGATTAATTCATTTATCCAAGTATTTGCAAATCCATTTCAAGTAAAATAAATCAAAAATAATTATCCAGGTTTTATGACTCAGTCTTTATTTGCCTTGCACTTGGTGGTAGACCCTCTAACCAAGTACCTCAATGGAGGTAAAAAGCGAAAAGCCTGAATATAGACCAAAACAAGATATATTACTGTCATTTAGGAATCTGATATCAAAAAACATTGCTCAATTGTCCTCTATTAATTATGCGAACCCTCAATTAGAGTCTGCATTACAACAATTATCAGAAAGGAAATTCAAAAATGAGAAAGAAGCCCGAGACCAATTCCCTTTTGAAACCTTTTCAGACTTGATTTGGACAAATGGCTCTATTCTGCATGAATTATCTAATTTGACAAATGTATGGAAAAATGGTCAATTTGCAAAAAGAGTATCTTGCAAGCTAACCCAAGTAGCATATAGAATCCATGAATGAATCTTTCTCGTCATTCTCAGGGTTAATTGATTCTTATGACTCTCAATGGAATTCCAAATCTAAAGCTGCCTTGGAATTGTATAACAAATACCAAGCCTTCGAAGCTGAGGAGAAACGCATTTATGAAAAGCTTAACGGCATAGAGTATTTTGAGAACAACTTCTTAATTTCAGATGAAGATCTAATTCATTTAACTTCTCATAACGACGTTGACGATCGCTTTTATTCAATCCTTGAGAAAGCACAATCCATTCATGATAACACAAACTCTCTATTTACTCCTGTTAGTGAGTTCCTTAACTATGAATCTCTCGAAGGGATTATAAAAACCATGTCGAAGCATATTGATACTGCGTATGGTAAGCTGTACAGGTTTGTAGAACTTGAACTCAGAAACCCTCGAGTGATTCAAACTATGGAAACAAATCCAGACATTAAACGAGCAATAACAAAGCTCTTATCTGAAAATACAATGTCCAGTAGAACGATAAATTTGATAATTCAGGTACGGCAGCAAAATCTTCATTCTGCGTATGTCACTGCTTTGACTAGAGGTGATTCACTTTCTTCCTCAAAACCAATTGAGCTTTCAGCGCCAGATAGTTTGCGCTTTATTGGGGATCTGTTGGCCTGGATCCATCAGACTATTGTGAACGAAAAAGAGCTGATAGATTCTATATTTGCTAGTCGAAGACAACAAGTAAATAGCCATCCGATGCCGCCTTGGGACTTACCCTCGACTGTTCAAGAACAAGCAAATAATCTGCTAGATGGTAGCTTGTATGGTATTTGCCGTCCTTTGTTGTCGCGGGCGCAAACCTCAATCCTCGATTTGACTGATACCATACGTTTATACAATTTGGTCGAGCTACTTGGGTTCTATCATGAAGCATTTTCAAAAATTATTCACGAGAATTGTATAGTTTTAAAGATATTAAAGACGTATGTTTATTTTTTTGCCATATTGTACTAATATTTTTAAGAACTGAAGATTTTACTTATCAAAGAATGAAAACAGTTATTGATGATGAGCTATACGCTATTTCTTCTTCTTTACCTAAAGTTACGGACGACTTGCTTCCACCGGATTTTGTTACAAATTTCCTTCGAAACGCAAATTCTATTTTTAAAATTCGAAACGCATCTCTCAGTGCGGCAGGAGTAGATGAGCTGCAGTTCATAGCAATCTTCTCCGATTTATTTGAAAAAGTGTTTCAAATTTGTTTGACTATGGTTCCCAACCGCTTACTAAATCACCGAGATATTATATACTTACTTAACATTTTAGACAGCTGTCTTACTTACCTCAGGCGCTACAATTTCCTCACCCCTATACGAGATAGCTTTGAAAGCTACATAAATACATACGTTGAAAAGCTGGTTGATTTGGTATATCAAACTTATCTTACCGAATCTGGTCTTTCGGATCTCATCAACTTGATTAAAAACAAGGACGATGAGGAAGAACTAAAAGCTATCTTCTTGTCTATCCCTTGGGACCAACAGGTCTCACGATTTAGTTCTTTTGTTACTATAACCATTTCGGAAATAATCGCAGATTTTCAACTTCTTGCTGCTCCATTAATAATGGAAAATGTAATGAAAAGTACAGCTGAAAAGTTTATACAATCATTCCAACAATTCACTCAAAAGGTTCAACCTATAGTTGGATATGTATGGCCGTTGTCAATTGAGGAATTGAAAATTGCCATGAATGTAGATTCGACTCTCGATTTCTAGCTAAAAAAGCAATGACCACAATAAAATAGATGAACATAACTGTACACTAATCTAATTGCTATTGAATTTAACATCATTCAAAATTTTTAGAGTCAAGAGTCAACGATCATGAGATCTGAAACGACTATTAACTTTTAACTCCATATTCACAAATTGGCGGCTTTCACCTCAACTACGTACACCCAAATTTAGGTCTTCAAATAAATCAAAAAAGGGAATGATATGATCATCATCTTTATAAATGGAAAATTGGTGACAGTGTCTAAAAGACAGTATTTTTAATCATATCACAAGGACCTTCTACAAGTTGGGCTTCATAGCCTTATGATAAAGACTTAGGATTGGAACCTCCATATCTAGGGTTACGTCTGGGACCATATCCACCACGGTAACCACCGCCGTTACCGCGTCCAGAATGACCACGGTAGTTGTTACGATTATGATTGAATTCCTGGCCTCTAGCTTGCTGAGCAGCAAGAGCTTGTTCAGCAGTACCAGCCAAAGGACGGGGAACTTGATAGTTACCATTGGGGAATACATACAAAGAAGGATCAATGCTAGAAGGAATAGGTTGAATCTCAGTACCAAGCTCATTTTCAATACGGTATAAGTTAAAACGATCTGCCCAAGAAATGAAGCTGATAGCTAGACCACGGTGTCCAAAACGACCAGAACGGCCAATACGGTGAAGATAGGTCTCGGCGTTCTTAGGGAAATCAAAATTGACAACAACATTTACAGCTTGGATATCAATACCACGGGTTAACAAATCAGAGCAAACCAAGTTTCTACAGACACCATTTCTAAAATTGTGAAAAACACGGTTGCGATGAGATTGAAGCATTTTCGCATGAGAGTAGAAGCATGAATATCCCAACTCAGTGATTTTTTTAGCGAGCAACTCAACGCGATTGGTAGAGTTGCAGAAGATAATAGACTGATTAATTTGAAGCTTGGAGAACAAGGTATTGAGGCAATGCACCTTTTGACTTTCATCAACAAACGCATAATACTGGGTAATACCTCGCAAAGTAAGTTCATCCATCAAATTAATTTCATAAGGCTTGCTAAGATACTTGTCCATAAAGGCTTTGACGATCAAGGGGAAGGTGGCACTGTATAAAGAAATTTGACGGTTTTTAGGGAAATAAGAGAGTAGCTGCTCAATAATAGGGGTAAATTCAGGGCTCAATAATTTGTCGGCTTCATCCATTACAAAGGTCATACATTCACTGAAGTTGGCTACTCCTTTTCCGGCTAAATCAAGCACACGGCCAGGAGTTCCAACGACGATGTGGACAGGGTCGTTCAAACGTAAAATATCATCTCTGAGAGTCGTACCACCAGTGGTAACCATTACCTTGATATTCATATGCTTGCCCAAAGTTTTGCAAACTTGAGAAGTTTGGAGTGCTAACTCACGAGTAGGAACAAGAATTAAAGTTTGAATCTTGTTTTTTTTTGTGTCTACTTTTTCCAAAGAGGGAATAACAAAGGCAGCAGTTTTACCGGTTCCATTCTTGGCTCTAGCAAGAATATCGCGCCCGCTAAGGGCTATAGGGATGGATTCTTCTTGAATAGGGGAAGGGCGTTCGAAGCCTGCTTCGAAAATACCCATTAAAAGCTCACTTTTGAGAAGTTAGAGAAATTCATTCGGCTATGACCTGAAAGCTACTTACCGCTTCAAATAATAATCCTCAAATTCGGTACCTCTAGTTTTCGTCACATCCTAATTAAAGAAATTAATAAACAGCTCTCAAAATATCATAATCGTCCTATTAGTCGAAATAAGACTCTCAGAAACATACCTCGGTCTTGGGCCGCTTATCAACGTTTGTGGCCTGTAATTGCGCTTTCCAATCCTGTTCATTTAAGGTCGCATTCTCCAATTTTTGAATTAAGTTTTCAGTCATAATGTCAACCTTTTCTTTATATACGTCGAAAGAACGATCTAATCAAAATATTGCCAAACACTTATTTGTTTTCGTTGATTACAACAAAATGTATCGTAAAAAAATCAGTTTGATTTCAAAATGTTAACAGTTACTGTATTTTGCAAGCAGTTTAGGCCGTAAATACTCTTATATATAACCCTTTCAGGGTACTCCAGAAAATTGAGGCCGTTGTTGGTATAGGGAAGGTTAAGACGTGTAAAGTTGGAAACAAAGCCTAAACATATTCTGTATATGTTGCTAAATTTATAATGTAGTATTATATAGAATTTTCAAAGAAATGCATAGAAATTGTTTTATCAAGCGTTTGTGTATGGGTTTTTTATGAATTCCTGCTACCCTATGTTTTACGCCAACAAAATTATCGGTAGTGGAATTTACAGACAACGACTCAGGAAATTTCTTTAGGGGTGTCATGAGTGCCATAAAGACAGAGTTGAGTGGACCATCTGATAGTTTTAATGAGGTGAGTTTAGCTATAGTATAAGATTCAGAGCAATTGCTAACATCGACTAGCAGAATGAATCCTTGAACGTTAACAATAATAATGTTAAAGACAGTCCAAAAAATGGCATACAAACCCCTAATGACTCTATTCAACGAAAACGCTTTAAGACAGAAGTAGAGCGCGAAGATTTAGAAAATCTTACTCTTTCAAAGACGAGTGCTTTTGACCTCCAGGCTGTAGAGCTAGTGAGAGAAATTTCTGTTAGCAATAAGCATTTGAAGGTGTCTCTTTCTCTTGTTGAAAGGATAAAGAAAGTATTAAAAGGTATTCCAGAATCTGAGGAATGTAATTTCTGGCTAGCATGCAAAGAGTTAGAGAAGTCTGGCAGTGTTAAAATACCTCTACACAAGCCCTTTCCCCCTGAAGATACAAACATTAAAGTTAAGTCTTCGAGTCCATTATCGGTTTCTGCTGGTATTCTATCCAGCAGTGGAAAGCTCTTTTCTACTCCAGATGGTTGGGTGTATGATCTACTTGCTGAAATGCCTCCTACACTTTTCACACCTAAAGATTTTTTAAATAATCGTTATTTCCATAAGCGTGAATATTATCTAGCATGCTTAGCTAAAGAGGTAGTTCAAAAACTTGGCACTGACGTTGAGGTCAAGTACATTGCTCTACATGGGGACGTGCGCCGACCTATTTTACAGTTGAAGCCAGTAACCGAAGATCCTTCGTCGCGTAAAAGATTTTCAATACATATAATACCTTGTCTTACTTCCTTCTTTCCTACATCTAAGTTGTTGGGCCATAAAAACAGTCTTAGAAATCTTTCGGCTGGTGAGGAACTGCTTCCTACTCCATTCTACAATTCCTCTATTTTGGAGGATCAATCTATGTTATACTATCGGGATTTGATTAAAAAATACAGTGTGAATCCTCAATTTGTTGAGGCTTGCGGATTAGGTAGCGTCTGGTTAAATATGAGAGGCTTCTGCTCAAGCATACATCAGTATGGCTTTGGCCTTCAAGAATGGTATGTTTTGCTTGCTCTTCTTATGAGCGCATCCGGACTTCCCACAGGCAGCGTTTTGTCTGCGTACTTGAATGCTACTCAATTATTTAAGGGTGTTTTGCAGGTTTTGTCCTCTGATAGTCTTTCGAATTCATTATATAGAGTAAATTATGACACATCGTCTTTGGCCATTGTTGATCGTTCTTCACCTACGTTTGTCGATTGCTCTACTGGTTCAAATTTACTCTATAAAATGAATCAAAAATATTTTGAATATTTAAAGGTCTCTTCTTTGCATTCATTGAAACTTTTGAATGAGAACGAAATTGCCAATTTTCCTAAGGTTTTCCTCACCCGAGTGAATGTTCCTATTCTCGAGTTTGATGTTTCTGGTACCATTCCTGTGGATTTAGAAGCAAGTCTTGAGAATTATGTCGAATTGACGGATTTGGATTCTAAATTTTCATATTATTTGGCACGACTTTGGAATTTACTGGACCAAGGTTTGAACGATCGTGCAAATAGGCTTCTTCTGTTTCAATCAGACGTTATTTCATCCGGAGTAAACGATTCGTTAGAAAACAATTATCCAAGTAAAATTTCATTTGGACTTTTACTAAATCCAGAAGTTTCCTTGCGATTGGTTGATGTCGGTCCATCTCTAGAAGACGTTGAAGCCACCGCAAAATTTCGTGAATTCTGGGGAGAAAAATCCGAATTAAGAAAATTTAAGGATGGTAGAATTGCTGAAAGTGTATACTGGGAGTCCTCAACACCTAGTGAGCGTTCACAAATTCCTATGAGAATTATGAAATATGTTATAAGCCATCACATTTCAAACAAATGTGGTGATTTGCTGAAGTTTCATAACGAAGAATTTCAGCTATTTACCCATGCTAAATTATCACCGAACGTTGACACATACAATGATTATGTACCGGTAATGGAAGCTTATAATGAAGCAGTTAAAACACTTCTTAATTTATCGGATATTCCACTTACTATATCAGAGGTCCTACCAGCGGACGAAGCATTGAGGTATAGTTGTAGTCGTGTTCCTGCTTATGAAACTTTTGCGACTACGCCTATAGACATAGTTTTCCAGTTCGAATCTTCTTCTCGTTGGCCAGATGAGTTAGAGGGCATTCAAAGAACGAAGATTGCATTTTTGCTAAAGATAGCTGAATATATGGAAGAATTGGACAATGTTGAAAAGGCAGCCGTGGGACTTGAGAATACGGATCATCCTACTTACAATTGTTGTTTTCTACAAGTGTTATATTCCAGCGGATTCACATTTCGTTACAGAATACGAAACGATAAAGAAGCAGCCTTATGGAAATCACTTGAAAGGAACTCTATAACAAAACAGAAAGGACAAGAAGGTTTGTACGTATACGACCATATGTTCAAATTCATACCTCAGCATACCCTTGCTATTCAAGCAATCTGTCAAACACACAGGAGTTATTCCATGGCTGTTCGCCTTGCTAAGCATTGGTTTTACAGCCATTTGCTTACCAATCACGTAAGCGATGAAGTGATAGAGCTTTTAATAGCTAGTGTCTACGTAAACTCTAATGCTTGGCAAGTCACTGCTAGTGGAGAAACAGCTTTATGCAGAATGCTACATTTCTTGGCCAACTGGGATTGGCGTTTTGAGCCACTGGTGATTGATTTTCGTCAAAGGTTACCATCAAACATACAGTCGCAAGCAACTGAAAAATTAGAAGTATTGCGAAAGCAGGATGTTTCAATGAGTCGTAATCCATTTTATATCGTCGTGGATTATGATTTAGAAAGTAAACACCTTGGGTGGAAAACGCCAACTAAAATGATTGCTAATCGAATTACTGTATTAGCTAGGGCGGCTGTATCGGAATTGATGAAACCAATGGCAAATTTTAAGGTAAGCACTTTATTAATATTTCATTGTATTTGGGTTCTGTTTACTAACTTAATTTTAGTCTCTGTTCAAAAGCTCAATGGATGCATATCATTTCGTGATAGAATTACATGCAAGTCATATTCCTACGTACCGTGAAAATGCCAAACTTAAGTACAAGAACCTGAAAGTTCTATCTTCCGAGAGACCTGGATTTTCACCTGTTAGTGATTTCATTGGGGAAATAGAAAACGCTTTCAGTGATACAATTTATCTGTTTTACAACAAAGATGACCCCAAAACAATTGGTGGTATCTTCAATCCTGCCGTTCTGAATTCGCGTCATTTTAAAATTAATACAAATTATCCTTTCAAGGTCGTTGAAAATGATTTAGTGGTTGTGGACGCAGTCGCCGTGTGTCAACAGATTCAACAGGTGGGAGGTGACTTGATTAAATCTCTTCGTTTGCAAATTTAATAGAGCATAAACGGAATAATGGCTGAAAGATTTCAATTTTCTAAATGGTTATAATCTGAAAATTGATTTTTGTAAAAAGAAAAAGGAAAAGGAAAAAGCCCCAAGCAACGAAACAAAAGGGGTTCTTTTTGGTTAAATTCTTACTATTTGGTGTTAAATATGGATAAAAAGTTTTGGGACTGGTTTAGATTAAGGTTAATTTTATTTTTAGTATACTCAAATTTATGACTTGCCTATTATGTAAAATTAGGAAGAAATTTGGAGGTTTGAAATATATGAGATGGTCACTTAACGTAAGCAAGTAACTCTTCAGATACATGCACACACAATATACCAGGAAGAAAGTAAGCAAAATTTGGGTAGATCACTTTACTTGACAAAATCACGAACATTTTCCAACCAACGTACGTACTCCTTGAGTTCTTTAGTTAAACCGAAAGAAATGACGAAGGAGGCGGTTTCAGAATCAATGTGACGTTCTTCCAAGAAACTGTGGAAGAGGTCTTGAAGCTCCGGATCTAATTCCTTAAAGGAAGGGCCAAGATATTGTTTGCGGCGAGTCCATTCAGCTTCAACACTGTCAGAAGTTAAGACGTCAGTATCCTTAGAGAAGAAAATGTTCTCAATTTCGAAGCCTTCATCGTAAGCCATAGCTTCGAAAGCCAAAACTCCGGCACCAGGTTTCAAGACTTCAACAGTACAAGGTTGGAAGCGACCCAAAGCCTCAGAAGTACCAACCTCGTCTTCCGGGATCTCTTGAATGGGCTGATTTTGACCCTTATTTTCATACTCTTCTTGAAAATCGCTCAACTCATTCTCTTCCATGGCGGGTTCCTGAGTATCGTCGGAAACATTAAACTTGATATAGATACTGAACAAAAGTTAGTAAACCTTTCTAGATTTTGAGCTCATCAAACTCCTGCGTTCGTACGTTTCATCACCCTTTTGTGTTTTCAACTTCACTGTGGCATCTCCACGGATGTCCTCAATTTCGTATGGGATGGGAGGCAAAGAAGTGTCTGTCAAAACGTGCTTCTTCTCATAGTCAAGCTCCGACTCCAAAGCAGCTAACAAATCTTTCCTAGAATCATGGGAAGCCATACGAATGCCAAAGGGAGCTCTTGCAATAATTTGGCTTCTCTGCAAACGTGCAACTCTAGGAGAAGCAGCAAACCGGTAGGTGGAAAACTGCTTAGAAATAGCCTGCGTGGCCACACGGAAACGAGGAAAAGCTTTTACAAAACTCATATCCAATCGATTTCGTCAAATTGGAAATGTATAAGGAAGAAATGCTACGTGCTGGTTAGATACCGACCTGTTGTGAATAGTTATGGAATGACAATAAGTTCCTCTTTAGTGTGATATTCTTGTCTTAATTATGAGCATTGTAATATTGTATTTGAACAGATTGTAATACGATAGTCACAAAGTAACATGGAACTCGTCAACAAAAGCTTGCATTGAACGCGTCTATGGTGACTTTTTCGTTTTCGAAGCAAGAAAGAATTGCTCATGTAAATAGTATCTGAAGTGTTTACATAAAGAATAGAAACAGCTATTCATCGCTATATTCTCAAAAGTATGCGCTAAAGAGCTATCTAAGAATATAACCTGTCGATTCTGCTGTATTTGCTTCATAAACTACAACGAAAGCACATTTTTTGCTTAAAAATACCTTATTTTTGTTTTTGTAGAAGTATTTCCAAAGGCATATACGCGTTTCGTGTTTCAGTAGAATATCCACGCGGCGGCTGGTACGTCCTTTCGGTTGTATCGAGACTATCAAAAATTGTTGTTTACTCCTTTTTCCTTTTGGTACCCTTCTACATTCACATTGGTTAATTTGGCGTTGAGTGATTTTGCTAAATCGCTGGTGTTAATGATTCAATCCTTTTTTGTTCTTGTACATTAGTGTTTGGTCTTATTTGTTATTTTTTCTTATTTTGTATATCATTGATTATTAAATCTGTCCATCATACTTTATAAAGCCCTTCTACATGAATATTGATTATATTTTCACTGCTGTGTTCGATCCTGATCAAGGTCCCGTTTTGCAATATCAGTTTCCTCAGACTAGTCACTATGATTTCCGATTCCTTGCGGAAATCATGTTACCTGATAGGATTCACGAACGAAATGAGGACTGGTTGCAGTTTTTCCTTCATTTTCGTGAGGATATTCAAGCGTATTCCCTTTTTCCTTCAGTAACCAAGGCTATCAAAGGGCCAAATGGCTCAGAAGTCTATCACGTTCTAAACGTTATTCGTACAAAACGTGAGCGACTTGCTAAAAGAAATGGTAGTCTGTCGGCAATGGCTATTTGCACCTCTTTTCCTCATGTTCAAGCACTAAAACCTTTATTAGATACTGCTTGGAGCAGTTTCGATGCTTCACCTTCTTCTCTAACATTAGAGCATGTGTTTAAAAAACTGTGCAGTCACGATTTTCACTCTTTTTTCTTAGATGTCTCTTTAGATTCTTCAGTCATATTGACTTTAAACGACTTCCATCCTTATGTTGAATTTCAGACTCAGAAGTCTGAGATTGGAACTAATAGTTATTCCCCTCCCTTGCTTGATTCTGGCGTTTCTTTAAAAATTCCGCCGACAAAGTTTTTATTGAGTACTTCGGCAGATAATACACCAGATATCACGACTTGTGCAGTTCCTACTGTCTTCCTACCGGAATGCGTAGGTGAGTATAGTATTTCCAATCTAATTCAAACATTCATTAACAGTCCATTTCCGCTTTCGAAATACACGTCGAGCTTGCCTGCTGGTGTAGGTGACACAAATCCTATTATTGTTCTCATCAATTCCCTAATTCTACAAAAACGAGTTCTCTTTCTTACTAGCAAGCTTCCAGCACATGTCTTAACCTCCTTCGTCTTATCTGCTTGTGCTTTGGCTTCCGGGGCTTCTGGATTATTACAAGGGTACTTGAATATGACTTTTCCGTACGTCGACTTATCCAACGTCGATCAATTATTGAAGCTCCCTGGTTATATAGCTGGAGCAATGAACCCGACATTTCTTTATCATCAAAATTGGTGGGATTTGCTTTGCGATTTAGACAACCAAATAATTCACGTATCACCTGAACTAACCAAAAAAAAGATGAGTTCTAAAGTTTTGGAGCTTGTTGCTGCTGTACCTTATAATCAACTTTCTCCTTCAAGAAAGTTGAAGGGACACAGTGAACAGTACTTGATTAGTGATTTACATGAATTGCTTACCCACTCAAACAAGGAGTTACTCGTTCGTTGGAAAATCCGAACTTACTTGTTATCTTTCATTAGGAAGGCAATTAGCTATGAACATCTGTTCTTAGAATCATCTTCACTTAATCCCCATGTAGAAAACTACAAGTTGGAAGGTTTTGGGTGGTTTTGGCCAGATCGTACTGCGAGAGCGAACGAATTATCTCTCATGGCTGGAAAAATCGAGGAATGGAGAAAGACCAAATCTTATGAAAATTACTGCCATGTATGTCTTATTTTGTGAAATTATAAACTAACATTTACAGAGAATGGCAAACACGTATATACCTGTCATGCTATGCATGGATATTGCTTACCATTTAGATAGGCTTCGTTTTCAGGTTGTATCTTCTGAGGACGCCGCTTGCATTTATTCGGCATTGGAACAGTACATAACGACAGACGAGGATATTACTTATTTACTTAGTTTATGCCCACTGCATGAAGGGGGATTGACTATAATTGCATATGGACTATATCACATATCAAACTCTGCGCGTCAAAAAGTTATACAGCTACTAGATAAAATCAAACAACATAAGGTATGGAATAGGAGGTTACTTAACGATATTTTAAATTTAGTACTAACCATGCAGTACGGTGAAATGTTTTTTGCATGCTTACCAGAAGTTGATAAAATGATATATGCTTCACTAAGATTTCACTCAAACTAGTTTTTATTGATACCCTTTTCTGTCATGATTTCTGATGAATTAAAAAGGAAGAAATTGAAGGTTCATATATTGATAATCATAATTTTTATTTATTGCAAAGAACTTGCAAAACTATTCAAAGGATTAATGGGTATCATTTCTTTTTGGAATTTTCCGAACTTATTCCGCTGGACGGAGAGGAACGTGAAGGATCATTAGCGATTTCACGTCGTAATGCTTCCAATTCTTTTTGAAATCTCATACCAAAAACATCGACTAAAATAATGTTAGCAGTTGCATATTTAGCTACTGACTTACTATAATATGATGCGCCGTTCCAGATTGACCAACCAAAAATAACAACCAAAAAAGCAGTGGAATATACTTTGTTGTTATACCAAATAGAGCATGGACACATCGTAGTAATAGAGTATAAATATTGGAGGACCATAAAGGCGAATGGTCGAAGATTTTCAGGCAACGTGTTTATCGCTTTTCCTAAAGTCGTTTTTGAGTAGCTAGTAACAAGGTTAGTTAAGAAGGAAACATATAAAAGACATACGCTTTCGACATCCATGTAAACGAAGTAGGTTTTCCTTCCTGTATTTGTTTACGCTTTCCGACTTGGATGAAAAAGTAGTACCATATTTGCCATAAAGCGTACGATATAGACGCAATCTTTATTGAAGAGCCCAAATAAATGGTTGGGACATTGAGTATAGCTGGAAAACGTTCCTTCAGATGAGAAGGTTTGACTAAATGTACTAGTGTATGTAAAACTAGAGGGGGAAAAAAATGAATGAATAGACTAGTAATTTTGTCCCTGAAATTGTTAGTTGAAAAAGAATTTGAATCGACATACAGAGAGTGAAATAAAAGACTATTCCGCCAAGCTACAACGGACCAAGCAAGTGTGCCGTAGCTCACTGAGTAGCTTAAGATAAATAGCCTCTTGCTGAAGGGAAAGAACCATATATAAGCTAGTAACTATCGATGAGTTAGATAATATATTTCGGAAATGGATATGGAAAGAAGAGCGCGTACCATAACATTCCCCCAATAACAAAAATCAGCAATGAAGTAGACATAACCTTTCCGATGGTATGTATAATATCTGGATTCTAAATTAGTAAACAATAAAATAAAAAATTTGATACCTTAGTGGAAGGTAAACAAGAAGTTGAATTGTGTACCATATGTGAATATACTCTGGAGCCATTCCCAAAAGCAGGGCCGTCAAAATGGCGGTACTAACTCCCAAAACAAAAGATATTTTGTCACGAAGACGAACCATCTTTCCTGAATTCCATTTTTCTTGCAACTCATCAATGGAATTTCCAAATTTCTCTTTTATTTTCTCAGACTCTTGGTTCAGCTGACGATGCAAAGGTTGTAATTTGTTTTTCTGACGATCTACACGATGCCGAATCTTTGTATCACTTGTTAAAAAGAAATACTCAAAAAAATGAAACGTACCTGTCTCTTTTTCTTAGTATAATGCCTTTGTAACCAGGAATACAGCTGGAAAATGTTTGGAACATCCACAAGATCCGACAAGCCTAATGAATTATTAAATCCATGAAGGGCGTATTCATCATTTTCGTCGAAGATAGAATATTCAGAGTCAGTGTTTAAATCATAATCAGAATCGTCACTGTTCATCGTGTTTAGTTTAGTCAACGGCACAGTGCACAGTTATTGCTTGAATTTAGCCTAATTATTTGAATTCGGTTATATTTTGTATAATTTGATCAATTGTATGAAGAGATATTTAGTCTTTGATTTCGTGTAACGAACAGGTTGGGTGATTACGTATTCACTATTGGGAGTTTGGGTTACTTAGGTTATGAACATCTAGTTGACTGAGATGAAGCTTAACGGTTTAGATTTTTAAAAAATGTCTGAATTTTTAATTAAAAGTAATAATATACCGACAGATTAACATCGGATAACTTCTCAGGGTTCAAACACAACTCGCACTACCTCCAAATAAAACGACAGAAGCTAAGAAGTAATTCTGAAATGCTTTCAGAAAGAGATACATTATTACAGTTTTTTCTTAAACATAGGCTAGACCTTTTAAGCTGATTGCTTCTTTATCAAATATGTAACCATATGATTACTCTCTATTCGCTTGGAATGCTTTCTCTAATGCTAACTTAAAAACAATCTTCAGCAAAAAGGATTTATATACCAAATGAAGGGTTTATATTAATTAAAACAATAATTCATGATAAGACAGCCATTTTTCGTAAATGTTCCATAAACTTTTGTAAGTTAACATCATCAGTTAGGACAGGTTCAGAACTATCGGACATATTATGGTAGGGAGATGACTCTGAAATAGATACTGAAGGATTGATCCTAGATAACAAAAACCGAGCTTGACTACCTCCTTGATCACAAACGATAAATCTTGGGATAGGAAAACGGTCTGTTAAAAGTTCTGTTACTTCAAGTTTGGGTGCTAACAGAAGCTCTTTTATGTTGCTGTACTCTGGTAAATCTTGATATCCAGCATTTCTCCATTGGGCAATTACTGATCCATGGAAAATTAAAATATGGAAAAATGTGTCTAGCAACAAGATCACATCAGATTTGATGGAAATTGAATCAAGCAAAACAGGAATTCCTTCAGGGTGTTCCAAGCTGTAAGATTGGAGAGTAGGTTGTATCATGATTAGAGAGTCCATCACATCGGAAAAGTTCAATGTATGACGATAGTAAGAGGTTTCATCGGGAGAGTTGTTAAAAATTTGAAGGAATTGACTGCGACGAAGATGGAACATAAATTGAGGGAATAGGGTGAAATTCGGCAGAAGACGGAAACTTAAAGGATCACCCTTTCTGTAATCAGCAAAATTCTGGCAAAGTCTTATAAGAGTTCGATCTATCCACCTAGCCACACCAAACTCATCATCATTTTGGCATTTGTATAATGCCATACGAGCTACCAATACAGCGGCGGCTTCTTGATCAAACGAATCTGATATACTTTTAGCATGACCAGTGACAAAAGAACGTGAAACTGTTGTAACGCGGAGTCGATAAGTACCGGAAGCGTGTTGATATAATGTTAGAAATTGAATAAATGATTGCGCTGGATGCTGAGAAGCAGGATTATTCATTTCTTTAGCCAAATCAAAATATATGGCAAAAGTTGACTTTGGGGATATCGCGGAAATTCTCCACGAATCCGTTTTGCCCATACCGATCACAGTATCACTGATATTGTCACTTCTTTTTCCCTCACCCAATCCGTTGCCAATCATACCACAAACGTTTAATCCCTTAGACGTTAAGACATCCAAAGTAGAGGTGAAACCCATCCTAAGATATCCAAACTCGTCCGCATTAAATAATCTTTGGTAACTTTGTTTAAAGATTGAAGTGGAGAATGAATCAGAAAGTACAATGTGACCACCAGTATAATTGACAAGGCTTTCCATTTCCATGATTCCTACCTGATCCAAGCATCCTGCGAAGATGTCGACGGCATGACCTTGTTCGGATAACCGTTGAGCCTCCTCCTTGTAGAATTTTTTTGCTTTCTTAAAATGCTTTGCTTTGTCATTTTCCAATTCGGAATGTGAGCGAATGGGTTCCTTCAGCTCGACAGAAACAACCTGCCCAGGACCCACCGTACAAGGACCACCAGCGAATAATTCGATTCTAGCACCACTTTTAGGAAATGCTATCTCTAAAAGAGTTGCTGAAATTTTCAGAGCTGCACCAGTACATCTTGAGGCACGCTTACCAAGTGGAACAGGAGTTGGGTCAGGTTGGAGCTGCTCAAGGATATTTAGAAGGTGTATCTCACATTGCTGAACGGGTAAAAGAAATCGAGATGCGGCACCTAAATTTAAAGTAACACCAGTACCTTGGATAGTAGTTTTGGAGATTACAGGACGGAACTGTCCTCCAGATAAGCCAAGTAAATACTGAAGCTGCATACTAGTGTAGCTTGTATCAGGTTGAAAACAAAAAGATTTAGGGATGACACTAAAGCCAATTTCATGTACCTGAATCACAGAGCCAAAAGTAACTAAACCTACGATCGCGTCTGGAGGGAGAAGACTGAGACTGACAATGATAGCATCCTTCAAGGCTTGAAGTTCAGAATCAGGAACGGCAGTATCGAGGAGGAACAAAAATACGGGAGGAGCCTTTACAGGGCGACTTAAAGTATATTCCATAGTCGTATTTTGACTAAGAAGCTCCAAAGGTAAATTATTTGTGGAAATGTCATGATACTGAGGAGGAAGAGAGTTTCTTTGATAACAGAACGGACCTAAACACAAGGTTAGCTTCATATATTCAAAAAAAACGAATCTGCTTTGTCTGAGGGAGAAAAAAAGTCCAATGATCTGCTCATTCTGGATGCTAGAACTATAAACAGAGACTTTCACGTCACAGACAAAGGAGTTTTCAAATCAATACTCATTTCACTTACAAATCCAGAATCTTGCACGCAAGTCTACGTTACTAAAAAATAGTCAGTTAAGCTTCCTATAAAGGTTCTCAGCCCATACCAATAAGGATTCAAAACTGCTCGACATGGTGCTCGGCAGATAATAGGTTCATAAGGAGCGGTGACAAGATCAGGTTTTTGATGCAAAGGTTTGTACATAGCGCCAATCGGAATTACCGCTCTTGTGCTTTCCGCCGTTGTAGCTGGAAACATATTCCAAGACAGACGAATTCCTGGCAAAAACACATTAGCAAAACCAAAAGACAAATAAATTTACATACCATCTTGATCTTCTATTGATTCAAAGTCCATATTCCCCCTCTATGATAGGGCTTTCAGCCTTTCTTTTGATGTATGGATGAAAACATTTCCCTTTTAGTCAGTTGGACAAACACTTAGTGCAAAATAACGCGGCTGGTAATATTATGGTAAAAGGCTTAGTGAAGGCATATTTAGTTGATAAGTATGTTTACCGAAATTAGTATAGATGCTTTAATAAACAATATTTTGCATGTGTGTATTTTAGTGATATATGATGAATTGTTAGCTGCATAATGATTTTATTTGTATCATAAAGTACATATACACATATAAATTCAATTATTTGGGTTACTTGTACGGTTAATGATATGGTGACTATGGGTAATTTATTGGTTGTGGAAGGATATAGATGTATGAAGAGTGACGAGGTTTATAAGACAGTTACAGTTTACAGTTTACAGATTATTTTTATTTGGTTGCTTTCTCTTATCTTGTTAAGCCAATAAAATTGAATGACAATTGCTGGCATAGCTTTCACTCCATGTTGAATTTACATCATGAAGAGATTAGAGAAAGAAAGCTAAAACCAGTAAAGATTTTATGATTACAGCAAATTAAAAATTCCATTGGAATCCAGGTACAACGAATGAACCATTATACGCACATTTTTAATTTCTTCAAAATCTAAGTAAAATCCAAAATATCACCATCCAGAGTTAGTTGTTTAAGCGCTGGGAGCATCGCGAGTACGAACCTGGCTCATGATCTTAATCATATCACCAAGAACACCAGCAGCAGTGACAGCGGGACCAGCACCAGCACCAATGATGACGAGAGGACGGGCTTGGTAGCGCTTTGTAGTGAAAGCGATAATGTTGTCAGAAGATTGAAGGTTGGCAAAAGGATGAGAAGCGTCATACTTTTCAAGCTTAACCAAGGTAGATTTATTGACAACATCAGCCTCACCAACGAAACGGACAACCTTCCCTTCCTTATCGGCTTCTTCACGGATCTTGGCAAATTCAGTATCATAATTGGGCAAACCAGCCATAAACTCATCAGCATTAGCAGCAGATTCCAAAGGCTTAGGAATCAAAGACTTGACAGGGAAGGAACTGGGAGACTCAACCTGAACACCGGCAATGCGAGACAAAATAGTGACTTTGCGTGCAACGTCCATACCGTTCAAGTCATCACGAGGATCTGGTTCGGTGTAGCCATTTTCTTTAGCGATCTTGACGATGTCAGAGAAAGAGGCAGTGCCCTTCTTACCATTGGGAGACCAAACATTGAAAATATAAGACAAAGTGCCAGAAAAGATACCTTCAACTTTGAGGATCTCGTCACCAGTAGCAATGAGTTCCTTGAGTGTGGAGATGATGGGCAGACCAGCACCAACAGAAGCTTCGTGCATCAAATGAGCACCGCTTCTCTTGGTAGCCTCAACTAAAGAGTTGTAGACCTCGGCATTCGCAGAGAAAGCCTTTTTGTTAGGAGTAGCAATGCTGATCTTCTTGGACAAGAACTTGGGGTAAGAATAAGCGACGAGCTCAGAAGAAGTGTTGTCAACCATGATGGCAGGAAGAGGAGAATTCGAAAGGAAGTCGAGCAAAATGTCAATGGAAAGAGCACCTTGGTTTTGGGCATGCAAACTTCTCCATTGGGTCAAATCAATGGGTTTGTAGTCCTTAGAAATGTAGTAGCCTCTTGTGCTGGTGATGGCGACGACGTTGAAGGAAGGAGTACCATTTTGAGAGGCCTTGATATTGAAGTCCTTGATTTGGTTCAAAAGCTCACTACCAATGGTACCAGTACCTGATGAAAGTGGTTAGCAAGTATGGTTCAGAAAAAAGTATGATATGATGGTAGAAAATTGAATGTAAAAATAGGTTGTAAGGTAGATTCCCATTTTTCATTCATTCCTCTTTTTCTACATTCTAAACAAAAGAAAGAAATAAAGAAAGGAAATTTCGAAGCTTACTTACCAATGATAGCAACGTTAACGTTTGTTCTTTCAGCAGTCATTTTGCGAAGACCGTTGTTGGCAGAGGAATAAAATCCAGTAGAGAAGGACGCCTGGGGTAGACGACTTGGAATTGATGTGAATGATAAATATCTGCCGAAATGTGAAAATTGTTTTACACAAGAAACGTTTATTTTTTCCTTGGAAACCCACGAAAAAAAAAATCGAAAAGATGGTTTACCCAGCAACATTGATCAAACGATGTTATTATGAGGAATTCCACAATTCCTGCGTTCGAGAAGAAGTTCTAATTTGGTAAAAGGAAGAAGATGAAAATGAAGAAGTCGAAGTACCATATGAGGTGGTTGCTTTTCCTTGCTCTGCTGTGTTTTGCTCGTCTTGGGACATTTCTATCCTAAAGGAATGGTTTTTCTGTAGCGCAATGAAAAGAAAAGACAGAAAAAGAAGTATGATCTAATGAGATGTAAATGAATTCTGGAAAGCTGTCTTGGATTCCATGAACAACGGTAGATTTGATACGTAAGGGAACATATATACTGCAACTTGCAAAAGTTTTATGACTGTATAGATGGAATAGAGATCGAGTATAAGCACATTTGGGCACATATCCTTGGCATTCGTACATGAAGCGAGGGTAGGCCTTTGGGATTATTTTTTGTTTACAGACTGAATCCCAGCATGCTTTCCAAAAACTTTTTTTTTTCGTGGCTACTCATCTTACTCAATCCTATATTAAAAAGTGAAAAAGGTTTTCATGCATTCAGAAGCATTGAAGTAAACCTTTCTACATGGAATAGCATGCGCATATGGTTATATTTATGTTTCGTTCAAACGCATTTCTCATGTTTTCTTTAGATTTCACAAAACCTACATTTTTAAATTTAAAACTCCCAATTTTTTCACTTTTCTAACCCTGTTCCTTCCACAGGAAAAGCAAAAACGGCAAACATAAATTCTGTTCAACGGATGTAAACAAAAGATGTAACTTGTGTTACCTGGCCAATTTTAATTTGGTCCTTCTCCCTATTTGTGTGGGTGGGCACCCTAAGCCCACTTCAGTCACTCATTAGCCAGTTCACAACCACCTCTTTAGCGCACTCCGTGTTCTGCAATCTGCCAACAACCGTTCTCTTTGAAAATCAACAAAAAAAAGAATTTTTAGTGGTTTCTCATCGGGCTACCGCTTAAGAGTGAACAAATTCTCCGGATTGAGTGTATATCAAGGAGAAATTTCGAACGACATTTTCAGGTGGTGGAAACCTAACAAAGTCCACATTTCTACTGACGCATCATTTTGTTTCTTTTTTTGTTCTTTTAAATCGGTTTAGACTGGGTCTTTCTATTGCTATAAAATGTCTAACCAAGATGTGGATTTAGACTCCATTATAGATCGCTTATTAGAGGGTAAGTCGATGGTTATTTAGTTTTTTTTTTTGCATGGATGGATTCGATAAAGTCAAATTGGTTTCCTTGAAGATTGTATGGAAGAATCCTCATCTAGGAGTCTTTTTTTTCCCCTCTTCGGAGGTTGTTGATTTCCCGAAAATGACACAAGAGACTCGTTCGTATGTGTGGTTTAAAAGGCTCTGAGCCAAGGTTTTGTTTTCTGTCCTTAAAAGTTTGTGATCAACAAGTACTGGTTAGCTAGCTATAGATTTCCGATTAGATCGCTTCTCGAGTTCATGCATAAAAAACTGAAAAACAAGGAGCAACCTACTTTTCTAATTGCTCTTTATCATTATCTATTTTACTAACTTTGTCGTTTTAGTTCGTGGAAATCGTCCAGGGAAACAAGTTCAACTGGCTGAGAATGAAATTCGCTTTTTGTGCAACAAAGCCCGTGAAATATTTATTAGCCAACCCATACTGTTAGAGTTGGAAGCTCCTCTAAAAATCTGTGGTGATATTCATGGTCAATATTACGACCTTTTACGACTTTTTGAGTATGGTGGGTTCCCGCCTGAGGCAAACTACTTGTTTTTGGGAGACTATGTGGACCGTGGTAAACAAAGTTTGGAAGTCATTTGTTTGTTACTTGCCTATAAAATCAAGTATCCAGAAAACTTTTTTATCCTTCGTGGAAACCATGAATGTGCTAGTATCAACCGTATCTATGGCTTTTACGATGAATGCAAGCGTCGCTACAACATCAAGCTTTGGAAGACATTCACAGATTGCTTCAATTGCCTTCCAATCGCTGCCATCATTGATGAAAAAATATTTACCATGCATGGTGGACTTTCTCCCGATTTGAATTCGATGGACCAGATTCAGCGCATTATGCGTCCCACTGATGTTCCCGACACTGGCCTGCTTTGTGATCTTTTGTGGTCTGATCCTGACAAAGACCTGACGGGCTGGGGTGACAACGATCGTGGTGTTTCGTTCACATTCGGTCCTGACGTTGTGTCGCGATTTTTGCATAAACACGACATGGATCTTGTATGCCGAGCTCATCAAGTCGTTGAGGATGGCTACGAGTTTTTTTCGAAACGCCAATTAGTCACTTTGTTTAGTGCTCCCAATTATTGTGGTGAATTTGATAATGCTGGTGCTATGATGAGTGTTGATGAAAGCCTTCTTTGCAGCTTCCAGGTATGTTTTTGCATCTTTTGACGTAGTTCACCAACTAACGAAATTTTTAGATTCTAAAACCAGCAGAGAAAAAACAACGATACGGCGGTTATCAAGGAATGGGTCAGAACTGGCACATAAATACTCCTCGGAAAAATAAGGCAGGCAATTCAAAATAAAGCATACTGAGTTATCTCATTGTGTTCCTGAACTTTATTTATTCTTTTGGTCTTTGAATGTGATAAAACTAAAAGCTGCAATTGTTTTTTTTTGATTTCAGCGACTTGCTGCCGTATATACGTTTCATCATCTTCATCATCTCTGCCTGTTTGTATGAGCATTACTTTGGATAATTAGAGCAACCTGATCTTTATTTTTGATTTCACATTTCCTTCGTCTTATTCTATCTACCCTAATCCTTAGATGTAACTAAGAATTTAGATCCAATCTTTCTCTCTTCCTTTCATCTATATTCTTTTATAAAAATATATATACCTCTTTAAAAGGGGATGAACTTAAACGCTGGGTTAACTTTACCTAGGGTACTTTTTGGCATTTTCAAAGAGTTTACAAACGAGGCTTTTGATGACTAGGATCTTTCCTGCATTCCTTCTTTTAATGCTGGATTCCATATCCTACTAACGATTCGTTTATTCAATCTACTCTTGATTACATTGTTTTATTATGAACAACTTTAACTTCTTTTTAAATTTGGATGGAACTTTGATTCAGTAGCATCCCTATCATTTTATCCTTTATACGTTCTTAAAACCTAAGCTTCTAATGCCTCACGTATGTATCTACTCTTTGTAAACAATGTTATGCCGTTTGAAAGTGGTTATCATCAGAGCTTCGGTTGTATCTTCCCTTCTTATTAATACAAGCTATATATCATGTGTTGCTCAATAATATGCAGTTCATACAGACAATTTGAAATCACTATGATAGCTTCAGGCCTTATACTTTCAACCTAAAAAATAATAATATAAGCAGTCTCTATTTTTATGAAAATATACGGTATCATTGTGTCGGTCCATTCTTGACAACCCCCGGGTTATTTTACCGATGATGAGTCGCCAATATGTATAAGACAGACAAATTAATCTAGCACACTAATACAAGGCCATCGTACTAATTGCAACGATCACCTCTAGTAAATGTGCATTTTTTTATTGACCACTCTTTCTTTAGTAATGGTAAAATAATCAAAGTACTACGATTTACAATAACTTTTACACGTTTACGAGACCGAAATTTGAAGCCCAAGGACTTGTAAAAGTGACCAAATTCGAATTTACAAAAACATATAACCAGCTACCGGACAATGAAATGTATACGTGAAAATACCAATTTCTTTAAATTATCTCCTAAGTAGAGATTTAGGCATTTCCAGCAGAAGCGGCAGCCTTAGCCTGCTTGTTGGCTTCAACAGTACCACGGTTGGCGAACTTTTGGTTACGACGGAACTTGGCGTCACGGAACTTGAGAGAGTCGTAACGGTGCTTTTGAGGGCGCTTGATACCGTTACGGTGAGCCTTCTTGTTTTGGTTGTGCTACTCCATAGTTAGTCATGTGTCTTCCTTTAGTAAATATCACAAGCAACTTACATTAGTGTGGTTTTTAGACTTGGCCATTTTGGTTCCTGGATAAAACTACGACCCTATTCAAAAGTAAAATATTAGTTACAAAAAAACAGTCACAAATTTGTTGCGTTGCTTTTGACACACAGAATTAGAAAGCTCATTAGGGTTTTTTAAACCCTGTAAACAAAAAAATGGCCTACGTAATCCTAATTTGAAAAAAAAAAAAAAAAAAATAGAAAAAAATTTGCATGGTTCAGAAGTTTGCTAATAAAAAAAATACTCTAAAATGAATTAAACATATCTGAAATGATTTAACCATACTATTCAGCTGATAGGCAAAATATAATGCATTCAACTAACTAAAAAGCAAGAATTGTAAATTACTATTCCTAACCAGAACCAGCTTCGTCTTCATCATTTCCTGACGATGAAGCTACATCTTCATCGTATTCTTCAGCAACATCACTTTCACTTGCGGAACGGAAATCTTCATCTTCAGACATAGTTTCACCCATTGCTTCATCACCTTCTTCCTCATCGTCATCTGCAAGTGCAGCATTCAGAAGAGACTGCTGAGCTTCATCAGCCAAGTCATTGTGAATTTTAACGTTTTTAGATTCCAAGTAACGTACTAGGCCACTTTGCTCTTCTCTATTTATGTTGGAAAATTGATAAGAAGTTCCAGAACGCAAAGAAAATGTTAAATCAAAGGTACGGGAAGCTGAAACAGACATGCCTACACGAGATAAAGTGACGCGGGCCAAGTCAGCAGTGGTAATAATGATAGTAGGCTTGGGAATAAAGAGAAAGTATTTATCAAGAACATATAATTGACCCTCATTAGCTTTGTAAGAGCATTTCACAGCAGCATGACCGTGGTGGCTCAAATAATTTCCAGGCGTTATCACCTTTCTATTCGTCAAACCTTGGAAAATCTGACTGACTACCTCATATGCTGGCTGGTCGTAGCTGGACTTGAGCTTGTCCGCATATTTTTCACGTAGTAAACCCTCCTCAATGTTGAGATCAACCTCCATGTCTTCATCTCGAATGAACTGAGTGACGAGGAAGGGATAACGGGTTTGACCTTGGCGTAAAGGAGGATCTAAGCCGATCACAAAAGCAACATGTTGTTCATCGGGCTTAGGAAGTAGAAAGAGACGATTAATAGAACTATATTCCACTTTATAGTCATAAGTTTTACCACGAAGACGCATGGAGGTTTCATACATATCAATATCATAGCGACCACGAGGAGTAAGTAGAAGAATCTCAGATAAAGAAACAATAGCATCGCCCGCTGCTTGTCCAATGTCTGCACGCTCTTTTATCGATTCATAGAAGAGATTAGCAGCATTCTGTTCAGTATCTTCGCCTTCGGCAACATCTTCCTTTGAGGTCGTTCCGGGAATGTAAAGACGCATTTCCACTAGTTCGTCCGCCTGAGCAGAAGGCACAGGGGAATCCTTCACGTTTGAGAATTCTAATGCAACTTCATTTTTTCCTGAGAGATTCGTGTTGTTTACTGAGTTAATGGGAATCTCGAATGCAGGACGAGAATTCACATTGAATACTAGCTCTGATCCAAGAAACTCAGTATCTCCCCAATTCCATCCTTTTATAGAAAATTCTTTTTGTTCAATACCCATGTCATAATTCTGTTTAATAAAACTCGCTAAGCCATCAAAATCCTACATTCCTTAAGTTAGTTATCATTCCAATACTGCAAACTTTGACAATTTACCTCTTGAGCAAACCCGTCCAAACTAACGGGTGATCTATTCTTTAAAATAATTTTCAATTCATAGCCTCTGGCAAAGTGACTCCAACAAAATCTCCGAATTTCACTTAAAGGCAGAGTGAATGGTTCCGTAAGAGCACTTGACTTCCAACCTAATCCGCTTGGAGCGATTCTTAGTTTTCCTGGCTGTGAACTTAGATTTAAATAAATATTATCATATTGAATCGTTTTTGTAGCCATTTCGAACGCGTAAATGTAAACGCTCTGGAAGACTAGTGTGAAAGGTTGCCTCCTTTGCTTTTTAGTATAACTTCGTAGCACCTCCTTATATAGGTTACGGCCAGCTACAAAAATATGTTGGTGGTATCGTTTTGGCTAGGTATTTTAATATGATATTTGTGGTACTTTGAGTTAAATTAAAAAAATGGAATGGCGCTTAAGAACTTGCAATAAGATATGTATGTATGAGTAATAATAATTATGTTTTTGGGTTAATGCACTGTAGGAAATGCCCGAAGGTTCTCCAATGACTAAGGTTTTTGGGTGGATCTGAAACATTTTCTATTGCAAGCAATTTGATGGAAACGAGAATCCATCATTCATTAACAAACCTAACGAAAACAAAAAAAAAAGAGGAAAAGGACAATAGTAAAAGAGAAAAAACCAGAAGGATTTTTTGCGAAAACAAACTCCTTGAATGACTTAGTATGTCTTTTGTTTGTAAATAAACAAATAATTCAAGCTATCAATCAATATTAATTTGTTTTAAAAACACAGGACTGAGGAAAAAGATCATTAGAAATAAAAATGATAGTAAATTAAATAAAAAGTAGAACCTATGCACCCATAAATTTAGCAACAATAAGCTCTATTCAATACTCGGTTGAAGACTGTTCATCAGACAAAAAATTTCCATCAAATATAGAGTAAATTCAAACTTTAAACTCTTTGATTACATCTAGTGCTTCACTTACAATAAAAACAAATTATTAATGTTATAAGGCTCATGATGAAAACCATATATATTTAATAACGACGATATAATTCATCAAACATCAGTGAAACATAATATTCAAAAAATATTTAATTACATAATTGTACAAGCATTCGTGTCTAATACCTCATTTCCAAAACCATCATCCAAATGGGCACGATAAGCTAAATGGGAGAGCATCCTGCTAAATCTTGTTAGTATCTTGCCATTCATAGAGATAAAACTAAACAAACCTTGTTATATAAGAATCTCGAGATCCTTGCTCTCTATTCATTTCATTCGCCGCGATAATCTTATAGCTATTTGCAGTCTGATTTCGCGATCGACCCAGAGCTGGATTGTTTTCAGTACTAAATATCTTGATGGTTGAGTCAATTCCAGATACTGCGATAGTAGGAAAAAAAGGATGCCCTTCTAAAACATTCACCACTTCATTATCTCCTTGTATGATAGCAAGAATCGAGGTTGACTCCTTATCCCCTGTTCCAATTAGCAACAAAAAAGCAATAGCTACCTTACATATAAAGAATTTTCCATCATCAGAACCGCTCATGACATATTCATCATTTAATCCAAAAAAATTTACATCTTTTACCTAAATAAATGTATTAGCATAATTTACCCATAACAAAAAAATATTAAAGTCACACTTACAGTCTCCACATTGCAATGACCATAATAACTTTTAACATGAGTTTGAACAGGCACATTCGGTTCAACGGATTTTCTCTTTTTCGATCGCAGTGAAAGTAAACTTGGGCCTTCATCAGACTCCTCATCACTGTCATCGGTATTTTCACTAACATGTGCATGATCTTCATCTTCTAAGTCATCACTGTTATTATTGAATTCATCTTCAATTTCCATTTCTGTATATCCCGAGTCTAAACTTTGGAATTCAGGTTCGGATGTGTCATCATAAGTATCCATTTCCTCCCCATTTGACATGGAATGCTCTGAATCAGTATAGGAAGATTCACCAATTTCTGATACATTATTTGTTTCTTCAGACTCGTCACGATCCCAAGGTTGCAATAAACCCCAATTAATATCAGCGGAAATAAGACCCAGACAACCACGAAGAACTTTGTGTATCCAAAAGAATTTTCTGACTGAAGATAATTCATTGGTATCAATTCTTGCAAAACTTCGTAACATCTCCGAGGCACTCCAAAACAAAACACGCTCATGTTCGTCGGGATCGCGTAAAACAAGATTTTGGCGAGCTTCGTTAGGAGGAGAAGACATTTGCAAAGCCCAATGGTCACTGATTCCCAAGAGGTAGCGTATAACCCAATTCATAAAGTCATAAAGCCATCCCCAACCAGCTTGAATAATTGTATTTGATTCTAGGCATGCTTTCCCGTCCATGAGCACAAGGACCGAAACACAGGCTCTCCAATAATGTAAAATTTGATTACGAACATCATGGTTAAAATGTGTTGTATCTATAAAATAATTATAATTTTCCATATAATAAATAGCGTCTTTCACATAACGAATTGAATGTGCCATGTGATTTTGATAACCACTTGCAATGCTTTCATAGAGACCATCGTCTTGAGAAGTAAAAAGTTTTTGTATATTTTTGTACATTTGGTAGAATGTATGCCGCCTAGGTTGGGTTGTCACATACGGACTACGCAAAATTCTTGCCGTTGGTGTGGAAGTTTGGGAAGAAGCATTAAACCAATGCGTACTTCTATTTTGTCTAAAAGAGCTTCTAGCTCCTTTAAATGCCGCTTGCGGATTTCGTGGAGAATCCTCATGTTTCTCAAATGTAGGCTCGTACGCCTTATCTTCGTTAATATTAAATAAATATACATAATCAGAGTTCCAGCTAACCAATAATTCGTTTGGATTTGCGGTACCAAATTCACAGCAATTGATATGATGGTCAAGTATTCCTTGAGAGTTATAGGTTCCGTTAGGGCTAAATTTCCGAACACATCGTGTATCGCGTGTTAAAGAATCGTCAGAATTATTTTTTTTCCATTGATCTTTTCCTATCATCCTTCTATCATGCAGAAAAGCATAAGGATGTGTGCCTCCAACAACAAAGTAATATGGGTTGGACTTTGACATCGACATGGCATAAAGGTTAATACGGTAAGGGTTATAATTTACTAAGATAGAAGAGCAGTTGTGATCCTGATTACAACGGTGTGCTTCTCGGATGTCAAATTGTCGTACTGTCCCATCTTCGCTACATGTTAAAAAGGTGGATCCATCGTCGCAAGGAACAATCCGTTTCACCGAATCCAAATGGCAATTCCAGCATCTCAATTCACTTTCTATACCCTTGTGGACTTCAGAAGAATTACCAAGCTCAACATCAAAAAGCTTCACAAGGTTGTCACCACTAGCGGACATCACCTTACGACTATTAGAATACGGCATAAATTTGACACTAAAGATATTGTGTAAATGCCCCGTAGATATCACATGAAGCGGCTCAAAATTATTATATACATCCCAAATAACCAATTGGGTATCATCGCCGCCGGATAATAAGTATTCACCGTTTTCAGACCAGCTAAAGCATGTTAGTAAAAACGCCACATACAAGACATTCAACTTACTTTAATGCGTTTACACAACTTGAATGGTAGCTTAATTCCCTTTGTAAATCGATATTCGCCAGCCAGGACGAACTACCATATATATCTCGTGCGACTTTCGAAATGTCAGTACTTTTTCCTAGCTATAAGTAAGTCTTACCTTTTCGTTGCAGCCATTCCCGGTTTTCCAATTGACGCAAAGACAAGGAAATCCCAGACATAAGGCCAATTTTTGGGAACTGTGCTTTTTGGTAAACGACAGATTTCACATTCGCGGGGATGACGATTTAAAGTACTCGCTAAAGGTGTCGTGTCTACTCCCATCGACTTTACTTGTAAACATCATGAAATTAGTATGTAAGAATGATTAACAATTGAATTGATATTTTACATTGTAAAAATTCATTCTATCTACTTAATGGGTGTTTTTTTACATAAGGATATAACGAAGAGAAAGTAGGTGAAAATAAGGAGTGCTGATAGATTGGTAACCATCCATTTCTGTCCATGAGAAGTGACAAGTTATGAATGATTCAGGTTTGTTAGGGAAACTCTTTTCAGAAAACGAGGCGTCACCGTTGGTGGCTCCCAAGAGCAATGGATGAAGCTGGGTATGAAACCAGAAATGTACTTGGCGAGGAAAAGCACGAAAAGCTTTAGGGATGACGCTAACCATAAACTCATTGATTGAAGAAGGAAAGTCACAGAGTAAAGTCCATTGATGAGCTTGAGTAGAATCCGTGCATTGTCGCCATTTACAAGAGGTCCATAAGGGTAATTTTTGACATCTATTGTCCGAAGCAAATGTATATAGCGAAATAGTAAGCTTAGGGCAGTCTTTGGATTCCACAACAAATTCTTTCAGGACTGATTTTGCTAAGGCTAACGTTTCAATGTTCAATGAGGGCTGCTGTTTTCGAAGTCGAGACCATGCTTCTAAGTAACGGACATAACGTATTTGAGACGGAATAGTAAGACCGCTTCCTCGTCTCATACGCTTTTTAGTGTAAAGTGCAATGCTTTGATCGAATGTACATCCTTCGTGTGCTATTAGGTAGCTACACAGCACCGTTCCTGTTCGACCTTTTCCTGCTTTACAATGGATTATCAACTTTGTAGACGGATCTCGGCTCAAAAATTCTGCCATCCTGTCGATGATTGTACATAACAGTACGAAGGGAGGTGGATTGTGATCCTCAAACCCATAAAATTCCAACCTTGGTAAGAATAGCTTGTGGTGATAAACACTACGCTCTGCACATAAATTAAAGATCATCCACTTGTCTGAATATTTATCATACAAGTATTGTAAAATCGCATGTTCGTCATTCCTATAGACTTTCTGAAGACCAGCTGCCGGTGTTGACGTTGCAATTAACCTGTCAGTAATTTCCGCCAAATCTATGTGTCCATAACCTTCATTTCTGTTCAGACCTCTGCGACCTCTAGAAACGATGGCTCGAATCGTGTCCATGCAAGTAAAATACCAAGAAATGATGATGTTCCCAAGTTTTATGAAAAGCTGTAGTCCATCTTCCTTATGTTTACAGCTAGCCTTTCACTTGCCAGTTGAGTAATACTAGGCCAGATACACGGTGTATGTAAATAACTTACGGAGACTAAAAGACAATAGGAAAATTCATATATATTATTTATATTAATTGTATGAACTGATACAAAATCCAAAATTCATTAAATACGCATGTTTCATACAACAAACATATAAACCATTACATACCATACCATAAAGAGGTAAACATTATTGACGATGTGATCCAATACTTTGGAAAGTTAAATTGATAATAATGTTGATATACAAATGCGCTGTGAAGCAAAGACGTTAACAACAACCGGAGACAAAAGAAAACAAAAGCAGCACAAAAAAAAAAAAAACTGAAGAAATTAATCTTTGACATTAAAGAGTTACAGTTCGTAAATAGATATGCACAACTTTTGAAAGAAATGAAATAATAAACACGAAATCAAAGAGGACGAAAACATTACACGAGTAAAGGTCCTTATAACGTTTAGAAGGAATATACTATCATATAAAAACACGAATGACAAAAGGAAAAGCATAAAAACCATTGACGTTTATACATTAGTATAGCATCAAACTGAATAGTAATGAACTATTCAGAAAAAGGGTTTTTTAAGGTAATTAACGAAAGTGAATACGTAGAAGAAGTGTCAGCAAACATGAAGACATCCACTTGCTGACCAGGGCGAATTTTTTGTACAAATTCAGGCTCTTTTATACGCAAGCTTTGAAGCCGTTCTACCGCAGCATCTTCGTTAGATTTTGGAGCTGCTTCCGATTCCAAATTATCACGAGAGCTCTCACCAGTGCCACTTTCAGCAATTTTAATTAGATCCTGCAATCCACAACCTTTCAAATTGCAAGCATGTTTACAGACTCCACCGGAATCCAAATATTTTTTCTTAAAATCATTATAGCATGTACTGTCAATTTCTAAAGAAGAAGTGGCATAATAAAAAGAAGGAGTGTTTTTCCTCCATGAAAAAGTTAATTCCTCAGTGTGACCATTATATTCGCAGCTGTTGAGAGGTAAAAGGTCCAAATACATCCTTCTTTCAAGACCTAATTCGTAAACAACCAAATCAATGTAAGACTGATCAGTTGCAATCACAATAGCTTTATGCTCAATAAGACCGGAGCGAGAATTGATTATTTGACTTGCTTCGCAAAACTTGGCATGAATACTTTTCTCCTGAGCGTACCGGTAAAAATTGCTCAATGTGTTACAAGACTGTGTGACAGAGAGTAAACTCTTATAGTCCTTTGAAAAATCTGGACGACCTTCAAATGCTTCATGAAGCTGACGCTGTACACAAATGTCGATGTAACGACGAGTAGGATGACAAAAATGAGTGTAGCAGGGACTAGCAAAGGCAAAATGTGATACATCTTTATCATTAGATGTACCCACGGTATACTCAGACTCTGACGCGAGTCTTTTTAAATTCAACTGCAGCAATCTTTGAAGATCCTTATCATTTGTGGTCGCTAAAGCGGTCATAAATTCCATAGATGAAGATTCTGCTGTGAGATGTAGCCCTGCTCGTTGCGCTGCACGAACAACAGCGTCCAAATTCTTCGGACGGGCGTTTCTTCTCAAAACAACTTTGTTCGGAAATATACTCATTAAATGAGAAGCGGTTTTCTCATTGATCCAGTGTTCAATTTGCTGCAGAGCACAAACAACTGGAGGAGCTTTAAAAACATTCATATTTAACTCTTGAATGTTACTGAGTTGGTCATCACGAAATCCAAAACAATAAAGTGACTGCAAATCTACATCCTTTTTCGTTTGTAATCTCAGTTTTGTCAATACTTTGGCGCTTTTCTCCAGTAACTGAAGAGCTTCATTCGATTGCATGTTAGCCTGTGCAGTTTCGAGACTAATGTAGGATGAAGGAGAAATTACGGAAGGTCCTAAAGAGCATTGTATTACAGTTTCAGATTTCAAATCTAACTGGATAACAATACTGATTGTTAAGCAATCATGTCCCGTAATAAGAGACACCTCTTCAGTAACCCTTTTCGGTAAGAAAGGGACAGAGCCTTGCACAAGCTGTACCTGTGAAACACGATTTGCAGCCTCATCGTCGATGGGCATATCTTGTTTAATACTGCTGGCAACGTCTGTCACATGAAACCCTAAAATGATGATTCCTTCAGATGAACCAGTGTCAATGTGAATTGCATAATCACGAGTTCCCACCATAAACGTTAGTTTATCTCGCAAATCATAGCGAGACTTTAGTTCTTCTGAAGGAATCGGGCTAGATAAACGTTTTACACTGTATGAGAGGGATTCCGGGAACTCATATACACGACAACTATAATCGTGAAGAATAGCAGTAAATTCAACCTTTGGATCACCTACTTTTCCAATACTTTCGTACAACGTACCAAACGGATGTAAAGATGTTGTCGGCCATCGTTTGATACCAGCTAAGAAAACTTGATCCTTAAATTCTTCATTATTAGTAAAAAATCTGGGTGGTACCTGATCACTAGAAATAGCAATCAAAGGAATTCTTTTATCACTAGGTTTAAACCAAACTATTTTTGGTCCCTTCCCACCTTCACCACTAGAAGTTGATGAGTTTCGACGATGAGACGATTGGTTTTTGGATGCAAGACTATTTGGTCGATACAAGGCCAACGTACCTGAACAGGTATCTCCGCTTGGACGATCAAGAATTGCTACAATATGACCAGCATATCTAGGAAGATTCTCTTGATTTAAAGAGATATCATCGACAAATGAAAGGCTTTGACCGGTTACTTCATAATCGTTCTTTCGCTTCTCAATGGATCGCTCGAAAGCCAAAGCTCCCTTATTCATTCCCAAAGCCATTGGCGTACTTATGGACATCATTTTTGCTTTACTGTTTACGGAAGATTTGGAGGTACCCGAAAGAGAGAGATTACGACGAATTTTCTTTTCCTCTTTTTCTCGTTTCGTTTGCATTATTTCATTTACATCAAGAAGTTCCACGGCAACTAAGTCACCTTCCAAGGTACGGTTTCGATCTTTAGATCCACAAATGAATATATACTCATCAAGAGCATCCGTAATAACATATGCATCGGATCGATTTTTGCGATTAATATGTAATGTTCCAACAAGAAGTCTTCCAGTGCTTATGAATTTGGGAAGGGAAGCCTGAGGTAAATAAGGCAAAAACAAATTCTTATGTTGCTGAGCAGCTGCAGAAACTGAAACTCGTTTCCCGGAATTGTTGAAATTCAGAAAGGAACTTTGTGGAAGAGAGGCACCATCTGTTGAATGATTTATGTAAGATTGCTGAGAGGCAGTGGAGAGAGGCATATGCGTAGGGACATGCGTCGTTGGTGACTCCGGTTCCATGTAAATGCTTTCCTGAAGCGAATGAGCAGAGAGAGGAGATTCCATGGGAGACTGTTGCCATTCAAAATTACCTTCAATTGGTTTTAAGGATGTTAAAAAGTTGGCACTTTTCGGAGATACGGGAGAGATTGACTCGTTTCCGACAGACGAACGCCTTCTGATACGAGTTGGGGGAATTACCCCCATTCCACCCATCATGTTGGCACGCTGACTAGTAGATTGTATGCTTTGACTAAACGTATCAAAAGTATCCTTGGCAGGACTAAAAAGGGACTCTGTCCGAGTCTTAACCGAAGGGCTCTGCACCTCCGCGGGACCTAAGGGACCACCGCTTGTAGGAGATTGCATTTGACGTGCGCCGATAGGAGCAATAGGATTAAGCCTTGGTAAAAGCAAGCTTTCCCGTTTTTTTGTATTGGAAAAAGGATTTGCTTGGAAAGGAGAGGTTAAGTTTGCTTGCGTATAATTTTCACTTTCTGTTAGAGACTGTTGTTGCATTTGCAATGCCTGTAAATACTCAATTTGAGATTGAATTACATCTGGGGCTATAAGCACATTAGTATAAAGTAAAGCAAGACAAATCATCCGCATAGTGTGAAGGCCATCATATGAAACAAAGACTACTGGTAAACTTACTCAAGCCGACACTAATTTAGATGGATGTAAATTGTTAAACATACCGATTGGAGCAAGACCTCCCATTTTCTGACTTGACGAAGAGGAAGGAGGCCGACCGCTAGGGTCTGATTGCTTCCAGTGAGGATCCATAGAGAAGAAAGGTCTAGAGGAAAAAGAGTTCAAGGAAACAAGGAAAACAAAACGTCTCCTGTTATACAAAGAAAGGGTTTAAGATAAAGCAAAAGTAATGGAGTCGTGGATGTAATATCAATAGAAAGTGAAAGTAGGAGTATGTGAATTAAGGAAGAAAAATCCGATGGAAATCTCTGAATAATATGGAAAAGGCAGAAACAATCAACGTTTCGCAAAGGGAGACAAAGAGATAGACGTAGTAAGGTCCCAAAAAATAACAGCAGTAAACCAAAAAAGGGCGAACAGAAGAAATGGAGACACAGAGAGAGACGGGGAGTACAACACAGCGTATTGTAAAGTAATTGCAATTTCGTCCAAGGACTACTTATGCAGAGAAGAGAACGGTATACAAGGAAGCAAGCACAATCGTTCTGTCAAAAAAGGGAAAGAACCAATGAACAGATACCAGCCTCGAAAAGAAGAAAAAGACCTCTTTATTTATCGGAATTCAAAGAAGAAAAGATCAGGAAGAGGAAAATTCTTACGAGGGGAGCGTAGCCTCGGAATCCAAAGAATATGGCTGTCAAGTAAACTTTAAATGAAAGAAACTAGTATATTAATTGTGTTACTGTTTTTTTCTTTACCCATCGACAATGACGGTTCAGTCACGTATCTGACGAACAGTCCAACGCTACCAAAAGGTTATGAGAGTAGATGAGTCAACGATGATGCTATAGGAAGGTAATGAGACTTGTAAGCACAGCAGGCTCAAACAAGTAAATTATGCGAACAAAACCAACCCAATTGACAAGTGCTGACAGGAAGAACGGAGGATGATCTGAAATGCAAGTAAAACTTTCGAAATGGTTTCACAAGGAATGTGACACCAGCAATTTTTAGGATGTAAATCACAATGATTAAATAAAGTAACCCAATGGCAATTGAAGCTTGAAGAATAATAAGACAAGAATAAGGAAAATAATTCAGCGATTCAAAAATGAAAGAAATTGTATATCGTAGCACTCTATAGGATACAATAATTAATATCGGTACAAGATTTAAGCAATTATGCAAAAACTTTAGTGGAGGAAAGAACAAAATGCCTTCAATAAATTCCTTTAGGCTCAATGGGAGCGTATTAAAAATGCCCTTTAAACAGTTTCTAAGTTCTTGCCCCGGGGCAATGGATACATCTAACCCCAGATGGTGGCATTTAAGTTTGGTACTGCGATCCCATAATGACCGCAATGGTTCATCACCGCCATTAATCTTTTGGCTTCTGCCTTCAGCGATTCATTCTTCTATGCTGCATTACGTCGATTGCAGAGGCCAACCTTGGGAAATCTTTAACATAATGATCATTCATGTAATCTTCATTTTGACACTTCATAGTAAGTGGCCAATACGCAATCGTAATACAATTTTGGCATTACGGTTAAGTAAAGCGAAAGGTTTGCGGCGTAGGGCAACCTTCACGTTCTACTCTGCAATTCCAATATAATTGCATGCTCCATATCGTTAAAAGTCCATAAGATCGCCCATACAGTAGTTAGAAATGTTCCAAGTAAAATGAAACTGAAATGAGTAACAGCAAAGTAAAGACATTGTATGCTCTTTTTTCAGTCATCATCATATTAGTTTTTATGATGTTCCACATAGTAATTTTAAGTCGGTTCAAAACAAAAAGAAAAATATGTCGAATTTGATTTTGCGGAAATGGGCTCAGTTAAAATAGATTTTGATCTGTCTGAACTGATGTAGACCAAAGATATTGCCAATATTGTTCTACTGATTTATGAAGCGATTCAGGTTCCCATAAGGTCCTTCACAAAGCATCCAGCTCTTGTTTCTCGGTTTTATTCTACCTTGTCGTAATTGCAGTTTTCAGTAAAATAATAATCAACCTCACGAGCGTTAAATAACAAGTTTCATAAACAATTTCTTGCTTCTTTTTACTACATAATTTATGTTACATCTTTTCTCCTACCAATAATTTGATATCTGCATCGGAGCACTTAATGGTTGCTCATTCTTACAACGGATACACTTCCATTTATACAGAATCCATATTTTATTAATCGTCAGGATCCATCTAGTGAGCCAAACGAGAGCTTTGGATAACACCAGTAAGTTCTTCGATCTTGCCCTTGGCACGCTTCAAAGTACCGAGCTACATATGTGGTTAGCATTCCATTATATGCTGCTTTATTTCTTGTCACTTACTCTCTTCTTAGCAAGCTTACGAGCACGCTTGTCTTGAGAGTTACGGATTAATTCCATAACACGGCGCTCATAAGGAGCAAATCCAGCAACCTCACGAACGACGGAGCGAACAAAAGAGGTACGCTTCGATTGATGTCCTTTACGACGGGAAGGACGCTCAGGCAATTGACGCTTGGTCAAAGCCTTGCCCTTGTTTAATCCAACAACAAGTCCAGGAGCCATGGTGTGAAGTCTACGCTTCCTCCTTCCTTTCTTTACTAGTTTTGACAATGCTTTGTGACTGTCCTTTGATAACCCTACCCTACGACTGTTACACTTGCTGAACAGTTTTTTTTGCCTTTTTTAAAGATCAATGTAATTTCAAATGAACAAGTAGTTTCCCTTTGATAAAACAGCTTAAACTGATGTTTATTTTATATTGATTTTCTTTCTAACGTGATTATTCTTTTGGAGACGAATTGTGTTTTTATCATTTTTGAATACAATTATAGTATTTATTGTCTATTTGTTCATAGCAATTCCATAATGTATTATGTTTTGTAGTGATGAGAATGTCAAACAGTTTTCTACCGCTTACTCTTTTGAATAAAGATTCTCTTTGCAAAATAAGTTCGCTTTAGTAATTAAAAATTTACGTTAAACTACACTAACTTTGTTATCCTTTCACATTTATCCATAGAATGATGTTTAATTCAATGCGTCCTTGATTTGCTCCTTGAATCCTATAGCTGTTGTTCATCACAAGTAGATCACTTAAAGCATCAACATGTTCCCTGAATTCCATACCAAATAATTATCTTTATCCAAAATCTCATTTTGATTAAAGTAAGGGTTCAATGGACAACTCTTACTCGTCCTACTATGTGTCGTGCTACACCATACAAAAGAGAATAATCATGCCTATCGAAACATCACGGATGCTATGATTGAACAGGTTCATTAATACATACCATAATTTTTTGATCAAAACAGCTATCCATCTGAATATGGCAATAATTGCATATTCAGATAGGTTTCCGGTTTTGTTACTACAGCTTCTATTGAGCCGTGCACTCAGGTACAGAATGGAATTCTTCTTCTTCGGCAAATGGATTTTCAAAACGGGCACTACCTCCAAAATTTGAAACATCTCCAAGCTGTCCAGTCACGGAATCTACAATAGCATCTTTCGTTACCGGAACTTGCTTGGAACATGCAGGTAAAATATTCTGTAGCATTTGCATCGATTTTCCATCTAACGAGTCATCTTTGGGAAATTCAATTTCAACTTCCAGGTAAAGATCACCACGTAAATCCGTTTGATAATCTCGGTACATTCCTTCACCTGGTATAACAATACAATCACCTGGTCGAAGTATTTTACCCTTAGGCTGATAATATTCCAGAATACGACCATCTAATGTGGTTACTACGGCCCTCTTGAAGCCTACCAAAGCTTCAGCAAGACTAATTTTAAGTTTGGCCTTTAAATCATCCCCTACCCGCTCATATACAGGGTGAGGAACCTGTCGAAGCCGTAAAACAACATCTCCCGGCGTCATTCCTAAGGCCTCATCCGCCATTCCTGGCTGGACAACTTTGTCCATTTCTTTTGCTGAGCGGCGCACGTAGAATGTAAGGACTCGCTTTTCACCGACAACTCCGGAGCCTTTGCAATACTTACAGCGGTCTTTGGTTCGAAAGTTTGATCCTCTACCATTACAATCCTCGCATGTCGATTGTTGCGTAGTGACATGATGAGGACCAACTCTATGAAGGTGCTGTTGCACACCCTTTCCACTGCACGATAAACAAGACCTTTCCTTAGCAAATCGCTTTCCGCCTTTGCCTTGGCAGTGTGGACAAATGACGTTTCTGGTAGCACGCAACTTGATCTCTTTGCCTTTAAACATGTCTTCTAGCGTAATCTCGTAGTCGTGAACAACGTCCGAACCTCGACGCTTTTGCTGTCCCGGCGCACCGTGTGCACCAAAGTTCATACCAAACATCTGGGCCAAAACGTCATTAATGTCCACTCCATTTTGTGAATTGTCATGGCCTTCATGTTCAAGGCCATACATGTCATACGTTTCTCGAGAGCTAGGTTCTCGCAGCACGTCGTATGCAGTCTGAATATTACGGAATCTAGCCGCTGCATCTTCCCGGTCCGATTCTGCTACCTTGTCGGGATGATTTTGCAAAGCCAATTTTTTATAACGTTTTTTTATTTCGTCCGCAGAAGCAGTGGAGTCCACTTCAAGGATATCATAAAGAGTAGTATCAGCAACCATTATTATCTTTTATAGGTTCTACTAAACGAATGGCAGCACGCTTTGCAAGTTGGGTAGCACAAGGTAAAGCCTCTTGGCAATTAAAAGAGGATTATGATTAGGGTTTTTGAAATAAAAAAGAAAGTATTGCTAAAGATAAGTTTCAATAAAAACTCTGCAATAGGATTGAACTGAAGCTCGACTGGCGATTTTTTAACAAAATATGAAGTTTTCAGAATATGGCTTCAAGGAATGCTCTTTTCAGTCATGGAACCAAAGAATATTATACGATATACACGCTGCTAAAAACTTGCTGGTTTTTGCCAAACTGGAAAAGCTGTAGAACATCTTCCTTACGAACTGTCGTGCGCCCGGATGGTTTAACGAATTATCCTTGAAATGCGTAATCCTAAAGAAATGGACAATAATAGGAAGAAAAGAATCGATTGCTTAAATAGAAAGTGTATAAGAAGCTTTACTGAGATGGCACTGTAAGCTTGAAGCTACCAGATATTCCATCCCTTCACTCTTAATAGTCCAGAAACCGTAGACATGTGACTTTTCCAAGCATCAGTGATGGAAGTACTAAGAGAAATTAACATGGTTTTCTAGTTTCAGTTCTTTTACTTATGAGCCAGCCGATTTACGCTCCAGGGAAGCAACTTCTAGTTGAAGTGCCCATAGCTCATCCTGTAGAAGATTAATGCGTTTGTCCTTTTCACCGTTCAGTTCTCTCTGCAACGAAAGCTGTTTTTCTAGAAGAGAATTTTCTTGAAGATGCTGTTTACACATAAGTTGCGCTTTCTGCATATTTCTCTGATACAATTCGCAGGTTCTTCGGAGGGACCGAAGCTCATCGGTCATAGTCCGCATCGTCACTGTCTCACCAGATATACCGTGAGACGGTCTTCCAAGTTCTTTGTGAGTATCCTTTTCATTTATAGGCGCCTCCCGCTGATTCAGTGACAGGGTTGAGCGAAACAGCTCCATGTATGGTTCAATAACTTTGACATATGCTTTTTCACGAGAATCTCGCCGCTTAAGTTTTTCCACTAAATCCAAGCTTTCCATTTTTTTCCTCCTGGTATTTTAGTTTTTCCTGTAAAAACGAGTGGAATGCTTTCCATACACTCAAAAGTTAGGCACGTTTATCAATTTTGCTTTCACAAGTTCGACGATAGTTCTCCATTAATTCCTAATTTAAGAATAAAACAGCTGTAAACTTACTAGCAGCATTAGAAAGAGTCCTTTTCTACCTTCTCCTTGTTCTTGTCCAAGCTGTATAGTCTGAAAGTAGTGTTTGGTTTTCCATAGCAAGTAAATAACGATTGTTAGCGAAAAGCGATAAAATAATATATAGAATTGAAACGAGGAGTTTGCTAATTTCAAATGTCATGAGGTAAGGAGCTTTTAGAGCTAGCAGAAAGAAGCACAACCCAATTCTTCACTTTACAAAGAACTTTGTTTATTTGCAAGAATTCAGGAAAACTTTGGTACAAAACTCTTCTACGAAAGGACTTGAAGGTTTACACTAAGAAAGCAAGAGAAATTGGTTGCTTGGTTCCATAAGAAAAATGGCAGGCAGGAAGAAACATTTACTGAAAGTGATTATTCTTGGTGAAAGCGGTGTAGGAAAGACATCGATTATGAATCAGGTACGTTCTCTTTTTGGATTTTATTGGTCGTTTTCGCAAAGCGTGTTGGATTGGAATGCTTCTGTAGCATCATGGCGCGACGACATGAAGAAGAACCCAATTTCGATGTTGAGCCGAACCGTAAGCTAATATATTCAAAATATAGTATGTCAATAAAAAGTTCAGCAAGGACTATAAAGCCACCATTGGCGCTGATTTCCTTACGAAAGAAGTATTAGTAGATGACAAGGTGGTTACATTGCAGCTATGGGACACAGCTGGACAGGAGCGTTTCCAAAGCTTAGGCGTTGCCTTTTATCGTGGTGCTGACTGCTGTGTTCTTGTATACGATGTTAATAACAGCAAGTCTTTTGAAACCTTGGACAGTTGGCGTGACGAATTTCTTATTCAGGCTTCGCCAAGCAATCCTGAAACCTTTCCCTTTATTTTGATTGGCAACAAAGTAGATGTGGAAGAAAAAAAGAGAATGGTATGATTTTGTTGACAGGATGATGGGTTATGAAAGACATCAGCTAATATCTATCTATCTAGGTTTCCAAATCAAAGGCTCAAGCTTATTGCCAAGATAGAGGAGAAATCCCTTATTTTGAAACCAGTGCCAAGGAAGCTATCAATGTTCAAGAAGCCTTCGAAAACGTTGCTCGTCTGGCGTTGGAGAACTCGGATGCTGAAGATGCTGCTGGCGATTTTGCTGATCCTATTCACTTGGATATGGAAAGTCAGAAGGCCACTTGCTCTTGTTAAATTAAGCTTCACTTTGCCCTTCCCTCCACATTTCCTCTACTATACCTCGGTTATCATTTTATGGAGACGAAATGACCATAAGCAATTCTTATTTTTATGTTATAAAGTGTTTGTTATCTCTACCTCTTCATTGGTAATAACGTTAAAAAATCTCGGAATCATGATAGATTACGGGTATCGTTCTTATTTCCATCAGCTTACACTTTGTTTATTAATGATTTAAAACTTCATACACTTACAATCCCTTTTCTTTTATTAATACATCCTGTTTACTTTTGAAAGATTTACAATAAGTACTGTTACACAAACATACTTTTTTTTTTTTTTCATGTTGGCCGATCTGACTTCAAGTTTATGAATGTCAAACTGGCTCTCCATAACTTCCAACTTAGTATAATCATTCTTTTTTATTATTCATACGAATGCAACAATTCCTTACACTATGCAACTACAGATATCTCCGATGGTCTATTTGTAAAAGTGCCATGGTTCTGCGAAGGTTTTAATATTAATTTCTTTGTGTATAGAAAGCTAATCAATATATTTTCGGGGATTTCGTGGTGCACGCTTATTCATAACTATTTTTTCTGTTGTAATTTTGTTATTAACCAGAGCAATTTTTGTGCTTCATGACATATTCGATACAACAACTCTAGTAGTCATTTATTTTCTTTTATATGTCTATTGATTCACTTTACATTCATTTCTGTTGTTTTTTATTTGATTAATTAGCAGTCAATTATCCAAACTCACATCTCTAACCTGCTCGTTGGATATAAGACTCTCCATATAGGATGTACTATCAAAATAGCAGAAAACATGCTACTGGCGTAAGCTTGTTGCTTTCTGTTGTTTTCCTATGGCTCATAAGCTCCTTTTTTACCAATAATCTGCTGAATGACCCTAGCTTTTTCAATCCCTTTTTTATCACCTACTTGAATACCGGTACGTTTGTGTTGTATTTGATCCCATGGTATCTTTTTGAGAGAAATGATACAAAAAGAGAGCTTACAGCTCATACTTCTGTCTATGAATCATTGGATGAAACACAAAATCCATATACGTATAGACGAAAGCCGATGACATTTCGACAAACCGCCTCTTTGAGCTTAGGATTCTGCATTATATGGTTTGCTGCTAATTATTTCAGCAATGGCTCTTTAGCGTTCACGAATGTTGCATCCTTTACCATCATATCTAGCATGAGTGGATTTTTCACTCTGGGGTTAGGAGCTATTTTCAACGTTGAGAAGTTTACCTTTGGTAAGTTGCTGGCCTTGGTAGCAAGCGTTGGGGGTGTGATTCTTGTTGTTATTCAAGATTCAAAACAAGCATCTGGCGGGGATAATGCACCTTCTCAACCAGCATTGGGAAACACTTTTGCATTGTTAGCTGCTTTTCTATACGGATGCTATTCCGTTCTTGTGAAATTCCATATTACAGAGGAGGTCTGCGTTTCTATGCGTTTGTTTTTCGGTCTGGTGGGACTCTTTGACATTATTTTGCTTTGGCCGTTTTTAATCTTACTACACTATTATGGAGTCGAAAAGTTTCAGCTTCCTTCTACTAACCGTGGAATTGCTATCTTGCTTTTTAATGCTGGGATTACTTTTGTCTCCGATTATCTATGGGTAATTGCAATGCTAATGACTAGCCCTTTGTTGGTAACCCTTGGAATGAGTCTCAGTATACCATTAGCTTTGTTTTTTGACATCATTCTCAGAGGTCATTATATAAATTTTACATTAATTTTCGGGTCTCTTCTGGTCTTCGCGGGATTTATCGTTGTAAATTATAATCAAACAACACACGTCTAACAACTTTTACATGCTCCTCCTCCTCATATCAATTTTGTCTTTACATAAGTTATTCTCTTTTCTTTGATAAATAGTTTTATTTATGCGCATTAGACTCTCCTTTCTTTTCTGGCAACATCCAAGGGCTTGTAAGTTATGGAATCTGTATGCCAAAACAATAATTTATTTTTTTACCTCCGTTTTTCTCCTTTATCATGTCGTTGACTATAGCTAATAAATATTATTATTTATTTTTCATTTGTATATCATCGTTTGCTTGTTTACTATCTCCGTATATCCAGTAAGTCGTTGCATAATACTAGTACTTTACCGTAAAGCAATTTATCCTTCACCACTTTCACCTCAATTCTAGACTTTACAAATATGTTCTTTTCTGGGTTTTTTGGTCAGTATCTTCTATAGTTCCTTAGATTTTGTTGTTTCTGATTCCATAAAAGACTAAATATCGTGTTTACTAAAGTGATTACTCTCAAGTCCTTCTTTTAAACATTTTCCTTTTTTAAATTGTTATCTATTTCTATCCATTGATCTACCTTTTATTTTGTTCAAAGACTCATAACTTAGGCTTGGTTTTGCGGTTCGTTTCTGTTTCTTTTTCTTTTTCCTGTTCATTGTTAAGCATTTAATTGCCAGTAATAATAAAACATAAAAGCTTTCTAATGCCATATACTAAAAATATACATCGTTTTGAACATGACGGAGAGTACGGAAATGCTAATGAGAATTCAGGACTTCGAAGAGAAGATGTTCGCTATAAGCGTCCACCTTTAAGTAGAAAAAACTTTTCCAGTTCTTCTCATTCATCAAAACCTATTATCCGGCATTCTTCTGTCAAAACAGATCGTCCGCATTTTCAACGAGCTAGTACTTTGGTAGCAGAACAGTCTAGCGAAATATTAAATGATGATATTGAGGAGCCAGTGAACAATATTTCCACGTCTCACAATCTTCCTTCAGCTCTTTCCTCTCCTGTTCAATCTGGGTCTGTTAAGTCGAGTGATATAGCCTCATCCCAAGCTAGTGGCATATATGACGAAGTTGATCGTTCTTTCCAGAGTGGATTAGGACAAGATAATTTGCCGTTTTCTCCTTTTAGCGACCGATTGAGCTTTGATACGACTAGCACAAATGAATTAAAAACTACAGATGAACAAGGACACTTAAATAACTCTTCCTTCTCTTCTTTTAAACCCACAAATACCAGTCCTCAATCTGGATCTCCTCGTCTCCCTTTGTCTCGATTAAACCATCCAGTGTTTAATATAGACAACAACCGGAATAGAATTGTATCTGAAGCCGCTTATCCTTTTCAGCTTCCTAACAAAAGTGATAATTACAAAACGCGAAGTGTGTCACTACCTTTGCATCGATCTATACTTGATAATACGTTATGCAATTCCTATGCTGTTGATGATTCCGGACATTTTTCTCCAGTTGAGGATACTATTCCTTTAAGAAAAGACAGTCTTAGGGAAAATCATCCGACTAGAGATTCAAGGTTAAGCCTTTTGGATTATGGATCTTCTTCTAGCTCAGTCAGTAGCACGTCTGGAGTCCCAAAACCGACTGATAGCTCAACGTATTCTGGAATTATTAATCAACAACTGTCTGCTTCTGAAAACGCAAGCGATCATTTTAGTGTTAGGGAAAGGTTAAGAAATCGTTCATCTGACAATCCTGGTGATCCGGAAAAAGACCAGATAGATTCCAAAGAATCGTTTGTTTTACAAGCTCAAGTAAAGGACGAGGTATCCAAATTTATGATATTCTTTACTATTGGCATTCTTTTTCCTCCTTTATGGATGATTGCATCCTTCCTTCCTATCCCAGGTACCAGAACCTACAAAATGAGACTGAAACATATACAATGGCGGTTTATTAATCGAGTTGTTTCCTGCCTTGGCCTCGCAATCATTTTCTTGTTTATTGGATTAGGAGTTGCTGGGTCATAAAATTTATCCCTAAATAATGACATAGAAGACAATAGAGCATCTAGTGGACGTATTATGAGTAAGCGGATATTATTAAATCTATTACCAAAAATTAATTAAAATGTTTGTTTCCTTTGTAGATTAAGGGTTGTTTCGGCAAAACTTAACACGTTAATAATGAGCCTCCCACTTGTTTAAATTAAGCAAGCTGCATTGTTCGTGGTCACTATTTTCAACTAGGCTTCCAATACGATAGACAGTTTCACCAGAGTTAGTCAAGTCTTGAATGGCTTCCTCGGCATGTTCAGACGAAACTACAACTACCATGCCAATACCCATGTTAAAGGTTCTAGCCATGTCAGACACAGGAACATTACCGGTGCGCTGCAACCATTTGAATACTTCCGGCACCTCCCAAGTATTTGCATTTATTACGGCTTTAAATTGCTTGGGAAGCATTCTCGGCACATTCTCTAAAATTCCTCCACCAGTAATGTGCGCCATGCCATTAACCAAGCCCTTCTTGATGATTTGAAGCAAAGGCTTAACGTAAATACGAGTTGGAGTAAGTAAGGAGACACCCAAAGTAGTGCTATCATCCCAAGGGCACGTAGAATTATAGTCTAAGCCGCTCACCTCTACAATTCGACGAACAAGTGAGTAACCATTGGAATGAACACCATCAGAAGCTAGACCAAGCAAAACATCTCCAGAACGGAAAGCTTGATGGTTGGGCAACATAGCCTGGCGAGGAACAGCACCCACTGAAGTACCATTGGCATCGTAATGTCCTTCGTGATAAAGACCGGGCATCTCAGAGGTTTCTCCACCCACTAAGGCACAACCAGCTTGCTTGCAGCCGTTAACAACACCTTCGACAAAGCTGGTAGAAACTGCAAGATCTAACTTGCCAGTTGCGAAATAATCTAAAAAGATAAGTGGTTCAGCACCTTGAACAACAAGGTCATTGACATTCATTGCTACCAAATCAATACCAACAGTATCATGCTTGTTGGCATGTAAAGCAATTAAAAGCTTTGAGCCGACACCATCAGTGGCACTGACCAGTAATGGATCTTCCCAACCGGCCCGCTTCAAATCAAAAACACCTCCGAAACCACCTATATCAGCGTCGGCACCTGGGCGTCGAGTTGATTTGACCATTTCTTTAATACGTTGGACAAATTCATTACCGTTATCGACGGAAACACCAGCTGTCTCGTAGGTTAAACTTTCCTTAAAGGCATTTGAGGGTTTGAGAGCATGGTGAGCAATATCCTTGCGGTAAGACATATCTTTGTATTGCACAGTTTGAACTCCCTCATACGCCAGTTTAACAGCAGACTCAACGGTTTCTCCGGTTGCATTCACGGCTAGAACACGACCACCACTAGTGACTATTTGACCATCTTTAAGAGAAGTGCCGGCATGGAAGATACGGATATTTCCATTTGGGGTATCTGAAAATGTAATAGGATCACCTTTAGGATAGGAGCCGGGATAACCACCAGCTACACAAACGACAGCACAGCTGAACTTGTTCGATATAGAAACCTTGACAGAATCCAAGCGTCGTTCGATACAAGCCAGAATGATTTCAGCCAAATCGCTCTCGAGCAATGGAAGGACTGCTTGGGTTTCAGGATCACCAAAGCGGACATTGTACTCCAAGACACGAGGTCCTTTAGCAGTAATCATAAGACCAGTAAAGAGAATACCAACCAAGGGATAGCCTTCACGGCGCATTCCATCAACAGTAGGTTGGATGATGGTGGAGTGAATTCTGTCAACCAACTGTGGAGTAGCAATAGGGGCTGGGGCATAGGCACCCATACCACCGGTGTTAGGACCAAGATCACCGTCAAAAGCACGCTTATGGTCTTGGGCAGGAGGAAGAGATCGACATATGTAACCGTCGGTAAAGGTTAAGACAGATAATTCTTCTCCTACTAATAATTCTTCAATGACGACCGTCTTTCCAGCACTACCAAATTCTTCATTAAGCATGATATCGCGCAAAGCGTCAACCGCTTCTTGTTTTGTTTTGGGGATGATAACACCCTTTCCACCAGCCAAACCGTCGGCCTTGATAACAACATCAAAAGAGCAAGTGTTGACAAACTGCTCAGCTTCCTTATAGTCACTAAAAGTGCAGTACACAGCTGTAGGAATGTTGTTTCTATGCATAAAGTCTTTAGCGAACACCTTACTACCTTCCATTCTAGCAGCCAAGGAAGAAGGACCAAAGCATGGAATACCAGCTTTGCGAAAATGAGTTTCGATACCTTGGACCAAAGGTAGCTCAGGGCCAGGGACAGCAAGATTAACCTTGTTCTCCAGAGCAAAGTGGACAAGCTTTTCAAAATCGCAGACTCCAATGTTTACATTTTCAATCTTGGATCCTGGTCCCTTAGCCTCGGTACCTCCGGTGCCTGGTGCTACATAGATTTTCGAAACTAGAGGAGACTGAGCAAATTTCCACGCCAATGCATGCTCGCGTCCACCATTTCCGATCAAGAGACCCACAATTGGTTCCATATTGGTATTTGTACAAAATGCAAGCTAAAGACTACAAGAGTTAACATATGTTCTAACGAAATTGGCCGTTAAGAAACTCAACCATCAATATCAAGTACATACAGTTGCTTAAATAATTAAGCTTAAAGCCTAGAAATGGATGTTTCAAGCAAAAAGGAATTTCCTAGGAAATCATTCATATCGTTTCCCATCTATAATTTAGTGAGACGTCTTGATGTCCAGTAAAGATGAAGAGGGAAGCGGAAGGATGGCGTTGATAATGGCATTTAGTGCTGATAAAAGATGTAAATCTTATAAGACGATCATTCCTTGATGAATGGACTGAACATAGACTAAATGGACAGAACGATGGGAAAAGTAAATAAACAGAGAAATGAACGAACGTGTAGAAATGATAATTTTTTATAAGAAAAGTAAACAATTGGTGAAAAGGAATCAGGAACTTAGAATTGGGTGAATCTCAGACAACGTGTTTTCATAGATATATCATGCAAATCAGATCTCTTAAGACAAGGGAGCGTGTGAGATTTCGACAAACCTGGGAGTAGAGCTGAAATGAAACAAAAGATTGTACTCATTTATTAACAGGATAAAGTATAATTACGAAAGGTGGCTAAAATCTCTTGGAGAAATCCATTTTTGGAAGGGAAAGAGCCAAGCAGCTTAGAAAAAGCATTCCCTGCTTCTCTTCTCTTAGGAAATCTTTGCTTTGTTTATTGCTTAGCGAAAGGTGTCTTGTAGTTTGTTAAAACGCTTACGCTTTTATGTTCCACATCACTAAATACATTTTCAAACAGGACATAGCTCTACTCGGAATCTTCAACCAAAACTTTTCCATAGCAAACTGTCAAAATTAGGCATTTTCTCCTAGAGAGCATTCATACAAGCAACTTGTGCACCCTTTTTCCATGGTGCATCGTTCCGAAACTTTTTGGTGAGGTATCTTTTTTTATTCGCGAATCACTAGGTTTCTTTCTTTCGAACGCGAACGCGAACTATTTACCATTTACGGAAGTCGGGAGTGTAAGCTCGATTGTCAGGTCTGGTTTATTTTATTTTTATTTTTCTAGCTTTGTACCCGGCCTCGTTATCAGGGTATAGCATTTTTGTTTTTGGTTTCATTCCTTTTTTTTTTTTTTTCAGCATTCATTGGTTTACCCTTTTCATTACATTGTGGTAACTTTTGGGTGATTTCGGTTTTTTTTTCCTTCGTTTTAAAAGTTTGGGTCATTCGTGGATTGTCATATTCTTCAAAATAGGTTTTTCTGGTGATATTACAAGTCATTTCCTTTCTCGATTCTAGATTTTTGTCAACTTTTTGCTCGCATCCATTTGAATCTCTACATTCCTATCATGTACCAATTTCAAATAAAAGTACCAGCTTCCTCCGCAAATATTGGGCCCGGTTTTGATGTGTTGGGAATGTCCCTTGAGGTCTATATGACTTTGGACGTTCAAGTCGGTGATGACAAGGGCGCCTGTGTTTTGTCTTATGAGGGGGACGGTGCTAACGAAGTGCCCCTTGATATTCACAAAAATATGATTTCCCAGACTGCTCTTTATGTACTCCGATGCCACGATATCCATGAATTCCCCTTAGCGGTAAAGATTCATGTTAAGAATCCCATTCCTTTGGGTCGTGGTATGGGTTCCAGTGGTTCTGCTGCTATTGCTGGCGTTTTGCTTGCCAATGAGCTTGCTCATTTAAAGTTATCCAAACTTCAAATGATGGACTATGTTCTCATGATCGAGCGTCATCCTGACAACGTTATGGCTTCCATGATGGGTGGCTTTGTCGGTTCTTTTCTTCGTGAGTTATCGGATGTTGAAAAAGAAGCTATGATTCCTTCTGCCAGTGATCTCTTAACAAATCAAGGATTTTCAAGACCTCCGAAGGGTTTGGGAACGTATGCAAAATTACCATGGGCCCCTGAGCTAAAGGCGCTTGTCGTCATCCCTCAATTTCACCTTTCTACCTCGAAAGCTCGAAGCGTCTTGCCTTCTTCGTATACAAAGCCGGATGTTATCTACAATCTTCAACGTTTAGCGCTTTTGACTACAGCGTTGGGACAAACCCCTATTAATGCTCATCTTATTCATGAGGTAATGAAGGATAAGGTCCACCAACCATATCGTTCTCAGTTGATTCCTGGACTACAAACGATCCTTGCTCAGATGACACCCGAATCTCAACCAGGACTCTGCGGCATTTGTCTTTCCGGGGCGGGTCCCACGATCCTCGCCTTGGCTACTGATAATTACGAAGAAATTGCCCAAAAGATGCTTATCATTTTCAAGCAAAATAATGTCGACTGTAATTACTTGGTTCTTTCACCTGCGTTCGAGGGTGCATCTGTAACTTACTAGGGAAGCGTCGCCTCATATACCGAAAATGGTATGGTATGCTTCATGAAAAAGGTTCAATCTTGGGGAAAATTCTGTAATTTTTTTTGTTACTTTCGTTACAGGTATATTTGATATAGAAGAAATTTGTATTTTGTTTTGTATGTAATTTAGTTGTATGTTTCTGATTGTTCACTTCTTGGGAATCTGTTTGTAAAGCTTTGCATAAGGACAATTTTGATGATGACTCACTTGATTTTGCAAGACTTTTCGTAAGATATACAATAGGAAAAGGATAGACAGATTTGTTTTCGGTTTCAGTACACAGAAACGAAAATATTCTCAAATGAGGACAAGGTCTTATGGTTTTTCTAGGGAACACATCAATAAATATTCCTTCTCCACAGGATCAAAGTATCCCAATGGTCCCTTCTCACATTCACCGCAAGCTAGCAACTTGATATTGCTAGCTAAGGGTTTGGATACACTAATGTTATCGAACGCAAAAGGATCCTTTAGACTATAGTAAGGCTCTGCTTTGGCTGAATTGTTTTTGGCAGCTCCCAAGATGGATCGTAGTGTTGGTTTTTCTACCACGACAGGTTTCTCATTAGAAAAGACTACACTAGTGCAATGAGGACAAGTGATATGAAGCCTTGACATTTTCGACTAGATATTTGTAACGATTCGCCAAAGTTTTATGCTCGGGCTAGAGTAGGTCTTTCAACTAAGGAAACGTAAATTGAAAAGAACAGCTCCTAAAGAGTACGGAAGACGAGATGAAATTGAAAATCTAGCAGGGAGAAAGTATCGATATCATTTTTGAATAACGAAATTCAAGATAGAGTTTATATAATGAAGTGCAAGAAGTATTCTATGAGTCGAAAAGGAACCAAAGGGACGCATCCTATTCAATTAAAATCACATGTTCTTTCTTAATTTTTTTATATAAAAAAAGGAGAAAACCTCCTCATTCGCTTTTCCTCATCGTATTTCCTTTTTTTTCCGAATGAACACGCTTATTGTTTCCATCGTCAATTGAGTCATTTCCTTGATACTGCTACAAGCGTTGAAACGAACTCAATTGTATGATCTAAATTCTTCGATTCCTACAAAATACCAAGAAAGCGAGTAAATGATCAAAATTTGTTTATTAAGAAGCTGCGCAACAAGGTGGAGTTTCTCCCTCTAGTTCACAAATTACATGCTTTCGTCTATGTTCTTCCTCGTAAGCCCATATAGCGACACTGTCCACTATGGAATTCATTTCCCCTCATACGAAGAGAACTGCCATGCAAGGACTTAGTCTTAGCCTTTTCCTTAATTCTCCGGATTTTGGAATTGGAAACCGTTTAGAAGGAAATCCATGCCATTCTAAATTTTGAAAAGAGTTCTATTTAAATTCAGCTACTATATGTTTCTTTGTACCTGGCATTTCCCCCATTTCATTCGTTCTTCTTTACTTGATTTACCCTATATCAACTAACCTCAAATTAAATCCTTTTGGAATTCACTTTCTTTCTTTATTTTCTCTTTTTTTTTTGTTTTCTCAGAAAATTGGTCAAGAATCTTGTTCGGACTCAATTTCTTTTTGCAGGCTGAGATAGCATCCGAATATCTTTTACAATTACTTCAAATACTCGCCAATTCTTACTAGCTCCGCTTTAAAGGTTGGGAACTACTTTTTTTTTTGTGCGCGGCTGCTGCTTTCCGTATTTGTATACAAGGATTGTATATTTATCAAAGCTTTCTTAGGAAACTTTCCTGTCTATCTTTCTTTTTGTTTTTTTTTATCTCTTTTATTTTTAATTAAAACACATCCTTCTCTTTTGGAATGTTTTGTATTTTTTGACGGTCAATTTTTTTAACACTTAATATTTTCATTGCTTTATGATCATTCTCTGAAACCTGCCTATTTATCAATTGCTATTCTGGTTACGTTCTTAACGCTTGTTCAGTTTATTTTAATTTGTTTTGTTTTGCCCCTCTTCTTTTATTTTATCTCTATATGTCAAATTATTCTAATAACCCGTTTTTTAGCCTGCAGACGGCAAACGATGATTTAAAATCATCTATACCACCTCAGAATGGTCATCCACCTGGGATATCTTCGATAAGCTATAATCCGAACTCTGTTCCTTACGCTGATTTATATCCTCAAAGATCGAATACCGCATCGAATTCATACAATCACTCGAAGTATCATGCTTCTGGAAAAGAAAATCAAAATGTGTTGAATGCTCCTTCATCTAAATCCCATAGGCCTACACGTCCATACATCCCATCGTACACTCGTTTAACATACACTGTTCCCCCTTTACCTTTACCTCCTCCTTCCGAATGCTCTCTTGAGGCTTTAACAGGTAGAAAACCTTCCGCTGTACCCTCTTATGAAGATTCTAATCAGTTTTATTTCCCTATGGATGATGGCCGAAAACCCCCTTACTCATACGCCATGCTTATTGGAATGTCCATCCTCTGCTCACCTGAAAGACGACTTACTTTGAGTGCCATCTATGATTGGATCAGTGGGACGTTTTCGTTCTATAGTAAATCCAATAACGGCTGGCAAAACTCGGTTCGTCACAACCTTAGTCTCAACAAGGCTTTTATGAAAGTTGAACGATCCAAGAATCTCCCAGGGAAAGGTCACTTTTGGGCTATACGTCCTGGTTATGAGGACCAATTTCAGAAATTGAGACTCAGAAAGTCTTGCGTTAACCCTCGACCAGCTCCACCCATATTTGAAGGTAATGCGTTAATCTCTTCTTCTGTTCCAAATTATACTGCTTCACTACCTAAATCACAAGACGGAAATTCGTTTAATCAGTATAGAGCTCCTTCTGTTGGACCCGCGCGAAGGTACGTGCAATCAAGGGAGATTAGCGCAACAGATCGAAATGCTTTTACTGAATATCCGCGCTTTTGGAATCCTCGACAAACGAAAGTTACTGATAATGATCCATCCGAATTGGAAACAAAGTTTTCCGATTTGGGTGTTTCGCCTATAATGAGTACTGGCTCTCCTCAGTCAGCTGTTCAATCACCGACACCACCTGTGTCTTCCCCTGATTCAAGTGAATCCTATCGTTTAAATACTTTGGACAATAAAACTGAAATATCGATTAACGAGAATGAGTTGAGGACTCCTAACAAGGTTCGAGCTTCATCTTTGGCACTTGAAGAAACGGTGGGACCTATTTACCACACTTTGGATACGAATACTAATGCATCCCATAACGAAAATTACGTGGATGAATTGGACACACGAGAGGTAAGCACTTTAGCCTCTGAAAAAGAAGATCTAGATCCTCCTTCATCGCTTCCTGCCTCTCCGACTCATAAGTCTCGCATTATAAAGCCAACAAAACGATCTGTTTCCATTGATCTTCCTACTCCGCCTCGTACGTTGTGCCCAAGAGCCCTTTCCATTTCTGATGATATGTCTAATAATGATTTTAATAAGTCTTCCCTGCTATCCCCTATAAAGTTCGATTCAAACACACAGTTTGCTAGTCCATCAACCAATTTAAAGGAACATCGAAACCGTATTTTGCAGATGCTTGCAACCCCTGATGCAAAGCAGTTTAATAATATTACAAACTCTACCGAAACAGACTCTTGGAATTTCACTCCGTTTCGGCCTTCATCTGCACCTAATGACGATATTCTATCCCACAGTTTGCAATCAATTCTAAAAAATGACAGATTTAAATCTGATTTGGAGAAGCTAAAAGAAAGCGATTCTTCCTTTGTGGAAACTCCTACTAAGCCGCAATGGGATAATAATTTTGATATGTTTGATGGCGATTTTTTGGAAGCAATGGATATGTTTAATTGTGATGCTATGCCATCTAATGTCTTTAGCCCTATAAAAGCTTCACCAATAAAACGTGAGGTGCGACGAAAGCATGTTCCTAGTAGTCTTGTGTTAACACGGGCATCCATTGCGCAGGATGACAGTTATCTACCGTCTCCTACAAAGCGAAAAATGCCACAATTGGGAAGACAAGCTTCAACTATGTTTTAAATCTTCATAAATTTTTAATCACTGTTAATTAATACATTTGAGTTACCCGGTTGTGGGTTTATAAAATTCTTTTAGTAATTTTTAGTAATCAAAAGAATAAGTATCTTCAATTGTAGGCTGCTTTACGTTTTCAAAAAGCAGTGGTAATAATACTCTAAAAAAAAAGTAATTTTTATTTATCCAAATTTAATATATATAACAATATTATACCAAAAACCCCTTTTGAATTCAGTGAAAAATTCTACAATCCTGTCAATATGATTCTAATAGTATCAATTTGACAATGTTCCGTCAAAAATTAAGTCCTTTTTTATGCAGAAATTATTTAATCAATTAGCGGCAGAATCGACAAGTGGTGTCAGAAGGTCAAAGCTACCAGTACCAAACCTACCAACTTGGCCCATAACGAGGCGTGCTGAAGGATTAGACAAAGTATCGACATCACCAGATAAAGCTGCTTCAGTGAGGAAGTGACAAGTAGTTTCAAAAGACATCTTAGCAAAAGGTGAAGTGTTGTACTCGATACCCATACGGTTGAATGCTTTATAACCACCTTCGAAGGTCATATAGTCAGCAATCAAGGATAGATGGCGACTGTCGACGCCAATACCGTAGACACCAAAAACAGCAGAAACTTCATTAATAATAGCATTACGAGCTGCTTCAACACCGTAAATTCTAAGAATTGCAGCAATATCGTTTGTGCTAATATCATTCATCGAAATTTCGTTAAAGAATTCCCACATAGCCTTCAAATTCACACCTTCAGTGATGACCTTAGGAACAGTGTCCATCGCAGACTCGGGAGGCTTAGGATAACAACGTGTAATTCCAGAAATCTCATGGACGACGGTTTGTGCGCAAGCAGCTTCTACCAACGAAACCATCAACAACTTTTCGGTGTTTATAGGGAATACCAATTCAACGACGGCCCACTCACCGTTCTGGTAATCAAAGTCAATGTTCTTACAGTTGGGGAGAACTGTTTGTGCTGTTTGCAAGTTCAAGGCGCGCTTTTCGTTGATTGATGAAGCCTTCAACTTCTCAGCCTGTATACGCTCTTTATATTCAGTAACACTTTCGTCAGATTTGAAGCCATCATCTTCATCCAATTCCTCGTCCATCTTCTGTGATTTCTTCAAGTCTCGCAAAGCATCTTTATCGCCCTCATCAGGTCCATCATAAGACGCATGTTGTTTCGAACGAGCAGCCATTTTTTCATTGGTAGCATCATTATCCTCATCCTCTAATGATTCTTGGGCTGCACCTTCAACGGGAGCGTCCGCAATGTCTTCAAGAGGTCTTAAAGCCTCACCAACTTCAGGAGATGACTCATCGCCAGCAGACTTCCTCTGTCTTGATTTCGACAAATAACCCTTAATGTTTCTGTTAAGAACACGCAAGAAAGTTGAGCTGACCGTACGTTCAATCTCCTCCTGTTGAGCGCCGTATTCTTCTTCGTACTCCTTACGAGGATATAAGTCCAAATGAATAGAATAAGATTTAGATTGTTCATCTGATCCTTGACCGGATATTCTTTCAACGACTCGAACTTGTTTAGCAACTTCTGATAAAACAAGCTTGTTAGCCTCCTTACAAAAAGCAGAAGCACGTTGTTCAGAAATATTGTCATTCAAACGCAAAATCATTTGAGGTGTTTGGATGTTAGCGCTAGCAGTCATGATAATTTCACGTAAACGAGGAATACCCAAAGTGACGTTCTTAGCACCAAAGCCAGCAAAGTGGAAAGTGTTCAACGTCATTTGAGTAGAAGGCTCACCAATGGACTGACTAGCCAAGACACCTACACCTTCACCAGGATCAACAAGAGATTGTTGATAGCGTAACTGCATCAACGCCTTAAACTTGGCTTCATTCAGCAACGATTCATCCTGTTTACTTTCCTTTTTGCTAGCAATCAGCTTATCAGGATTCTTTTGAGTGTAATCATCAACAGCACGTTGGAACTTTTCAGAAACACTACCCAGATATCTGCTAGGAGGATATTTGTCTAAAACAGGATCGTACTTATGAGGTTTCTTAAGTGCCTTTTTAGCATAAGATGAAGCCTTTTCAGAGTCAACAGCAGAAAGGACAGACTTGACTTTATACTTCTGAATTAATGACTTGTAGTTTCTGGCAGAAAATTCAAATTGCGTAAGATGTTTTTGTTTGGTAACGTCTAAAGAATCCTCACCATAGAAGAATTGAACAATTGAGCCATCAGCATCCCGAACAGTGTGATCATATTCGACATTAAGACCTTCAAGATGCTTCATTAAACATCTTTGAAGGTAACCAGAGCGACTAGTTTTTACAGCAGTATCAATAAGACCTTCACGACCAGCCATACAATGGAAAAAGTATTCTTGGGGAGCAATACCAGTCAAGAATCGACTAGCGATAAAGCCGCCTGCCTTGGCAGAAGTTTCATAAGGCAAGAAAGAAGGAAGGGATTTACCACTGACCATAATCGGTACACGACGGCCTTCTAATTCTTGTTGACCAAGTAGACAAGAAATTTGAGAAACATTGACATTACTTCCTTTAGCACCGGATACCGTCATGGCCTGCATATGATTCTCAGGGAACTTCGTAAGTAATCCATCAGGAATACATTTATTGATAATGGAAGATGTAAGACCATTCATTTTACCCTTCATGGCAGCATCCAACCCCTGTAATTTTTCATCGTCTCGGTAGACTTCTTCTAAATTGGCATTAAGAACGGAGAGATTGGCGTCTGAAGGCAATCCGACATACTCACTAGCAGCTTCACGACCGAAACCCTTACCGCCGTTCAAAAGTTCGCTTCGCCAGGAATCACCATTTTCACCAAGTTGTAAGTCATCCATACGACAAGTGAAACCACGCATTTGAGCGTATGCTGTGAAAAGGCGACTTAATATAGACAATAAACGACCAGCAATATCAGCGCCATAGAGTTCATGAACAGAATGTACAATACCAAAAGAAGAGGCACCAAAGGACGATTTATCTAAGACGCCGCATAGTAGCTCACCATCTTCGAACAAAACAGAGCCTTCTTCAGAGTTGGGAGACCAATATTTGCCAGCAACCTTGGCCTTACCCCTTAGATTCAGTCCAGGACGATCTGAAGGCTTCAGATTCAATAAGATAGTAGAAATGACTTGCTTACCAGTCCAAAAAATCTTAGGAGTTAAAATGGCGGGGGGAATTGTTTTAATTTTTCCAAATAATCCAGTTTCATCAGGCTTTAATGCTTGGTAAAGTAACTGTTGATACTCATCACGAGTGTAGAATGTGTCTTTACAAGTGAGCCAAACACCCATAACAACGTGATCTTGAATTAAACCACGAAGAGGATCACCTGAAGTAGGAACCAAATATTGGGAATCAGTGTTTGCAATAAACTGGGCCTCCGCACGGGCATTAGCACTTTGAGGAAAGTGCATATTCATCTCATCACCATCGAAATCCGCGTTATAAGAATTACAATTTGCATAATGCATTCTGATGGTCTTTTCCCCTGGAAGGATGCGGGCTTTATGAGCCATCATAGAAGGCTTATGAAGAGTGGGTTGACGGTTAAGAATCAACATATCGCCATTACGAACATGACGATATACTTTTTTATTGGTGTTAACAAGACGGGAATAAGAGTAAGGGGAAGAAATTAAGTTGCTTTGAGGGGTCAAAAGTTGATTAGCAAGTGCAGTACGTTGCTCGGTAGTAAGAGGCATTAAAGAAATAAGAGTACCATCCTCATTTTGAATATGAGTGGCGCCTGGCCATTTATGAGGACCATTAATCACGGCATTTCTCATTTCATTGAAATTGAAAAGAGTCACAGGCTCAGGATAAGTAAGTTTAGTGGCAAAGACTGGCGGAACTCCAATTTCGTTAGTCTCAATGTTAGGGTCAGGGGAAATGACAGATCTGGCAGCATAGTTGACACGTTTACCCATCATGTGTTTACGGAACAGACCTTCCTTCTTCTCAAGAATTTGTTTTATTCCAGGAGGAACCACTCTGGACTGACCCATTTGAGTAGGATTTCGATTGCTGTCAATAAGACTGTTAACGTCATGTTGAAGTTGGACAAAAGCAGCAATCAAAAGTTCAAAAGCTCGAGAACCACGCTCATAGGCTTCCTTACCTTCAGCATTCTTAGGAACATTGGTATCCTTGCTCAAAGCAGCTATTTGAATAGAAGATTGAAGGATTTTGGTTAAAAGCTCGTTTTGAATGTTCTCGTGGACTTCGTCACCCATCTTGGAAGCAGGGCGGAAACGAGTAGGAGGAACTGCGATGTTTTGAAGGAAAAACATATCGGAGGTAGCGGGAGAGCCTCGCTTATGAGAGTATAAGCGTGTAAGTACAGAGCTTTCCTTGCTAAAAAGACGGCGAAGATGGTTGCGAACCTCTGTGGAAGTCATGTACTTCGCTCCATGAGAGGCAGACACTTTTGATTTCTTCTTCATGGGATTGGGATCCTCCTCCATCAAATCAATGCCTTCGCCCTCATCATCATTAGAATCGGATTCACCTTCATAACCTTCATCCTCAGAATCTTTCTTACTAGTGTCACGAAGGACATCCGAACGAACTTTGCCAGTATGCTCCATGTATTGTAAATTTTTACCGCTTAAGGGAAGCTCAAAAATTTTGGCAAAGCCTTCTTTACGAAAGTTGGGAGAGAACGATTGACAGTTGTCACACTGCTTACGAGAAGTAATGTCACGATAAAAAGCACGTACCACTTTCTTTCGTTCATGCAAAAGAATAGTAGTGGTATGGGAATCAACGTGAACATTGCCTTTAGCCTGAGCAATAGCATTGTTCACGTATTCATCACGCAAACGCATCAAAGTAGATGCATCTTTGGCGATGTCGTCGTTACCAAGACCGCTGTCCTCACTGTCACTTCCTCCCTCAGTTCCAGAAGCAGATTTTGGTTTTGTCACGGCGGCCTCAGTAAGACTAACATTCTCAACAAGCTGAGACTCGTTCAGCAAACCATGGTCTAGCAATTTGAGCATACATCCGTACAAGTGAACTTTCACTTTAGAAAGCTTAAAATGATGGCAGTAAAGACATGTAGAACGAAGTAAATTGTACATCTGGGAGAAAAACAAAGGATGATATGCAGGAGTAGGAAGGACAATATGGCCAAAATGGCCAGGGCAATATCGCTCATCCAAATGACACGTGGCACAAAGTGAATTTTTCAAATAAGGTCCTAAAGCCAAATCATATAAACCTCCACTAGTAGGGTGGTTTAAATTGTCAAATAAAACTGGATTTACGATCTGCTTTACAGATATTTTTTCAATCTGTTCAACATCGTAAATCCCAAAGGTGACATTTTTCACCTCCGAAGAAATCGGGCGTGCAATATTCATAATACTACTTTTTCATAAATATGATTTTGCACATATAATCCGCCTACAGACCTCTTTGGTGCTGTACGAAGGGAATTTTTTCCACTGGCAGTACTTTGCTAAAGCCCGGTAAGAAGTCAGTGGTTTCTATTTAAAAAAATTTTGTTCCTTGAATACGCAACGCCTCGTTATGTTGATTAACGCAATTGTTAAGGTAACGTTGTCCTTTGGCATTATTTGTAAACAAAACCACAATGGGATATGAAACGATGTTCTCTAGCTGCTAAATCATGTAGAAGTTTTTTCGTTTGTATGAACTAAAGTCTAATTTAATGCTATAGAGGGTTGTCACCAGGACTTGTCGCGCTTTCGTACTCTCGTATTTTCGTTCATCAGCAAGTAGTAGGAATGAAGTCGTGGTCTACAATAGTTGTAGAGTACCCATCGAAAACCAGGTCAAAATTGAACGCTTTCTGTGGAAAGTAGTTGAATATTGATGAACACATGGCTAGACTTCTCTTCTTACTCGTAGATATGTCGTACAGAACAACTCTTATTTAAAACTACAACATCGTGTTACAAAATGTTTGTACTGCTTTCCATTTGAAGTAGGTTTACCAAATATTGTAAAGAAAAAGAAAAGAACATAAGTAAGCACTTGTACAATGCTGAGTCTTCATGAGCAGTGTGTTATGAAAACTATCATGTTCACTTTCATAAATTTCTAGAATGAATTCTTGTTACGTATATTATCGATGTTTTTATAAGAATAACCTAAAATTTTGCTAACAATTTATACAGAATGCCTTTCCAAGTCTACTTGCTATCATCGGGTGCTTTTCATATATTAACTCACTACCACCACACACCACGTTACCGTGCAATGGATTCGTTGACAAAGACGGAATATGTAACAGCTTTTCTGGTAAGGTTAATTGGAGTACAAGGAGCATTATCTAACGAAATAGTCGAATTGCTCTCCCAAGGACAGCATGTCCTTGTTTCGACAAAAGTTGGAGCAAGTTCGTTCAGATAATGATGTGTTAGCATGTTGGATCCGTGAGCGTATGGAGATTGAAAAACAATATTCTGGGAGTTTGCATAAATTAGCAATGAGCATGCAGAATATTATGCCTCAATCGATAAGCTTTTCCGACGCGTGGAAACAATTGGAAGCGGAAACGCTGGAAATTGCAAAGTATCGTAATCAGATCACACATCAACTGGGATCTCAAATCTACAAGCCAGTCGTGGAATATTATACCAGTTCTCCACAAATTGCATCTCTCCGTGAACTTGCCGAGCGATTGACGAATATAGCTAATGAACTGTCTCCATCTCAAGGGCTTATGAAATTATCTAAACCTTCAAAATCCGATGCGTTACATTCACGAGCTAACTGGGATGCTGAAGCCCCTTTAGCTTTTGAAAAGCTACAAAGTCTAGATGAAGAACGTCTGTTGATCCTTAAACAAGTATATTTGTCTATCGCTAGCTTGGAAAGTGACGCTTGCGCCTCCCAACAGGATCTTCTTTCCAAGTCTATGGAAGTATACATGGATTTACCAATTGAAGATGAAATTAAAAAATACTCGCAACCTGCTGTATCCGAAGTAGATCCTTCGTCGACACCTGAAACTCCGAACACACCTTTCTCTTCTACGAAAGAACATGGCGGAGACGGGAAGCTGAAAAATCGTGTGACAACCTTGTTCCGTCGAAAATCAACAGCTCCTAAGAAAAATGATAAATCATCACCAAAGTCTCCTCGTGCGGGAAAGCTAGCGAGTATTTTTAACAAAAAACCAAAGGATTCCGATAGTGATTTTAAGGAGGTTGGGGCATCTCCTACTGCCAACCATAGCGTTTACTCTTTTTCTAATCAATCTCACGCATCCTCATTTGCTAGACCTGTGCATGATTTTAGAGTCAACAACCATGGAGAAGTGGAAGGTGAAAACGAAGAAACAATTCGACCGAATTTGCTTGAAAGAAATCAAATTCATCCATCGTTGGATCAGCCTGGTTCGCATGAACCATATGATTTTTCCGCGCAAAGAAATGATATAAGTGTTCAGAAACCTGAATCTGCTACTTCTCCCGAACGGACGAGAGAAAAAGAGTCTTTGTTTTTGACTACAAACGACTTTGAACCAGCCATTCCAACTTCTTCTTCGCCCTCAACAAATCCTCAGAGTCCGCAATACGAAAACAAACAAGCGCCTGAAAGCGACGAGGCTGTAATCGAAAATGTTAGCAATACTCTTCGAAGAAATACTACAATAAGCAGACATTCTACTCTTGGGGGGACAAACACATCAACTTCAAGTGGTCAAGCAGCCGATATGAGTAGCTTGCCTAACTTTTCAACAATGTCCCTTCAGACTCATGATCATCACGAGGTAATTCCTGGTTGGCTTCCAGAGTTACCAAAAACAGATGGTTTGTCTGCAGCAATAGTAGAAACTTTTTCAGGCGAACTCTCCTCTTCAGGCTTGCTACACCCGTCTTGTGTTGGAACCGTATACATGAAGTATGCACCAAAAGTTGGCGAATTCAGTAAAGAGCTTGGCGTCCAAATCGCATCCAATTTTTCATTATCTATCATAAAGCGAGATGAAAACTTCGTAAGGGCTTCTTCTTCTAATGACTGTTTCCACTTGGCGACAGACAAACTGGAATCTCCTCTTCCTGTTTTAGGTTATACGTTGCAGTTGGATAGTGTCAATGGTACTCGCTCCATTCCTCTGACAGTTGTTCAAAAATGGAAACATGAAGATACCAGTAGTAGTATGATTGCCTTCATAAAGCCTAACCCGGCTTGGAAGAATCTTGGAAACACTCTTACTATTCAAAAGCTCGTTATTATTGTATATTTAGGTGAAAACATCCTTGTTAAAAGTTGTCAGAGTTCTCCTGCGGGAGAGTTCAGTAGAAAAACAAGCAAGTTGAAGTTGCATTTTTCTGATATTACAGTTTCCTCTTCTGGATTCAAAGTGCTTGCCCGCTTTGTTGTTAGCCCGAATACTGCGATTCGTAAACCGGTGATTGGTTTGCGGTTTAGAATGAATGATAACACAAATGATGCGGGTCTAGTTAAATTATTTGAACGACCTGAACTTGAAAGCCCTGCTTCAAGTCGTAGGTCTGCGCTAGAAAGCGCTTACGAAGAAAAGAAAATCCCAACGTCTTACACCTCACATATTCGTGATTGTATACTTTATCCTTCTTAGGGGGATATATTTTTTTTTCCCCTTCACACTAAAACTACCACTGTTTTATCTAAAATGTTTTTGTTTTATCGTTGACGTACTGAGTTCTTTCCTTTGTTAATAATGTTTGTGTGCAATTTGGCCTTTATTATATTACTTAGAGTAGTGTTTCTTTTCAATTTGTTTATATTTATCATTTAAAGTCTTTTGCATAACCCATCTATCTACTATACCTTTTGTATACTAAGGCAGTTTAAATACGTTTTGTAAAATACAGTGCATTCTAAAGAGTTGCGTTAAACATCAAACATAGGGATCGTAGTTACCATATAACTTGAGTGTAGCCAACCACAAAAAATTTTGGAAAATGGTTTTAGAGGCAAAACATGCGCTACATCTGGGGAAGCCCTCTTCTAAGGCAGGCCCTGTTCATGTTGTAATTGATCCTTCCGTTTTATTTTCCATCCTTGATCATTCTACCAGAAGAAGTGAGAACAACCAAAGAGTGATCGGCACTTTGTTAGGAATTCGTTCGGAAGATGGTCGCGAAATCGAAGTAAAAAGTTGTTTTGCCGTCCCTCATAATGAGAGCAGCGAACAAGTTGAAGTAGAAATGGAATATCACAGAGCTATGTACCATTTGCATTTAAAAGCTAATCCCCGTGAAGTGGTGGTTGGTTGGTATGCTACCTCCTCAGATTTAGACGCATTCAGTGCTTTAATTCAGAATCTTTATGCCTCTCCTCCTGAGCAAGGCTCTCCTGCTTTGGGCACTTACCCTCATCCCTGTGTCCATTTAACCGTTGATACCGACGTGAGTACACCTTTAAGCATACAAACTTACCTCTCCTCTCCTGTGGGAATTACCGAAAGACTTGCCGACAGTTGCGCTTTTGTTCCTACTCCTTATAGCATTCGTGACAACGAAGCTATTCGCTCTGGTTTGAAGGCCGTTGCAGCTCCAAAGAACGATCCTTCCCGTATCGCTGGTTTATTTACTGATCTTCAACAACTAAAGCGTTCCACTTTGGAAGTTCTTTCAATGATTGAGCGTGTTTCCGACTATGTCCAAAATGTTATTGATGGTTCTTCTCCTGCCAATGTTGCTGTTGGCAGATACTTAGTGAAGTGTCTCAGTCTGGTTCCTAGCATCGAAGGACATGAGTTTGAGAAGATTTTCTCTTCTCACTTGCAAGACGTTTTGGTCGTCGTTTACCTTGCAAATACCCTTCGTACTCAAATCGATATTGCCTCACGTTTAAATGTGCTTCCTTAAAGATGATAAGGACGCTTTGATGGATTTCTTTAACCGAAAAAGAGAATTATTTACTACTTGAGGAGTACTGAATAATGCTTATTTTCTTTGTAAAAATAAACGCTGACGATTGCCGGTTTGTTTACCTCTCACTAATAGGTTTCTGTTGTTTATTTCAAAACTCCTTCGTAAGTAGTGGATAGTCTCCTTTAAGATGTTTTAAACACAATAAATAAATTCTAGGTTCCATTTCGGGTTTTGAAGAAGAAGGGTATAGTTATATCAATTTAGATGAGCAACTTAACGTTTAACAAGTGAGTTATTTGTGAGTTAGTGTGGGATTCTTGTAAGTTCTTTTGCAAACCTCCTGCTGTGTATTTGTTTACATTGTACTTAAACAAATCTCCTCATACGACATAATATGCTTAAATCTCTCTCACTCACTACAAAATTATTTTAATTGTACATAAAAGTTTTGGATTATACTAATTTGTTCGGCCATTTGGCTTTACTTACGTACCTGTTTGTTTACACTGATAGTTTCGTTGACTATATTCTCAAGGACCAGGGCAACTTTAGACAAGCATATCAGCTCCAATTGGTGATTATCATCACCCTTATTGATATGATTTCCTTGGTACCCTTTTCCAATTCTATATCTACGCGCCAAGCTAAAAGATATTGCATCTTCCTTTTGATTTCGGTAGTGTTCCTCATTTTGACTTGGGAATGCATGTACCTCTATAAAAATAGTCCTGACATTCAACGTTCCGTGAATTCCTTAGCGGGTCGTACACCCTCCAAGTCTTTCGCGTTTGTAACAATGCTACTGGCTTCATCTGTAAAAGGGGATGAGACAAACCAACCAGTACAAGATTGGTACTACAATGCAACAAGGCTGCTAGTATATAGATTATCTCATTATCCCGAAACAAAAAGCAGATTCCCTATCATTGTAATGGCTACAAAAGGAGTCGAAAACTGGAAACTGGATCAGCTTAAAGATGATGGAGCTATCGTCGAAGTCGTTGATCCTTTGTACGCTGACGATGTTGTTGATAACATTAATGACATGGCTGTCCTGGATACCAGATGGAGCATGATGTTCACTAAATTGCGCATCTTCGAGATGTACGAATACGATCGTCTATGCTTCCTAGATAGCGACATTCTTCCAATAAGAAATATTGATGAAGTATTTAATGTTCATCAACAGTCTTCTATCTATCTCAGCTCCTTGGAAATTTATAATAAGCTGCGCATGTATTTGAAGGGGAAGAATTGGGGTGAAGACTTTTCTGCTTATGAGGCCCAAAGAAAAGACTTTTATCCTTATGTTTTCGCTGCTGTTTCCGATCCTGGCTTGTGGCATGATACTCCTCCCAATTTTCGGGATTATTTTAATGCAGGTTTATTTGTTTTCCATCCATCTACGGCACATTATAAGCGTTTAATGACCCTAGCTAGGTTTCCTAAACTTTATGATAATGCAAATATGATGGAGCAAAGTTTGTTGAATTTTGCATACAGCTCCGCTGGCCAATTTCCATGGGAACGGCTAGATTGGACCTATAATGGAGTATGGACTCGTAAACCAGACCTTGCATATTTGAAGACCGTTCACGGAAAGCTTTGGCAAGAGGAGGGAAGTATGGGATATGACCCAGACACATCTGCTCTTTGGTGGGACGCTTTTCATGACATGGAAGACTTTTATGCGGCTCATAGTAATACTATAGGCCGAAGCACTCATTAGGATGGGAATACCTCAAGCTAGTCCTAGTTAAGTCATTTTTGCAAGACAAGCTTTATTTGTCTCAACTTGAATTTTTTCCCAAGCAAGTTGTGGCCTTTTAGATTATAGGCATGTTGTCGATTCAATAAGATTATAAAGGGAGAGGTATCATGGCGGATTCTAGTTCTAGTTTAAATGAATTGTTGCGAAAGTGATTACAAAATGGTATATATCATTTTTTTCGAGTTTGATAAATGATGCGAACAATTTTTTTCACATTTACATAAAATCAAGACAGTACCTTTTCTAGAACTACTTGAATATGTGTTCTTTTCTCCTTGCGTAGAGTTTTCAAAAGACGTCCAGGTAAACGATCTAAAAACGATGTAGAAAAATTTTCATTAAGAAGCTATCATTTATGCATTCTTTATATAATAAAGACTAATTTACAATCCTTAAGATTAAACATAGATGATATATGGTCATTCCAACGCACGTCTTTGTCAGGGACTAAAACACCACCCATTCCCTAAAAGAGTATCTGACTGTATTGCAGCATCAATGTTACACTGAATGGATTTGTTCAGGTAAACAATATACAATCTATACTAATTTCGTTACAATTACAACTGCTTTTACGAGAATAACGTGCAAGATAAACTAAAGCCTTTACATATGGATCTGTGGAACCGAGCAAAGTTTATATCAAAGACATTATGTCGATCAAAAGTGTTTTTTATTGCACTTTTAGTTGTGATAAATTTGGGATTACTTTTTGTACTACATATATATCGAAATACTGTGTTCCCAAGCTCTATGGTACCTTCGGCAGCTTTTGAGCAGGGATCTAATAAGCATGGTCCTTTTTACAACGGAGATAGTGATGATCCAAGCCGCTACACTTATATGGGACTTTTGACACTTCCGACATCTGATGACGATGTTTATTTTAATGCAACTAGATTGCTGGTCTATCGGCTAAAGCACCACCCTGAAACGAAAAGCCAATATCCTGTACACATCCTTGTTATGAAGGGGGTGGATGAATGGAAAATTGATCGCTTGGGTAAAGATGGAGCGAATATCATCATGGTGGATCGAGTGCGAACAGAGGACTTAGTAGGGGAAGGAGAGTCAATTGTTCCCGGAAGCAATCGCTATGAATATATGTTTACAAAACTGAGCGTTTTCGAGCAAACTCAGTTCGACAAGGTTTGCATTTTAGACAGTGATTTACTTATTCGCAAAAACATTGACGATGTATTCAAGACACCATACACATACACATCTCCTGCAGCCCCCGATATGGATCGGTTTCCTATGTTTCAGAAGCCCGGTTCGGATGATGATTTCCAGTTTGTGGACGAGTTTGAAGTATACGGTGCCTCGAAACAAGAGTTTTATCCTTACTTACTTGCTGCAGCTGACGATCGTAACCCTGGTCATCCTACTCCTCCAGAGCCTTCCGAAACCTTCAATGCAGGTTTAATGCTCGTTCATCCCAGCAAGCTTCATCTTCATCGTATAAAGATGATAGCTCGTTTTCCTTACATGTATGAAAATGCTAGGATGATGGAACAGAGCCTTTTGAATCTAGCGTATAATACTTATGGATGGTTTCCTTGGACAAGGATTGATTTCTCTTATAATGGCGTTTGGATTACAGACGAAGATCTACCTTATATTCGTGCAGCTCATGGAAAGTTTTGGGAGTATGACAATCAGGACTTTCCGTCTGTATTAGCTGCAGAATGGAGTCAAGCGTTTGGTGAAATGACTGCGTTTTACAATTATGAGGGTGGTAATTAATTCTAACTGAAAGTAATCAAGACGAAAGACCGCACATTCTGTAATTTTTTTTTAATTTCTTGAGTATCATGATTAATTCTTTTCATTCTCTGATGCGTTTTATATTTTTTCTCATATTCGTTTACTGACTATGTCATTACATTTTTCATCTTCATTAATTTTACGTTTTGTACTAACGTATTTTGCTTCATCTCTAATGGAATACATTTAATTTTTCTTAATTATGGGACTGGAAGGTTGACCAAATCTTATGATTGTAGACCGAATTCCAAAAATATATAAAAGGAAATATTGTAAATTCTATTTGCATTGTACGGGTTGTCATCACTATATAATCAACAATTTCTCTAAAAAAAGTAGTCATGGAAAGGTATTGAGTTAAGTAGTCCATTTAAAAAAAGATGCATAAGTATAACCACAATCTTACTAAATCTTTAGGTGCGCAGAAATTTAGTGGTTAAAGCTAGGAATAGGGTTCTCGGTGTTAATTGCAAAAAATTTACGCTCCATTCCTTCTTTGTTCAAGATTACCATTCGAATGGTGCCACCGCTGCTACCATCGCGTTCCATAGCAAGGGCGACAGCGTATCTAAGGAATTCAACAGCCTGTTCCTTTGTCATATTTTCTTTAAAATTTGCATCACAAAACCCGTAAATGAACTAAAAAAAAAAAAGTTAATAAATGTATAATCCCAGCAGTTTAAAGCAAACGACATACCGCTGAACCACTACCTCCAATCGCTAAAGGTTGCTTATGAAGACTTCCTCCCAAAGGAATACTGTAAACTTCACCACCAGTTTTCTCATCATAGCCACCAATAATGAGACCAGCGCTTAACATGTTTTTATTCGCATAGCATAATTCTGAAGCCAAAGTCGCGGCTGTGTGAACTGTAGGAGCAATACCATATTGAACTCTAAACAATATTAGTATAAAGTTATTGTTTTCGAAAAATAAGAGTTTGCGGTTGGATTTACAGTTCAAAGTTGATTGCAAACACCCGTCCATTTATTTGATGTTACTTACTCGTACATGGAAAGATAGTACTTCAAAATGTCGGCTACTGCTTGAGTATCTGCGGCAGAACCACTTCTACAGCACCAAATGTTGTCAGTTAGTTGAGTCAACTTGTCCGTCACGCGGTTGGCGATATAAGCACCTAAACCAAAGGTTAGCTTTCTTCAAACGATAAATTATTTTAAACGCATAATACACACCCATTGTCGTCCTGGAATCGGCGGCTAGTATCACTCCTTCATTGTATTTAAGGGCTGTAATGGTTGTACCCATACGGATTTCACTGTATGTTAGCACATAGACAATACGAATTCCTTACCCCTTTTTAATGGAGTTAATATCAACGTTCAAGGGATCTTTTACACTAGTAGCCATCTTTGATATATTTCGGTAGAGGTGAAGTGCAAGTACAAGAAGCACAGTATGCAACTTTTGTGGGTAACGGTGTTACTTGGTGCTTACTGGTAGACCTCTTTGTAAATAGATCTTCCAGCAAGGTGACTCTTTTATTTTTAGAAATAAAAAGAATTATGATTCTTTGTTAAATTCAATCTATAAAAAAACGAAGCAATAGAGAGGACAGAGTAAAACGATGATGGCATTGCAAGCAAGTGACAAACAAGGCGGTTTCTTCATCTCTTTGGCTTAATTAACATACTTTTAGTCTCAATTAACTTTAATAAAAACAATCCAAGTGCTTTTTTCCTTGTATAAACGAGAATCGTCTATAGTATCTATAAGTATTATATAAAACGCATAATACGATATGACAATATGGGTGCTTGTAAGCAGAGATTAAATTGGAAGTGCTGAATGTTGTTTTATTATAAAACAATGCTTATTGTTTCATGCTATTATAAAAAAAATAGTAACTTTCCTTGTCTTTCACAAGGGATAGAGAAAAGAAGGACTTTTGTTGCATCATTTTCCACAAAGGCTATTCTGAAACGTGTAAATAAGAGAAGCGAAAAAAAAAAAGAAAGAGCCGATCACTTTTTTGATGTTTTAGAAGATAAATACGTCTATCAGTTCTATTTGCAATAATTAGGGAACCTCTTAGAAGGCGTATAAAATGGAATCTTTTTCTTCTGACATATAAAAAAGGGTGTTTTTATTATTCCGTGTTCAATACTCAATTTCTCATCAAAAAAACTAGTTAGCTGTGCAAGTTTACTTCACAGATATATTGTCCATTTTATTTTAATTTTTTTTTTATTGTTTATGTCGTTTATTTATGTTTTCATTTTATTACTGTATCATTTTACCTGTGATGTAAAGATGACGACCAACTGCAGTAGCATTGTTCTCTACCCACTCTGTTTACGCTTGCCAAGAGCGAACTACCTGAACAGTACTTTTTGACTAATAAATCCCCCAAAAAAAAAGATTAAACACGCTTTTCTAACTTTCTTTTTGGCTCATTCAATCTCATTCTTTTCACAGTTATACTTCTACACTTTCTTTTGCCTTATTTATAGTATAATTTATCGTTGTATGCCGTAAAAGCCATAGAGTAAAATGGACTTGGACCAGAATCGTGTCTCAGTGAGTGCGTTACCAGACTATGCTGATCCTGACTATTTTGACTATGGTGCGATTAGCAAGCAAACCAGTGTTCATCGCACTTCACCTAAGCATTCTACCGATCACATTGGTAGCGTAAAATCAACAACCGACTATATTTTTGGAGATATTATTGGAGACGGGTCGTTTTCAAAGGTAAGAAATCGAGTGCGAAATTGAGCTTCGTATATTTGTTGCTTACACCTTCAGGTGAAACGGGCTACTGACAAACGTAGCTGGAAGGAATATGCCGTTAAGGTTCTGGATAAACGCTATATAGTTAAAGAAAATAAGGTGAAATATGTAAATATTGAGCGTGATTCTATGATGAGGCTCAACGGGTTTCCTGGAATCGCCCGTTTATTCCACACATTTCAGGATGATTTAAAGCTTTATTATGTCCTCGAATATGCCCCCAATGGCGAACTACTACAATATATAAAAAAGGTAAGAAATGTTTCACAAGCCGTCCAGGGACTCTTTCCTTGTCGACTTTATTCACCTTTGGAATACATTCTGATAACCTTTCTCATTAGTATCGCTTTTTAAACGAAGCTTCTGTCCAGTTTTATGCAGCGGAAATCCTATCAAGTATAGAGTTCATGCATTCCTGTGGTATAATTCACCGGGACCTGAAGCCTGAAAAGTAAGTGTGGATACCGTAAAACATAGACTAACAATTTTGTAGTATTTTGTTTGATCACAATATGCATATAAAAATAACCGATTTTGGCACAGCCAAAATTCTTCCTCCAAAGTATGCTGAATGTCCTGAATCTACCACGTTTCCAAGCTCGTTCGTCGGTACTGCTGAATACGTTGCACCAGAGCTTCTCTCAAAACAAGCGGTCTCTAAAAGGTAAGTATAGCCTGTTGATTAATTTGGTTTAGCTAACTCTTAAAGTTCTGATATTTGGGCATTTGCTTGCGTCGTTTATCAGATGATCGTTGGGTCCCCTCCTTTTCATGGTAGAGATCCAGGTATAATTTTCAGGAAAATCATGAATCTCGAATATGATTTGCCCAAACTATTACCTGCTGAAATAGTCCCTCTATTCAACTGTATCTTTCGTTTACAAACATCTGACAGACCATCTATCCAAGAATTGAAACACTTCTCCTTTTTCAAAGGGATTTCATGGAAAGATTTGTTTTTTCAATCCCCTCCTCCACTACAACATTTACGACCTAATTATCGTCATGTTCCTGTAAACTCTCTCCCACCTTCTTATCGATCAAACATGACAGCAGCGGCTGCTGCCAGTGCAGCAGCTGCCCGTGCTTCTGCTTCCATAGTAAGGCATCATAAGGGAGCCGTTCCCAGTCAAAAAATGGGCAACTCATTCAACAAAAAATCTGTTTCCCCTCCTGCCCATTATGGACAGGCAACTCTACGTAACACTCAACAGCCAATAGACCGGTTGTATAAAACTTTGTTCTCTTCAGACGAATCTATCGTCGAATCCTCATCTGTTTTTTTGAGTTTGACTGCTCCTATGTCAGAGGGAAGCAAATTTCCCTCTGGAATAACAAAGATGTTTTTGAAAAAGAGGTCTCGAGTATTGCTGTTAACTAATACGGGACGCTGTGCTTTCGTAACAAAGGGAAAAAATGATAAAATTGTTATTGACGGTGAAATCAACTTGAATGATCCTTCAGTTGAAGTACGATTCGATGATAATAATCCTAAAAGGTTCTTGCTTAATTTAGATAAACAAGCTTGGATCGTCGAAGACACTTCTGGAAATGCATACCGTTTGAGAGAGGTAATTGACAAACTAAAAAATGGCAGTCGCTCTTCTTTCGATCGGTCTTCTTACGAAGACTAGAGTTTTGGTTATTTGATGATATTTATTTTATTTATTTTGCGGTTATTGATTTTACTCATTTTAGTTAATTATATGTGTAATATTTTTTGCATTTCTTTGTAATGGAGTATATACTATCCTACATGAGTTGCAAGTATCAATTCAAGCAGATTTTATAATTCAAGAGTTCCCTAAACCTAAAGCAATTATAAAAACACCTAACATGTTGACTCTTGTTACCGGTGGTATCAAGGAAATTAAAAGTACGGATAAAGATCCAAATTAAGAGAATACAACATTATAAAGAGAAGCGACAGTACAATAACCCCACTGTAAAAGCGAAAAAAGCATAATACAAAGAAATGCAAACCAAGAAGATAAATAGCGACACTGTAACCCATAATTAAAACTAATTTTTCGAAGCGGCTTCAGAAGGCATTTTCTGCCAAAAATGTTCGATGCGGGCTAAATAAGCATCGTCGTTCCGGATAGGAATAACTCCTGATAAAGCCTGCATGACAACCTCAAAATCAGCATCCATTAATGTATCCCACATTCCTCGTACTAGGGCGAGTGATGACGCTTGTAAAAGCCTAATTGTTTGTCCTTCATTACCACCTAAAAGGAAAAGCAAATCCCATATACGAAGTTGCGTATGAAAAGGAACACATTGATGGAAAATTGTCAAATACCAGCGAGTAGCAAATGCAGATGGTTCAGCTCCAATATTAGATAGATGTCTACCAGACGGTAGATACTGTAACTCTTCCTTCAAATCATCAAACGCCTTTAATAAGACTTCAAACCCAGACGAAAAGAGAGAACTCATACCCCTACGTTCGAGCAGATTAACCATCATTATAAATGCTAACTCCTCGGTGTAGTAAATTAACAAGGTCGCTGCAATAGAAGCCATTCCTTGTACATAACCAACATGAGGGAGGTACAAAGCGATTGAATGTAAAACTCTAAACAGTAGCCGTTGACCACCATTATAACGTTTACGAAACAGAAAATGAGTAGCAGCAGTTCGAGGAACATCTAAATCAATCTGTACATCATACTCACATATCTGATCGCACAAATCCTATATATATACATTAGCTTTCAGTCACTTATTGATCCAATAAATTGAACATACATAGTAATGATTAATTAGATTCGAGTCCGGGACATCATCCATTAAAAATGACCACCAGGCTATAGAGCGCCAGCAATCGGGTATTCCTTTGAATGTTCTTTGAATTAATTTTCTTGTGATCCGAAACGAATGAAGCTGATTCCCTGACTCGAAATGTATAGTGCACATCTGTTTCCATTTTTCAATCCGGGAAAGCTCGCGTTCTGATAGCAACTTCCTATCTTTTTCTAATTCTTCTGTCAAAGGGGAAAAGATACTTTCCTTAATATATTTCGACAAGTCATCGCGGCCAATTAGCTTTTTACCCAAACGAAAAGTACTGCTCTCTTTATCTAGTGAAAGATCCTTAGTGACTTTATAGAATCCTACGTTTACCAATCCCATATCATTACGGTAGTTTCCATAACGATCAATTTTCTCAGGAGAAAAGCTTTTCCGTTCTGGAACTGAAGTGCTTTTCTTGTCAATAGCTTCTGCTGCTTCCAGATACTGATAATCGCCTAGTCGGTACAATTCTTGAATTCGCTGAAGAGTACTAATTTTCAAGTTTTTTGATTGTTCCATGCTTTACCTTCTTTCTTAGGAACAACAGTAAGAATAGAAAAGGAACGTAAAAGTACCCAAAAACTGATACTGGCGCACAGATATTCTTCGAAATCAATAAAATAAAAACAAAACAAATAAAAATAAAAATTCAGAGAAGGATAAAATGCAACCAACAAGTTCTAAGTTTCTCTAAGCCAAAATGCAAGAATATGCACAACCTTTTTGTCAATGATTTTGGTAAGGTCAAAAAGCGACCTTTCACCGATTAACGATACTGGACGCACTTATCAAGAGTCTAATTATTTGAACTCATTTATTTCTCTTTTTCTTAGTTTTCTGGGTGGAACAAGCAAGACCTCAGAACTCCAAGAAGGAGTTGATTTTGTCTTACTCTTTATATCCTCTGAAATTCCCATGATGAGGATAGTGCACCTAGCTAAGAGTGCGGAGAGATTAAACAATGCAGTTACCATACAGTTCTTTATTTATTAGTAGCATGGGTCAATCATGATTTGAATACTAGTATATATATGACCGTAGTAACATGCTATTAATGATTATTAAAACATAAGTAAGTATGCTTAAAGTATAGTGTATGCTTATAAAAAATTATGCTATGGTTTTTACTATGTATGAGCATATTACAATGTTCTGCCCTCCTGTTGGCACTAGTGTCTCTGCTAACGTTCCAGTTTCTTCGTAATTTCTAAGGTTACAAAAGTATTTACTGTTGAAGACTTCTCAAACGTTCAACAAATATTCATCCCACCCGTTATACTGTTTTAATTAAATAGCATATGAAGAATATAAACATAATCTCGTTAGCATTATATACAACTCGATATAAACTTATAAAAGCCAGACGCTGACGAAATAATCTTATCGGAGAGGTTATTCTTTACTGTTTCAACATTGCCAAAGTAACTTGACTAGAGACATACTCCAAAGAATAGACAATGCCCGTAAGCCTGCATTTTCCTTGTCATGTTTTTAACAAATGTTATAGGCTTATCATTCTTCTTTTTTGAGCATTCCTAATGTTCCAACTACCGGCAACTTGGCGATGTTGCCGTTAAAAACAAAATTCCGTGGCCCTGCTTATCCAGGTAAGCTTTCTAAAAATACCTTTTTTGTTCGCTTTGTTAGGAATTGTCTGTTAAGATGCTAACTATTTGTATAGCCGACGCGAATCAAATGGATATCATTGATGAGTGTATTACTCTTTTTCGTGCAAACTGCTTCTTTCGTAATTTTGAAATCAAAGGTCCTGCTGATCGTACTCTCATTTATGGAACTCTCTTTATTAGTGAATGCCTTGGGAAATTGACCGGAATGAGCTATCGTGATGCTGAACGTCATTTGAACAGTCTTGCTCTAGAGAACTTTTCCATTCCTGGCTCTCCTGGGTTTCCTTTGAATGCTCTATATTCTCCTCCTGTCTCTCCTCAGGATTCTGGTATGTTGTCTCGCTACTAATCTTCATGAAATGCTGTATCATTTGATGACTAACCTCCTTTATAGAATTGATGCGTAGCTACCTGACTCAATTCCGCCAAGAATTGGCTTTCCGTCTCTTGTCTCACGTTTATGCAACAGAAAAGACGCAACCTAGCAAATGGTGGACTTGCTTTAGCAAGAGACGTTTTATGAACAAGGCCCTTTAATTATGATGTTTATGTAACATGTATGCTGTTTTTTGATTTTTAACAAATAAATTGTTATGACCAACCCTTGTCTATAGGAAGCTGAAGCTATAAGGTATCGTCCACATTTTCATAAAGAACGAATGGGAATTATAGTATAATACCATAAAGATAGCAACAGTAGTTGTTTTAAAGAAAATGAAGCCCTAATACATTACTATAGATAACTCGTCATGGAAACAATTGTTTATGCTACAAATTGTTGCAGGTTTGCCTTTTGGATGCGACTCACCCAAAAATGTGGGTGATATATCCATTCCAGCATGCTTCGCTTGTCTCCCATATAACTAGTAGTGGTAGATTCATGTTTTAATACGTTGAAGCCCATCGAATCCATGGCGTAAAAGAGTTGATCTAGTGTTAGTTCAATGGTTGGGTTTTCATGCTGAGAGGCACAGTCGTTTTCAAAGTGATAAAGCAAAGGACCCATATTAATCCAGTAACCCCCATCTACTAGACAGTTTTTAATGACATCCAAGTAACTCAACACATTTTTGGCAGTATCGATGAAGAAGCATGTGACGACAACATGGAATCTATTTTCACTCGTCTTGTCTCCGTATACTTCTAAAAAATCACCAGCAGCCATTGAAAAGAAGGCTCCATGATTAAGGTACTCAGCGGGCACCACATCCGGAATGGCTACCTTTTCTGCCTGATGATCTCTAGTAACATGGTTGGAAAAGGAATGTATATAAGGATGAATAGCAAACTCACTAGTTGAAGACACGCAATTAAGCATGTAGTACGAAGTTAGTAGCATGAAATAAGAAAATTCATTTCCCTGACAAGAGAATCCTACGTATTTATGTTAGTGATTCACTTTGAAACTAGAAAAGCAATTCTTACCTTTAGCGGCAATATCAAAGGCTAAGCGTCCTAAGCCTGATCCAGGAACTAGAATATGAATTTGAGAACGATCGTTCGAGTCCAACGGAAATAAAGAATCCAACTCTTGGAGAATTGGCACATACGTTGCCTGTCTTTCATCCACGGATTCTTCACTCCAGTCACGGGTAAGTTGTTTCAAAGTGCTCGAAACCTTCTGCATCATTTCATTAGATACATGGGGAAGATTATTTACGTCAAAGCTAGGATAAAATACAGGTATTCCTGCTTTGGCAATTGCTTCTGCAACAACGCTATTTTGCTTCACACAATCATCAAGTCTGGATAAATGCTTCAAAAAGTTATTATCGGTATCTTGTAACAATAAATCTTTATGATCAAAGGAAAGTTGAGACATAAACTTTCGTTTTTGTTGAATTAGGGTATGTCCATATTGTCGATATAAAAAGAATGCACTTAACACTTGCTTTAAGATTTTTTCTTCTTCTTCGTCGTATTCCATAAATTATTTTTGTTGTACCGTAAAGGATGGATACAAAAGAAAGCTAAGGTATATATGCAGTTTAAATGAATTACCAAAGTACCCCAGTAAGCGGCTCTGCTCTGCGTGGTCCATAGATAAATGAACAGCACAAAAATGACTGACACGTTTCGTGGAAGATAAATAATCCTTGCTTTCCTTTATAGGAAATACGTTTTAAAAAGTTTGAAATTGATATCACTTCATCTTTGACTTGTGTACCAATTCCGAACAAGTATATTCGATATTAACTGATTTACAGGTCAAACGTCCTAGTCGTTATAATTTTATTCTGTAGGAAAATAAATTGCTTCATATGTGTTCTTCTTTCATTGTGTTCAGTAACAACATGTGTAAACTAGGAGCAGAACTTCACGAACGTTTGGCTCGAAGACAATGAATCATAAGCGAATATGAGTGTACGTTCTACAGTTGTTTCAGTGTTTTCTATTCTTATATTAAAAATTCTGCGAGAAGGTGCAATCCTATGTTCATGTAACTTCATGTAAACAAAGGTTGATTTTAGTATGTAGCGAAGATCAAGATAAATAAGTAAAGCATCGGTATAATGAGAAATTGGTCAAGGTTTTAGGATAAAGAGAAATGTAAACGTATGAAATGAAAAAGGTATAAGCAATCCTTCTGAATCGGTTGTATTCTCTAGCACAGCTTCGCAAGTAAAAAGCAACGATGGAGCAGGAATCTAAAGGAAACGTTAAAACCACACTCTAAGACTTTCTATAAAGTTATTTTGAATGTTTCTACTAGTAAACACCATGATGTATTTGTTTATATTACAATGGAGAGGCAATATTTATATAATAGAGAACAATAATAAATATGCTTATCTGATGCTCTGCACTAGATGGAGAAGATAAGTAAATTCAGAAGTCGTATTGTTTCGTTGTACATCCTTCCATTTCACTATACTCTTTACAGGACATCATCATGAACTTTGTGAGCGACTACGATCCCACTACTAACCACTGCCAAATAAGCTAAGTGTGGTTTTTTCTTTACATTTTTTTGGAAGAAGATTTCCCTAATAGACATGCTAGCTCTTAAGCTTCAAAAGAAGTTTACGGGGCTTTCCAATGAGGAGATTCTTTCCCTCACGGATCAGTTTAACAAGTTAGATGTCGATGGAAAAGGCTACTTGGATCAAACAACCACCATCAAAGCTTTCGAAGATTTAAAAAAGGGCTCTTACGATGAAGTGCGTGAAGCAATTCGGGAAGTTGACATAGATTCGTCCGGTCGTGTTGAAGCTGAAGACTTTGTTGGGGTAAGGCGATTGTTTGCAATCGGAATGAAGTAATGTAAATACTAATCAATCTTTTTAGATTTACGATGCTTTAAAGAAAGGTGTCGAAGGCACGGAAGTAAGAAAGGGCCGTATTACTATTAAAGGATCTTCTTCTAGTGTCTCTCATACTATCAACGAAGAAGAACGTCGAGAATTCATAAAGCATGTTAATTCCGTTCTTGTTGGCGACCCCGATCTTGGTGAACGTATCCCTATTAACACAGAAACCTTTGAGTTTTTTGATCAATGCAAAGATGGTTTGATATTGTCAAAGCTTATTAATGACAGTGTTCCAGACACCATCGATGAGCGTGTTTTGAACAAGTCAAAGAACAAAAAACCACTTGACAATTTCAAAAGCATCGAAAACAACAATGTTGTTATTAACTCTGCAAAGGCTATGGGTGGTATCTCAATCACCAATATTGGTGCTGGTGATTTATTGGAAGGTAGAGAACATCTCATTTTAGGTCTCGTCTGGCAAATTATCCGTCGTGGTCTGTTGGGTAAAATTGATATTACCCTTCATCCAGAATTGTATCGTCTTTTGGAAGAAGATGAGACTTTAGACCAGTTCCTTCGTCTCCCCCCTGAGAAGATTTTGCTTCGTTGGTTCAACTTCCATTTGAACGCCGCGAATTGGCACCGCAGAGTTTCTAATTTTTCTAAGGATGTTTCCGATGGTGAAAATTATACTATCCTATTGAACCAATTAGCTCCTGATCTTTGCTCACGTGCTCCGTTGCAAACCCAAAATGTTTTACAACGTGCCGAGCAGGTTTTAGAAAATTCAGAGAAGCTCAATTGTCGCAAGTATCTTAGCGCTACTGCTATGGTTGCTGGCAATCCCAAATTGAACTTGGCCTTCGTTGCTCATTTGTTCAACACTCATCCTGGATTAGAACCCCTGAATGAAGAAGAAAAGCCAGAAATTGAACCATTTGATGCCGAAGGCGAGCGTGAAGCCCGTGTGTTTACTTTATGGCTGAACTCTCTTGATGTTGTTCCTAGCATTCATGATTTCTTCAATAACTTAAGAGATGGTTGCATCTTATTGCAAGCTTACGATAAAATCACTCCAAGCACTGTCAATTGGAAGAGGGTAAACAAACCTCCTGCTTCTGGTGATGAAATGTTACGATTTAAGGCTGTGGAAAACTGTAACTACGCTGTTGATCTAGGAAAACAACAAGGATTCTCATTGGTCGGTATTCAAGGTGCTGATATCAATGATGGCTCTCGTACGTTAACTTTGGCTCTGGTCTGGCAAATGATGCGTATGAACATTACCAAGACTTTACATAGTCTTAGCCGTGGTGGTAAGACTCTTTCAGACAACGATATGGTTGCTTGGGCAAATTCTATGGCCGCTAAAGGAGGAAGAGGCTCACATATTCGTTCTTTCCGTGATCCCTCATTATCTAATGGAATCTTCGTTCTTGACGTACTTCATGGTATTAAAAGTGAATATGTTGATTACAGCCTCGTTACTGATGGCTCTACTGAGGAATTGGCCATTCAAAACGCCCGTTTAGCCATTTCTATAGCTCGCAAGTTGGGAGCCGTCATTTTCATCTTGCCCGAAGATATAGTTAGTGTTCGACCACGCCTCATACTACACTTTATTGGAAGCTTAATGGCTGTCTAAAGTTTTGTGGAATGAACTGTAGTTTTTTTTAATGATTGTCGTTTGAAGATCTAATTCATTAGCTATTTAAACGTCCTTTCTTTAGTAATGAACCTTTTTAACAGCTACCCCTGGTAGTAAAGTTATGTTGATTATTTTTTGTTAAGATGCTTTTTGGGCTTTACTGTGTCCTGCTTCATCTACTTTTTCAACGGAAGGATTTATTTTCTTAGATTGCCATAAAGCGTTTAAGAAGTGTCTAGCTTCTTTGGAAAAACATTTTTTAGCAGTCTTTTTCGCAATTATATGTCTACAATCTATATTTCGTTGATGACAACATTTATGTGAATAGTGCTTGAAAAGTAGATACATTAAGTGTTCAAATGTTTAATAATTATGATATTACTATTTCCACTAAGATAGCTTAGATGCATCTGTTTTAAGTACAGGAATTTTCATTTTTCATTTTTCATTGTATTGCTGTTAAATTTTAGTGTGCGATCATCATCCATGACGCTCTTTCTCTGTTAATCCCCATTTTCTTATTACCTTAACGGGCATCAAACCACAAGAAGTACCTTATTAATTCAAATAGTGTTTTGTACATACTTCCAGGAATAAAAAATGATTAAGCCAAAACAGCTGGCTAATTTATTGAAGCAAGCGGTAGAGGAAAACATGCCCAATGTCATGTAAGTTAAAAACATACGTTTGGTTCAGTAGTCTTTCGGGATGCTGTTCCGTGTCTATTGTTTACAAAGATCAACTAGAAGCATTGATATTTTCTTGCAGACTTTAGATGCTAATTCTCTAAGGGTATTTACTAGTACTGGCTCTTTGCTATCATACGTATCTTACGAGGAACCAGAGGATGCCCTCAAGCGATTAGATTTGGTGAAGAGAATTCGATCAACTGCTGCTTTAGCAGGAAATATATACTCATTGTATTCCGGAACGAATCCTAGCCCATTAGTAGCCGAGTCCACAGATGATATTATCGCTCATCAACGGGATGTCCTATTTGAAACTATAATTGAATTTGAAAAGGGAAAGCTACTTATAGCTGCCATTCCAACGGAAGGCTATCAAGACATTTTAATATCTAAAGAGCCTTTACTGCTAGGAATCGTAGGAACGGAACATGCCAAGGAGGGCATGATGCAACTAAAGTCAGAAAGGCTTAAAGATTCTATAACTAATGAGCTTTCCACGATTGGAAAACTTGGATAATGCGGATTGTGCTTATAGAAAAGACTATTGCAACAAATGAAGTGAACATTCCTGACTAAGTAATAGACGAATGGTTTACCCAGAAAATTTATTCATAAAAATACTAATGCTAGAATGGTATACTATGAAGATAAGAATTGTTGTATACGGGAACCACTTAGGTTTCTTCATTCATGGTTTAAAATATCTACTTTTCGGTTTTTTGCGCTTGCTAAACGTTATCTTTTAATGACGGGTAAAAATTAGCGGACTTGCTTTAAACGTAAAGGTCTTTGAACTTGACTGAAAAATTCGTCCAGGCTTGCAAAATTTTCGTTGTTTTCCGCAAAGGCCTTATGCCTCCTTCCTTGAAGGTGCTAAAAGATCAGTTAAAAGATTATTTCTAAAATTTTCTACTTACCTTCTCCAAATCTCTGTACCTCTCACTACAATTTTCACAGTAACCAGCTTTTGCGTCCACCTTAACCTTCTTGTGCGCTAGAGGATCTACCTCATAAGCACCAGTTGGAGCTCGCGTTGCTCGATTAGCCGTTAAATTTTGCTTATTCATAAGTCGAGGTTCCAGGATATTCAGTGGAGTCATAGCGGACCTCTTTTCCATCGTTAATGGGTTTGATGATTTCAGCTGTTCGGTTGAAGTTTGTTTCTGAAAGGGTGCGCCGGATTCTGTTGCGGTAAAGTCACCCATCACTTGCTTTACAATGACACTGGTGGGATCTGGCTCAGCATTATTCGCTATCTTTTGCTTGTAAGACTGATTCAACATTTGATCTCTAATTTCATGCGCTGGGTGATTATACTTGGTTATTTTAAGTTCACGTCTGCGACCAGTATTAAAAGGGCATCTGCCTTGAACTGTCATTCCTAAAGTTGGCCAAAGAATCTCTGTATTATGAGCAGGTCTTTCCCACTCGCGAAGTACGATAGGCTTGTAAAATTGAGTAAGGTCTCTTATGCATAGAAAGTTCTCTTGAAAATACTCAACGTTTTTACTTGGAACGTAAAAGTTTTTTTCTGATGCTCCATATACTTTCTCACCATCCAAAAGTGCTTGCAAGCTAGAGGCAGAGGTATTAGCGAGACTATCTGGGTCCAGAAAAGTGAAAAGTATTCTGTTCAAAAGTTCTGAAGGGTTAGTATTTTCTTGTGAAAGAATTCATAACCTACTATCAATGGACCATATTTTCATGTTTGCTTTTTTAGCGAGATGCAGAGGGTCTGTTGGAGGACATCTTTCAGGTTCTAGAGTTCTTGTTGTTATAAAGTGAGTGATTTCGAAAGAAAAGGTCGTTGTAGCTTTCTAACCATGATTGTCGTGTATTAGCTTTTATTCTCTTGAATGCTTTTACTTCACTTACCGCTCCAAGGCTGCTTATTTTTTGAATGATTCTTCTCTTAATTTCCTCATCGATGCTGTCCAAGTAAAATAAAAAATTAGGGAAAGCTGTTCGATAATCTCGTTGCCAATAACGAAGTTTGCATACTCGAATACTGGTGCGAGGCGCATCCTTTTGTCGATTTACGGCGGGTTTTGGACAATAATTAGAAAAAGCAGTGGCAGGAAGCGCTAGTTTTGCAGCGGCTGTTGCAGAATTTAGGTTCTGTGTTCCTGCCATATCCGCTTTAGAAACAGGCCAGTCGATACACGATTCGGGATTTGCTGCAGTTTGACAAAACTCCCCTTCCGATGATGAATGATTGTAATCAAATGGTACAAGCAAAAGTTTTGTTGGCTCTTCTCCAATATTATGAATGCCTGAGTTGCGATCTACTAAAGGCGATCTCATAAGGGTTATTAGCAGCTTGATAGACTGATCGTCAGTTCTAACGCTTCAATTACTTAAATATATGAACAGAAAGGAGAGCTAAAAAACTAATGGCTTTCTCCCAAATGATTCCAATCTCAGCGACTTTCGACTGTTAATTACTCTAAAGAAAGCAAGACGATTCTACTGAGCAATGTGCAGTGTCCAGTAAATTGTTTTAAAAAAGACAACTCTTTATTTATATACTTTCATTTTTGTTTGTTTGTTTTGCTTCCAACCAATTTGTTTTGATTTCTACTGTTGTCAACAATTGTCAACAAACTGGATTCACGCTTACGCGTTACACAGAACCGCGACGCGTCGCGCGCCGCCGCTTCGAACGAGCAAACTTTCTGTTAGCATTAGGATTTCACCCTCTATTCAAAGGCTGTATTTTATTTAATTCACTACAACTTTCATCTTTACATACTTCTTTTGTTCATAATGGTGGACTTGTCACTTTTCATATCATAAATACTTGAAGTAACTTACGTAACCCGACATGTAATGAAGTGGACTTGTGTTCTTCCACCTACTAAGTGATCATACAGTAATAACTGCTGATTCAAGAACTCTCACTTAAAACTTATTTCTCTTTAGTATATTTACCTGAACAGCATCGTTGTATCAGCGTTTCATGATTCTGAGTTTACCGTAAAATAGAAATAGGTACTAATAAAACGAAAAAAAAGGATCTAGTGTCAGTATATTGCTAATACAAGCAATCGTGACAGAATGAACCGTCTTACACTGACTCGACAACTAGAGTAAGTATTAGAATATTGCAACGTTTAGCTCTAAAACTTTCCATGATCGAGTGATATTCCTAAGATTCAGGTTTCTTACTGTCCCAATATGGAAGAAGAGTGTCATTGAATGGTGTTGGCTTTTCTTTTTTCCACGGTTGTTCTTCATTACTAACTGGAATTTGTTTACAGATTACCGTCTGCGCCCACTCAATTCTTTTCGGGGAATCCTTTGAATCGTCTGTCCTTTCTTCGTTCGAATAGAGAATTTCTACAAAAGGCCTTTTGTTCTCCTACCACCAAATTCCTTCCTTTCAGTGATCTTAATCCTGCTGTGGCTATCAAGGAAGAAAATCTCTTTACCCTGTCTTACCCCCAGATTTCAAAATACTTTCATGTTTCTCCATTTGAAATTTCAGAGAAGCAGTTGGCTGAAAAGTATAGCAACCATTCCTTTTCTTTACCTACCTTAGTTTTTCTTGGTAATAATGAAAATGGCAATGGTAATCAAGGATGGGACCAGAATAACGTTTTCGCCATAGACGTAACCGAAATTGAAGAACTTCAGAGGCTTGTACAAGATAACGGGGCCATTTTTGTAAATTTGCGTAATATATTTTCTAGAGAATACAGCTTAAAAGCCTCCGAATCTGGTGTTTGCGCTTTTGGTCGGTCACTCTTAGACTGGATTTACAGATATAAGTTTTGTCCGGGATGCGGTTCAAGGAACATGCCTGTTCAGGGTGGGACAAAATTAGTATGTACTAATGCTGTCATGAATCCTTCGTCCACTTGTCCATCAAAACAAGGTAGTAACAACTATCAGTTTCCTCGTACTGATCCATGTGTAATTATGGGTGTTCTTTCACATGATATGAATTCGATCGCCCTTGGCAGAGCTGCAAAGCATCCTCCAGGGTTGTACGCTTGCTTAGCAGGATTTTTGGAGCCGGGTGAAAGCATTGAAGAAGCTGTCAGTCGTGAGGTTTACGAAGAATCAGGACTTGAAATTGAGAAAGTTATCTATTATACTAGTCAACCTTGGCCTTTCCCTCAGAGCTTGATGCTAGCTTGCTTTGCCATCGCCAAGGAGGATACTGAAATATCTTTGGACAAGGACTTAGAGCTAGAAAACGTTCGTTTTTTTTCGAGAGAGGAAGTTTTAAAATCGTTAGAATGGAGTTCTGATTCTCAAGCACCTCCTATCCGTTTTCCTCCAGAGTTCTCGATTGCCAAAAACCTAATCAAAGCTTTTGCTTATAACAAATGGTAGGTGAAGTTTTCCTTATGGCTGCAACTTATAGTTGAAAAAATAAACAAATTATTCATGTAATTTAACCCATGTCTTCGATATCCCTAACTATATAGGTCTCATTATATACATAAACGACAATAAATAATATAAATAACAGTAAGCCTCTAATTGATTACAATGTTAAGAACGTAATAAAAGCTTGGCAATCGCTGCACTGATATTGCCTTCGGCTAATTCAAGTGCATCAAGAAATTGCTGTTCACTGGATCGTGTATATCGTAAAATCATGTCTATAGCTTCATCGACCTTTTGTTTGTTTGAAGAAGAATTAACAACTACTAAATAATCATGCAATTCTCGTAAAACTTCCGAAAACGGTTTTTTGTCATGTCGAATAGGAGAATTTTTTATTGGAGATATGTTCGGTGATTCTGCAACCAGAAGACTCGTATTTCTTAAAGAAGAAAAAGAGGAATTTTCTCTCTCATTTGAAAGGTTAGCATCAATCATTATATCATGATCATCTGTTGGACTTTTCGAATGAATTTGACGTTTGTGCTCCAATTTTTTTAAATAATTGCGTCCTAGTAAGAGGTTATCCGAGGTCTCCGCATCCAAATTACCTGCTGAAGGGCTTTCAGGAGGGCTACTAGATCGGCTAACGAACGAGCGCGAGTCTGAAGTTCGAGATGAACCGACTGAAGATGATTTACCAATCGTATCTTGATTTTTATTGACTTTAGGGGTTTCGACTTTTATAGGAGAAGAGCTATAAGTAGTTGTAATTTGTTTTTCAAACTCGGCGTCATCATCCAGCTCCGAATCAGTCTTTGGAAAGCTTTCTGAATCACTGCTCATGCCTAAAGGTGGAATGGCTAGATCTTCATTTGGACGGACAAATATATTTCCTTCTTTCAAAGTGTTTGATAATCCAACCGGAAAGGCGTTATCCAAAATTGTGGATTTCGTGGAAGACTGTGGACTAAAGCTTCTATTTCTATATGATTTACCAAAGGAATTTGACAAAGAGAAAAGGGTCTTTGAGGGTGATTCGAGTATCCTGGAAGGAGATTCTTGGAATGAAACAGGTATTGAAGAAGACTTCGGAATAGTTGAGAAACCATCAGAACTTTCAGTTAATCCGTTGACAGTTTGCACCTTTGAAATCTCATTGGAAGCCAACCTTGACTTTTTCGAAGACTTGGGAGAGATTGCTTCTTGAATTGAAAATGTATCTGAAGTGAAAGAAGGATTATCAAGGAATTTTTCTTCGATCATTTGGTCATCAACATCTAAATTTTCCAAAGATAAGTCTTCAGTTTTTGATTCACGTTGGACCAATGCAGGAGCTGGAGTCTCAAAATTTAGATGTGGATAAAAGTATTTATAAAGTAATCTCCAATCAGAAAAAGTATGAAAATTGGAATACTTTTTATTTAAGATTTCACAAATATCGTCTAAGCTCTTTTCTTTACCGTAAGAGTAAAGATAATACTCCAAAAGTTTTAAGTCAGTTTTGGTATAGCTTAAAGAGGAAGAAAGCGGCTTGCTAGACAATGGTGATGCTGTAATATTTGATGGAAAGTAAGATCTTTTTTTTGTAGAATGTTCAGGATGCGGTACAGAAAAAGGATAATGATGGATATGTTGTGCTTTTGTGGGTGTTATGCTTGTTTGTGGATCGGATGTTCCTGAAGAGACCCTTCCAACACTTTGAGAAGGAACAATTGTCACAGTTCGATTTTGAGAACTTGTAATATGATCATCTTCAGTTGGAGGGAGTGCTTTTCGAATTATTTTATAATGCTCCCGCCAAGATTCTGCAGTGTGTTGAGGATACTAATTAAGAAAAGTTAGCATAGAAATGACAATTTAAAATTTCAAATCTTTCAAGAAGCTGAGGGTTTTACCTTGCGAGCTAGTTCTTTATATATATTGACTCCTGATTTGGGAACATTGGCTTTATGAACGTAGTCCACTAATATTTTTTCATCTTCAAGACTAAAATACTCTCTTCTTCGTGGCGGTTGCTCAACATATTGTGGTTCCATACTTGTGAAAACTCGAAAAGGATCGACTGGTATTATGGTTTTCTGTTCAATGCAATTGGAAAGCCAAGAAACCTTTACAATGCGCTTTAGTATAGCATATTTCAAATTTAAAACACGTCTTAACTCTCGATGAATAAGGGCTTTCTTGGTTTCTTCAGGGACAATATAAAAGTCGTGTTGCTTTAAGTCAAACTCCCTCAATTCAATAAACAGTATTTTTGCACCATAAGTCTTATTTTTGTTAACATATAAAGCCAATAACGCGTCGTACCTCCATGCTTAACTGGAATCCCGGTGTGGCTTCCAATAGTTTTGAAACAGCAATAATCATAGAAGATCCGTCATCTTTGGTAAACAGCGCAGACATTGTTCATCTTTGAAAAACTACTTTGTTTTTTTCCTCTTTGCTTACTCGACTCTCCTAATTCTTTCTCAATTTCGTCTATAGGGTGATAGAAACTAGTAGCGAGAGCTTACCTTGAAACAACGCCAACGTTTTATGAAAGCGACGTTCGAAAAACGCGTCTTCAATATGAAAATAAAAGAAAGAATGAAATTTGGAAACGTAATTTGCATATTTCCATCCCATCCATAACATGAGAGGGTACTTTATATTGGTTTCAACCCGTTCATTTCTGCTATGACAAATCATCGATTCAACCTCCATTTATGCTTTCCATTAAGAGTCGTTTTTCTAAATGTTTTAAAATAAACGCATGAAGCTTAGTGACACTTCATACAAGCAAGAGAGTTCATTAAAAGGAAAGGAAAGCCGAAGCATGAGTTACTTTTTCGAGGCAAACGTGAACGGTAATTGAATCATCTTTAAGCGAATTTTAGTACTCGTTTTAACTCTTCTTTTCACAAAAGCTCCACTCAATTTTGTATTGATCCACCGTTTGCAGAGTTGTTTACTAGTGGATTGCAGTGTACTAGTGTGCAGTGCACAATAATCCGTGAAAAAAGGAAAAATGAGGGTTGTATGGTTGATTCCTTTGCCAAACACAAGATGAGCGCTGGAGAAAGCATCAAGTTATATCCTGCCACTTCTAAACAGGCTGTTGAAGCCTCATTTGTTCCTAACGGAAAAATCAGCCCTCTCGTCCGTCGCTCCGTTGAACCTGTCGGACCTTTTTTCTTGGCTCACGCTAGACGCCAGAGACACGGTCGCACTTTTAGTGAAGATGAACGTTTGGAAGTGAAGGATGAAAAGAAGGAAGAAGTTAAGGAGGAATCTGAGGATGAGGAAGAAGACCCAGAAATGCTTCGTGCCGACCCTAAGGAATGGAAGCAACAAGATCACTACGCCGTTTTGGGTCTCTCCAAATACCGTTACAAGGCTACCTTGGAGCAAATTAAGAAGGCTCATTTGAAGAAGGTCTTGAAGCATCACCCCGATAAGAAGGCTGCCACTGGTAACATCAATGATGACTCTTTCTTCAAATGCATTCAAAAAGCCAATGAAATCCTTACGGATCCTACTAAGCGTCGTCAATACGACTCTGTCGATGAAAATGCTGAAGTTGAGGCTCCTGAGTCTACTACCGAAGAAAATTTCTTCGAACTCTGGACACCTGTTTTCGATAGCGAGGCCAGATTTTCCAAGAAGCAACCTGTTCCTGGTTTGGGAACAATTGAGTCCTCTCGCCCCGAGGTTGAAAAGTTCTACAACTTTTGGTACAATTTTGACTCTTGGAGAACCTTCGAGTACTTGGATAAGGACATTCCTGATGATGGCGAGTCTCGTGATAACAAGCGTTATCAAGAGAAGAAGAATCGCTCTGAGCGCCAAAAGAACAAGGCTCGTGACAATGCTCGTCTCCGCCAGTTGGTAGATACTGCTTTGGCTTCTGACCCCCGCATCAAACTCTTTAAACAACAAGAGAAAGCTGCTAAGGAAGCCCGTAAGTGGGAGCGTGATGCTGGTGCTCGTGAAGCTGCTGCTGCCGCTCAGAAAAAGAAGGAAGAAGAAGAGCGTCGTGCTACTGAAGAAGCTGCTTCCAAGGCTGCTGCTAGCGCTGAAAGCAAGAAGGCTAAGGAAGACAAGAAGAAGGCTCAGAAGCGTGACAAGAAGATTGTCAAAAATGCTTTGAAGGACTTCAACTACTTTAGCGAAACTGATGTCCCTTCTCCTATCCAAGTTGACACTGTCCTCAAGGATACCGACGCCTTAATGGCTAAACTTGGTGATGGTGAACTTACCACTTTGGCTGCTGATATTTCTGCTCAAAAGGACGCTGGTGGCGCTGCTGTCAAGGGTGTCTTTGACAAGTATGCCAAGTTGTTCATCGAACGCGGTTCCTTAAATGCCAGTGAAATTGTTTTCTTTGGCAAGTAAAGTAAACGAGCAGATTTTTGAATACCTTCAGTTCATTTTTAGTATAGACAGGGAGGCTTCCAAAGGCTTGGGATTGCCTTTGGTACAAAAATAAAGGGTTTATTTAGAAAATTGATGAGGGTGAAATGGTACACTTGCGTGTTTTCATCATGATTTAGCATATCGTTGTATTGTATTGCTCCCTTTGCATCTCATTAGACATAAAATTGCAAAAGACCGTTAGAGTAAATTTTCCTCCAGTTAATTCAATTTGTATGCACAAAAAAAAGCATATAATTTTCATTTTCTTTTTACAAAATACAATGATTTATCCAGTTAGCATACTGGAACACGCTCACTATTCCCTACTGGTAAACAGTCTTCATTCAGGTTTTTAGTAGAATTTCTATGGGAACTTGAACTTCACGAAAGAGTATCTTGTTTTTATGAAAAATTATATTTTACAATGAATGATGCATTCGTAGATGATGAACTGTCTTTACCAAAAGGTATGCAGCGATTAAAATGAAGAAGGAGCGACGTATATGCTAACAGACGAAGCTACGGTTCAAAAGATGGTTTCTGAAATGCTTCCAGAAGACCTAACATTTACGAAAGAAACCAGAGACTTGTTAATTGAATGCTGCGTTGAGTTTATTCACCTTGTTTCCAGCGAGGCCAACGAAATATGTGAAAAGGAAAGCAAGAAGACTATCGCTGCTGAGCATATAATTAAAGCACTTGAAAATTTAGAATTCAAGGAATACATTAGTGAGGTTTTAGAGGTTGCTGCTGAACATAAAGAACAGCAAAAGGTATTTGCAGAACATATGCCAAAATTTACGAGAGTACTGACACATCAATTTTTAGAATCGCGAGAAGAAAGGAAGCAAATTTGAACAATCCGGTGTCTCTAGAGATGAGTTGTTGCGTCAACAAGAAGAACTCTTGAGCCGGGCTAGAGAACGATTTCAAAACCAAAATTCCATGAATCAACCTGCTCCAGCTTCCATCTCCCCCGCTGAGAATGATATAAAGCAGGAGGTGAAAAAGGAAGAGGATCCTATTGCATAGACCTATTTTTACAATGTCGCATATCCTTCGCCCTCAAATCAGACCTGTGGATTGTTATCTATCCAGTTGTTGTGTAAGCGATTGAATCGGACTTGTATAAATAAATTAGTCTGTCGATAGTGCTCTAATTTTTGCTGACTCTTCCTTTTTAAGTTCCTTACTCAAACCCTTCTTCCTCTTCTCCTGTATTAGCATTTCCTTTTTTGCTTCGCCTTTTAATTCGACTTCTGTAAATTCTATTACCCGTTCTCTAGTATATTATGTTTTTAGTCCTGCTTAGAATGTAACTATCTCTAATATTATATGCTTTCCTTGGCTCAACTACACCATATCCTTGTACATAAAATCGACGGATGAATTATATTGTTTCCATAATTTGAAAAGAAAAATTAAACAAAAACAGGAATGTAACCAATAAAATTTGGGTAGTAATTTTTTGTATCTACTTTGCTATTCTGGGCAAAATAGAATGTCATGACTGAAGAAAGGACTATATATCATGGTTGATAAGGCAAATGAGAGAAGTAGTAGTCCAAAAACTCTACCGTTTCTGAAGGACTCGACACCCAAACAGTAGTTGCAGCGGACCTCTGTACTCAGTTAGTTATTAATTCCACTAAGTCATGAAAAGTTCTAAACACATACGGCTTTGTAATCATTATTACCAGCTGAAAGAAACTGGTCACCAACATGTAAACATTTGGAAGGATGCGAGATGGCGAAAAAGTATTGTAAACATCGTACTCCAAGCTTTTTATCTCCAATATCACACCATATATCATTTCCTCCATTGAAAGCAGTGAAAGGAACAGAAAAATCCCTTAATTGTAACGTTGTCTGTACTTCCAAAACTGTTTCCTCTAACTGCTCTCTTCTTAGTCTTTGACCTAGTGAGGGTACGAAGCCAACAGATCGTTCCTTACGAATAATTCGAGCATCAATATTCAAAGCGTTAATACAAGAACGAAGAGCAGTTTCAGCACTATCTAGGATTTCAGAAATTTCGTCGGCCGGCCAGGTCTTCATAATGGGAAGCATCCAGGACTCTGATTCTATCCATTGCAACCCATGCAATGGATTATACTCAAACAGGTAGTTACTTTCTCCTCCCAATACATGTAATCTTCGCTTTTGATCGTCGGTCAAGTCAGTGTCCTCAATAGCTTGCAGTAGTCCCGAGAACCGATCCATGTATTCTTTTCCACTACGACTAGGGTATCCAGCGGCAGTAAGAATTACTACATAAATGTCTTTTGATAAAAGCTGTACTAAGCGAGAAATGACTGGATTGTCTGGAAGCAAAGGTTGCCCATCTTCGTACAAAGTTACATCACCATCAAAACTGACCATCTCAAGACAGTTCTGAGCCAGGTACCTGAGTTGAGCACCACCAAGGATCGTACGGACATCGTTAAAGCTGGGTGCCACAAAACTGCGTTTGGCCAAACAAAGCTTCGGTTCGAGGTCGTATAAAGCTTCAACCAAAGGCAATGGAGTCCAGAAAGAAGTAATAGTTGGTACAAGCATCTTTAATTGGCTATACTGTTGGCCTTTAGCCGTTTGCTCGACTAAGAGTTGTTAGCACACATTCTATTCAACATTTTCCTTCCTTGTTGCTGCCAACTAATTTAAGGACAGTAAAGAGATGAATTGTACTTACTGTGACTTTCAATCAGGTGCTCAACGTCTTTTAAAATTCGAGCATAACGTTCCAAAGTTTCCTGCTCCTTTTCTTTGGTAATTTCTTTTTGAGAAGGTTTACCAGCCTGTAAAACAAATGGAACAGCTAATAGTCCCTTTATCCATTCAATAAAATTGTCTTTTCGATGTTGTTTTAAAGCGTACTCAACGCGATATCTCGATGCCATTCTGTCTATATGCAAGTTACTAGTAAAGGTGAAAAATGTTGGTTAGAAGATGAACGCTCTTTCGCTACAAACTATATGCGATAAGAAGCTAATAATATAATTCTAGACTTTAATTACTTAGTTTCATTGAATGCTTAACTAGAAGGAAGAATTCACTTACCAAGTAAACTCCTCCAATCCAATTCAGTCAATGCAAAGTGAGAGGTAAAAGCCGAACTCTATGAATGAGCATATTTCTTTAACTTTTCTACTGTTATAATATATTTTTACTAGTCTATCAAGGTAAGTTATACTGTGCACAAGGAGTCTACTACAAAAGGATTTACAGTTTTTTTGAATTTCGAGAGATTTTAGGACTGAAGGCGAGCAATAAGTATAAGTCGAAAAAGAACTAAAAGAAGTGTTGAATTGTATAGTTATTTAAGTCAACAGGCTAACATTAACAAGGTAGAGCATCTATTTACTTCTGCACACTTTATTCAACATTCAAGATGGCAGCTTCAGAACTAAGTCAATTAAGTCAAGAAAAAGAAGATAAAAAGAATAGCTTTGAAAAGGATGTCTTACAAAAGGAAACTACTGAGAAAGAGAACGGGAACGAAAATGAAGGTTTTGATCTTGGTTTAGAAGAAAAAGACGTTCCTCTGAAGCGTCCGCGAAAAAAAATTGCTAAATTTGATGAGGAAAGGTAATCAGGGTGGAATTGATTAAAACAGCTGTTGGGCAGTAAGCTAACAAAATTTAACCAGACTAGCATCTGAGAATGGCATTCCAAAGCTCCAACAATTGAGGAAAAAAGTAAATTTGAAAGGAAAGGGTCATGAATTAGGGGATTTAAAAAGAATTTTATCAATGTATCATGTTTGGACACATGAGTTATATCCACGGGCTACTTTTGATGATTCTATAGCTTACTTGAACAGACTAGGATCTATGCGTTCCGTAAAAGTGCGTAGGCGTGGTTGGATCAATGAAATTTCTGATGAAAGTGTAGTTGGTCAGGAAAGCTTACAGGACTTGTCTTATGACCAACCTTTTATGGAACCAAAAAGGTTTCCTTCCAACCAAGATTCGTATATGGAAAATGGCGAAGACGCTTCATTCGTTATTCCAGATGCTGAGGACGATTAAACATGTTTAATAATTTTCCGCTAGTGAGATTTTTTCCTTTTTTCGGTTTATCGAAAAGCTTAGCTTTTATCTATAAGTTAGTCAGTTAGTGGACCATAAAAAAATCCAACAGAGATGATTTATGCTTTCATAAAGCCTCGTTACTTATGAAGCTTTGTTTCATGAAGACTGGCTGCTCATGCATTTTTAGTGGATCCCTTGTCATCCGTGGAAGGTCAAAGTTATAAAAACAGTTTACACTGTGTGCATTATGCAAGCTTCATTTCGTTTTCTCATATCACATATCTTTATATTCGACTAAGGGAATCTGTTGAGCAGTTTATGATATATGCTCATTCAGCTCATCGCCGAAGATCTCGCAAGATATAGTTTCACACTGGAGATAAATAAGCTATTTGGTAAAGAACCTTGTCAGTTTGGGTGAAAGACTCTTAGGGATACCTTCCATCTATTCGTATATACAAGTATATGTGAGTTTAAAATAATATCACTTGTATTGACAAACAAAAGGCTTTCATATATTATTTATATTATATATCATCCTTTTGTCTGATTTATTAATTTATCATAACTTCAGTACTTGAGTGTTTTTGTCCTATGCTTGTTTTCACTAATTTCAGTAGAATCACGAATCTTCAATGAGTAGACACCATTGTCTTGTTTTACAGCCTGTACCACGTTTCTTCGAAGAAGAGAAGCAACTTCGTTTCCCAAGTTGACTTTTTCTTTAGCTTGATCCCCAGCGAGTCCAGCGCTTTCACGAAATCCCGTTCGAATGCGAGCTTTTGCGGCCTCGAGGATTACTGCGTCTCCTAAATCATCAAAAATTAGCTTCCATCCGTAGAATCAAATTTATTTTTTTACCTTCAAACAATTCCCTACTTGCTCTCCAAAGGTTTCGAAAGCATGATCTAGCAGCAGCCATTTTCCCTTATTTCTTCTTGTTCGGAAATAAAAAGAGTATTTTCTATGTATATGAACTTTAAGGAAAAGAAAATTAGCTTTTACAATAATTGCCTTCTTTGTGTTGCCTTGACTGGAAAGACCAAAGAAAGGTAGAAAGACCCCATATAGAAATAAGGGTTGGATAAAAGCAGCACAATACTCATCTTTAGTGGAATAACTTTTACATACTTTTCTATTTTTTACTTTTATAATCTAATAATCGATTACAACCTTCTAATCACTTGGTGTACGTATACTGAGCTTCATCGAACACAAGTACTGCCATAGAACAAGCATATTACTTTTTTGGGAAATGGTAAGAAGCCAGGAAGTAAATACCATTCTAATTATTCTGTAGCTTCCTTTAACATTATTAAATGCGGCTCAAGGTAGACCTATACTTGTAGAGCTAAAAAACGGCGAAACCTTCAATGGTCATCTCGAAAAGTGTGATACATATATGAATCTTACTTTGCACGAAGTCATACGGACTATGCCTGATGGTGATAGATTCTTTCGACTTCCTGAGTGCTATATTCGTGGAAACAACGTATGAATCTATTTGGTCATATTATGAATGTATCAACTAACATGCAAACAGATCAAGTACTTGCGTATCCAAGACGAGGTTTTAGAACAAGTTGGAAAACAACAAGCACAGCAGCGAGAAACTCGTGGATCAAGATTCCGTGGTCGTGGACAGCGTGGTCGCGGAGGTTATGGAAATATGAATCCTTCGAATCGTCGCGGTCGTGGACGAGGAGGACATTATTGAAAAGAATTTAAGTTATGGTGGCCTTTGACAAGCAAATTATCTCCTTTGTTAAGGATACTCTTGACATATGACTTTGCTATGTAATATATTTACTTGTGATAGAAACACTATCCTTTTTAGTACGAGATGACTATATCTCTTTTTGTAGCTTTGTACTGAGAAAAAATGGCTTCTGTCCTCTCGGAAGTCTATTACATATCTAACTCTTTTCTTTCTAGCAGTTGATTCGTAGGCATTATGTAAGCTATGTCGAAAAAGGGCAACAAAAATTGTTATTTAGAAAATACACTGCTCTCAACCAGTATTTAGTCTGAAAGAATTGTTGAACATCGTTAACAAGCCGGACTAAAACTTGGAACTGGCAGGGGAATCATCAAATTAAATCCTAAAAGATTGAAACTGTATACATCATATATATAGATAGATTTTAAAGGTAGACTTTTAAGTCTTTTTTGTGATTAAGTTCTTCATCAAATCAAAACTATTTCCATCGGGCTGCAGATAAACACTTTTGCCATAGGTCGTTCCGGAATCAGTAAGAAGATCAGCAACCAATAAGCCAAAATCAGAAGTGATGCCTTTGATCCTAGCTTTCTCACCAGTCGGCAAGTTAACGACTTGTTCATTATGAAGCCAATGCTGATAATATTCCGGCAAGATTCGTGCAAACCCATCTTGAAGAAGCGTGTAGTAATAATGCTCAAAATAATTAAAAATCTTAGCTAGTAAAATTTCAAACTGGAAGTGCTTTAAGGATCTCTCTGGATGATGCTTGTTCAACTCATCAACTAATGCATTCAAGGATACCGTAGGTCCCAAATTGCTCACGTTCACTCCACATCCAATGACTAAATGCAAGACATCTTTTTCATATGTAGATGTAACAATGATCCCTGAGAGTTTCATATATTTTTTTTTGGGATACAAAGGTCCACCTTCATTGACACATGCGTAAACATCGTTGGGCCATTTAATAAATGCGGGTATATCTTCATAGCCGGGGCCATAATTTCGAATCCCATTGACGACGGACAGGGCCATCAAATATTGGAATAGAGCCACGGGAGTTGTGCTAAAACTGTGGGATGGAACGTTTATAATAAAAGAAAATGCAAGCACTCCATAAGGGGAAACCCACATGTTTTGTCCTCTTCCTCTTCCTTCAGTTTGGTAATTAGCAAATGCAGTAAACCCGGTAGGAAGTCCTTCAAGAAATTTGGGATTTCTGTCAAAGAGAGTTTGGGTAGAACGAATGACGGGCGATATAAGAATGGGTGATCCAAAGTGACAATCTTTTAGATTCATTAAATACAGTTTGTAATCAAAGTGGGACTTGGTATACTCGTATTCAGCTTCCTCATTACCATAGCAAATACAAACAGATGGTTTCATTTCTTGGCCTAGCTCATCAATTGAAGCAAGATTAGATGTCGACGACTCTGATACAACCTGATGGTCTGAGAGATCTTTAAAGTGAAAGTTGTAAGTTTTATCATCGAGCGTATTGTGAAGATTGTTTTCCTTAAACCGATCAAATAACCGATTTGTGGATTCATTGCAAGGAATTAAATACTGATCGGTAACCTTTGGTTGAGCACAGCATTCTGAAATATTTTCAGGAACTTTGAGCCCAAGAAGCTTTAGTATATGCGCGATGAGTTCAAGTCGCATTGGTTCATCATATTCATCCAGTATATTATTGCCGTCAGAACCGAATTCTGGATGAACACTTGTCAAGACGACATGCCCGCTACCAATGGGTATATAGATAATTGCTGCTGAACGTTCTTTTTCCACTTCGGTATAACGTGCTACAACTCGAACCTTGGGATAAGACTCAGCGTTTACAAATGATCCACCTCCATTATAATAAATGCGCGTCGTTGTTGTTGTTGGATTGGATCCTTTCATTTGCTCTAATATTAAAGGAGCGGCTCTCGCACCCTCTTCACTATCATAGGCAAACCCAGGAAATGTAGGACCGGCACAAGTACCTGGAAAAAACTGAAGCTTTCTTGATCCAATGACATTCAGATCTTTGTCAGGCATACGGAAATCAACATTGGCTGATGCAAAGTACCCACCAGCACAAAGACCAAGGTAGCTTCCACCCCGACGAACATATTCTTTAATTTTCCGATAAATGATGTCGTTGAATGAGCTGCAATAACCCAAATCTCTACCTCCTGGTATAACTAATAGAGCAGTATTGCCTGTCCAAGGGTCATGCTCCAGAGTATAAGCGTCTACATATCGCATAGAATATTGTGGCACCACAAATGGAAAAAGACATTGAAAAGTCCGACTTAAACATGCTTTTGAAGCACCGTTTCCATTATAAATTAAAACATTCATGGCTTTGATTAAAGCTGCCAAGGTTGGTTGCTCACATATGTACAGTGGTGTTGGGTAGTAGGTGATTTCCAGACGCTGTTCAACTTGCAATTATATGGTACAGAATTGAGTTCAATTCCCACAAATTTTCTTTATGAAGTTTACAGTAATACAATCTCTAATGCCATGTTATTGTCATAAAAGCACATTCCTTTCTACTGCTTCGTAGGATACACATATGACATAAGTACTATTTTCCGTTTTGAAAGCCCAAAGAAAATGGAACATATTTTGTAAATAACTAAGCTAATTCTTTGGTTTTTGCTGGACTAGTACTTTTGGTATCGCCCACTTGCCTTCCACATTCAGTAAAACAAAATTGCACATATTGATCCCCTTCGTAACAGTGAAGAAAGGATAAAAAGAAGAGGAGAAGAAACTTTTAATAATATTACTTGTCTTTGAATTGAATCTGAATTAGATTTTGAAAGCTTCTAATGGAACTATTTATGATGAGCTATCGTTTAATTTTAAGCTTACATTAAGATTTTTTAGCGAAGGGGTCCACTTGCTCTGATTTCATTACAAGGAAGCTACAGCAAGATCCAGAAAGAGCAAAATAATTATGAAATATACAAAAATACTTTGTGCAACTACAAGAAACATATTTACTAAAAACTCTTATAAGGTTAATGGCTCCCTTAAGAGTCTCAGCATTCCACGATCCTCTCAAAGCTTGCCAGCCGTATGGCTGAATAGACGCCCTTTTCATGTTTCTAATTATCTCAGCGAAGATAGAACAACTTCTAAAAACACAAATGGAAACATTAAAGACATAAAAAATGAGAGTGGGATTCCTTCAAATATGCAGGAATCTAACATTCCTGATATGGGACCTAACTGGGAAACTTCGTTTTATGGATTGTCAGCAAAGCCTTTTGACAAGGAGACTAGTAGTATTTTGACAGCTCCACTATCACCAGAAGATGTGGAAATTAAACCAGATGGAATCCTTTACTTACCTGAAATCAAGTACCGAAGAATTCTAAATAACGCTTTTGGTCCCGGTGGATGGGGACTTGCCCCTCGCGGGAACACTACTGTCACAAGCAAATCAGTATCAAGAGAGTATGCTCTCGTTTGTCACGGTCGGCTTGTGTCGGTTGCTCGAGGTGAACAAACTTATTTCGATCCCGAAGGAGTTGCTACGGCATCCGAGGGCTGCAAATCGAATGCATTAATGAGATGCTGCAAAGATTTGGGAGTTGCAAGTGAGCTATGGGACCCAAGATTTATTCGTGCCTTCAAACGTGAACGTTGCATGGAAGTATTTGTCGAGAATGTACTCACAAAGAAAAAGCGTAAATTATGGCGTAGAAAAGAAGACAAGTTCACATATCCCTACGCAGAGTAAATGATTTTATTTTTTATTACAGTTGAGTTTATTTTTTTTCGAATGATACAGATGGTTTCAACTATAAACACCCACTTCTATCTAGTTGGATTTTTTCTTTAAAAAAAAAAAAAAAAAATAAAAAAAAAAAAAAAAAAATAACTAACAACAACTTACGTTACGTTACTTTTAACTTTAAACTTTTAACTAACGTAAACCGTTTAACCTTTTAAACTTAGGTTAGTTACTATAACGTAAAACCTAAAT